ACACCTCCCCACTACCGCTCGCCGGTGCAACGGGCTAAGGCAAGGTTGCTGCATGCATGTCTTCGATATGACGGCCACACTTGTCTTGATGAAGCGATGAAGCAAAATAGGGTAAATGGTTAAGACATGGACTTTTAATACATTGTTGAACGACTAAAAAAGGGGAGGAGCACTATAACCGTAGATCTTATCGTCGCCTCTGGACTTCCCTTTGCATGTGCCATGCTGCATGAGATGGGGATCGATAGAGTTTCATGTCACGGGCGGTTTGGGGAGCCAGGCATGGTTGGACGGAGTATCGAGACCAAGTGGATAGTCCCCCTCGTTGGCTGACGCTCCGCGGGGGAGGAACAGTGACGATGGGGGGGCTGGAACGCGGGGAATGGCATTAAAGAGTTGAGCCGCTGTCGATCACTTCTTCACATGCTTTCTTTTTCTGCTGTCGTTGCTGTTCCTGGGAGGTTTACGTTACTTCAATTCCTCCCTGGCTCCCACGCAATCCCCTAGCGCCCTAGTGCAGTAAATGTCCAGGCCACGCCATGCAGCCCAAGGGAGAAGGTGCTGCGAGTTGGTGAGCCTCGTCCATAGATAGATCTTGAATTAGGTTTCGGCTGGCTCTTTCATTCACTCGTGGTGTGGCTTTTTTGGCTACCTCAGTGCAGCTGGTGTGCAAAAAGGAAAAGAAAAAAAAATAAAAGAATTCGGCGGTATGCCGGTGCTATCTATGCTGGGCCAAATGGTGCTGATGGCGGTGCTAGACTGCTTGTGTAATGTGTGCTGTACAGCCTGAAAACTTACGCAAATGCCCTTCAGGAGGCCAGGAAGATGAAGCTAATATGGCTTTCGCAGTAGATGTTAACAAGGCTGTTGCGGTTTTTTGTCTAGTTTCAATTTTGGCTGCAACTCTGTACTTGGCTGATTGAACGGAAAGGGCTTGCGGGACGCCAACGTCACTATGTGCTGTTGATGTGTAGACGCGGTAGAGCGCCACCCACCATTCCGGTATTCGGGCTTCAGGAGCATGTTGAGTAAGGCTTGAGGCACGCGTGCCCCAAGCCTCAAAACCGCGCTTTAGGACTGGTAAGTACATCGTGTATACTTTGCACCAAAGCATGAAGGCTGGGCTCTGGCCATGCGGATCCCACGCTTTCTGGTATAGCCCAGCAGATGGGCTGTGGCCCAGATAGACTTTGAGTAAGACTAGATGATTTGGTCTGATTTGCGGAAAGCGATGTTCTCGAGCATTTGGCCGAATATATCAACAGAGTTTATAGGAATGTGGAATCATAAGTTGACCTCTGATGTTGAAGCGTAAACTTTTTGGGGTCCCCAAATAGGGTAGTTCCTTGAACCTGTTGATTTTTGGAGAAATCTTCCTTTCATAGCTGTGTTCTGACGTGATTTATGATAACACCGTGGATTCTCCCTAGGTGTTCCGATTCGTGTGGGAATGAACTAGTCGAAAGCTGATGTAGCAACACCCTATCGCGGTTCTGTGAAACATGCATTGAAACGGGTATACCAGCACTGATTCTTATGTCTAGTTGTTGTAACATGTCAAGCTCTATATCAAGGACCGCTACGTCGTTCTATGAGTGTATATGAATCTTCATATCTGACTAACCATTGTCCTAAGACTCTCGCAGTGGTTTCGGGTGTTATGTCTTCCTAGCATCCACCGAAATCTAGGTCGAAGAGAGACAGATATACTTCGATTCGACAGAAACTAAACTTGTATGGTGAAATTATGAACAAGACGGCTTCTTTCTATATAAATTATGCATTCAGTATACGTGCTGTAACGCGGTTAGGATCAAAATATTGACCAGGAATGAGCTCAGTGACGGGATAAATAGGGTATGATCGTTGCCTTGCCTCTCAGCCGACCTTTCTTTGACTTATAAAATGGTATACCATACTACCTTCTTGTCAATGAAAGGCGGGTTGTCCGTGCTGTATATTACTGAGTGTTGTTGCAGGTGACATCCGCACTCAAATCAACAGGCCTAGTACACGTCCCGGTGTCACATGAGCATATAACTGCAGTTTCTACGTCATCCAAGCTGATCCACACCTGATATAACAATAAACTGCAATAACAATCAAAACTGAAAGTCTCATATGTATGAACTGACGGGGTTTTCTCTTTCGGTACTGGACCATCTTCAGTTGATGAATGTGAACTGTGTTTCGCCATCAGTAGCGATGAGTTGGATTTCATCGCAAAATAGAGTTGCAAGAGTTTGATAACTCATCGCGCAGGATTTTGTTTTTGGATCTTCCTGCCGTTGATAACATTGCAAGGAAAATTTTCCACTGCCCTGCCATTTTCTCGATACAGACGACTATGTAAGCAACCTGATGTGGTTTTGACGGACACCCAGCTTGCTATTTCGTCCCAAGTAATTTGCAATATCACCTGGGACTCCTAAAAAGCATGGCCAGAAGATAGGACACGCGAGGCGTGGTAAAAAGCACATCATACTCTGTAGTGACTCTTGAGCGGTTCCATTAGTCCTCAACAGTCAGCCCCAAAGAAGCGGCTCGTTTCCAGGAACCCTTGACGGTCACATCGTACACGCATATGAGTTCGCGGTGTAAGTTGTTCGCTTCGGGAAATGATTCGCCGCAACCCGTGCTTGCCATCTTTTGACAGGTGCAATTCTTCAGTGATTGTGTAACGAGTAAAGCTGTCAGCTGAACGATTATGGTCAGGAGCCAGTGCATTGGCTGGCCTCCAGCAGCGAAGTTTTGGCTCGACCTCATAAGGCGTGTCGATGGCTCATCTGAGATTCATTGACTGACAGGCATGGGATTGAACCTGCTGCGCCGTTGCCTTCTCTTTTGTGCCAAAGTCTGTGTCATTTTACCGTTTGGGAGGAACAATGGTTGTACGAGATAGCTACCGCATCCTGTAAGGTTAACTAACTATAAGTGATGTTGAAGACAGCCGCGACTGGCACGATGCCAAATTCACTCACTTTCCTCTGTCGCTACAACCCGGACCATAACCTTGTAGCCTTCTCCTGTCTGCAGCGCTTGAAGAATGCCGAAGTCGTCCCAGCTGGTGGTACAACTTCTTTGATTCTTCGATCATTGATCTGCTAGCACCTACAGCGCGGAAGAAGCCGTCTTCCATTGTATATTCCTCCGCGGAAATGTACGATAACGACGGCCATGTTTGCGAATCCTCGTACGGCAGATTCCGCGATGGAGCGGGGTTACATGAAGCTCGTGATGTCGAAGTCAGTAGTAAGTCTCTGGTTGGTTTCCATGGTGGCAAATGTCCCGATAACCGCGTAACGAAAAGCAGCGCGATCGAAAGTCTTGCAGGACCTTCGTGGAAATCGTCAAGACATGGCTTGGCTCCGTCTGCTCAGCATATCTAGGATGGTTGGGTCTGGAACCTGCCTTGGTTGCCGTCTTTTCTAATGCCCTCGACATATTCGGACAATACTCAAGCCCACGATGAATCTTAAACTCGTCAGGGTCCATGAGAATCCCCAAAACAGCAATATCAGCTCCTTTAGCAGAAAGCTGGACGTTCTTGGAGAGTCTGGACGCAGATTCATTTTCGGAGAATGGAACCCAACTTAAAGGTTGCCATGGAGTTTATCTTGCACAGCCACCAATGTGTCACTTCAGACTTTGGTGGCTGGTAGGTAACCAACCTAATTGCGCCTCGTCAGTGCCTGTGAGATCTCGATGCTCCGCGCCTTTCTCTTCACTGTATCCATCGACACAGCTGTTCAGGACCGGAAGCAGCTCCGGAATATTTGCCCCGCACGACCACTCATCGTGAGTTTATCAAGCGGGATGTTCTCCGTCAACCAGAGCTTCGTAAGCCACAGGGTCCGGATGCGGCAGCTGCCACTCGCGCAGCCTCATCGTCATGGACATAACCACCCTCAAGGAAGCGCTCACTCAAAGTACGGGCCGGTGTCCACGGGCCGAAAGATTGGAAAAGAATGTGGAAGAAAATAAGTAAAGAAAAGCGGAAACGTCTCGTACTCTTTGTCCAAGACATTCCTTGGCAATCCACAATTCCGCTGTATCTCATGGTCGAGTTTGACAGCTGACCAAACACGGGAGGAACAGCCACGATCTGGGTGACGATCGGTCCACCGAAGCTCCAACGCGTAGCTTTAGGAGGGGCGTGTGAGATGGGCTGAGGTGTATGGCAGATTGTGACATGGAATTGATGACAGGTCATGATGGGAAAGAAGAGTAGGAAAATAAAGAACGGGGGGAGGCGAAGACATGAAAACGTCTGTAGTTGTTAGCCGGTAGGTGTGAGCTTGTTACAACGTAGATCCTTTCCCCGGCGTGAATGCTGTCTCAACCCTTCGAGAAGGGGAGTGTTCGGGAGGGGGGGGGGGGCTTCCAAAAGCGGCATGTAAGGATTCTTTCATTTCTTAGGGGCGGTGAGAGTAAGGACTTGGTGGGTTGAAAATAAAGAAAGTTCCTTGTGGGCATCTTATGTCGTGGCTCGGTCAGCACGTTTGCGGCCATAGACGATAATTTCTCGCTTCGGTTCAGTCTTGGCATTTTATGTTCGAGGTGCGTTGCATACCAGGCAAGAACGATATGTTGATGTGGCTATGAGTTCTATGACCTAGGTTTGTTGGAATGGACAAAAGCGACGTGCACTCCTGGCTGAAAAAGCAAATATGGAAAAACGCATTGTTGTTGTTGGGGAAATCTCTGATTGTTTGTTCTGAAGCAAAGGACATGTGCAGATCCTCGTGTATATTTGAGAAGTCATCAAAGTACATAGCTCATCATTTAGGCACGACCGCCGACTCATAATGCAATGGTGGTGTCATCTATAGACAAAGGAGGGACAACGAACAAGAGATGATTAAAGGAAACGGCCCAAAAATGACTACCCCAGATTACCGTATGATCCTCGATGAGATGCCGGATGTGTGAAGCAAAGGATGAAGAGAAGAAAAGAGTCATTAATCGTGAGCACAAAAAAAAAACCAGTCGTGCGTGGATTAAACTTTTCCTCCAAGATATAGGATGTTCTCCCTGACCGCATCCGTCAAATCTCCTTGTCCCGTATATACATAGGCAACCGTGTTGGCCCAGGCCTCGGGATGTGGCAGCGGCAGATCAATAACGTCGCCCGTGGTAATGTGGCCGGAGACAATAAGCGCAGCCAGCATCGGCAGATAGGACCGGGCGTATTGAAGGTCTATTGATGGATTAGGGTTAGTCTGGGTTCTTAGGGAAGACGAGGACTGGCTTAAAGGCTACGGCCAAAAAGGTTCAAGTCCGCAAACGTCATGAGCGGGAAGGGAGATAAACTTAGATGAGACATGCTACTTACGGATTGGCATGGTGGTTGCGCCACGCGACGGGGCTCTGGGTTCTCCAGGTTTGAGCCCGCGGTTGAAGGGCAAGGGGCTGTGCACAGCGGCGCTGCTCGACCTCCGCCGTGCCATGCTTGGCCGAGGAGAGGACATCTTTGGCAGTGACAGTGACGGGCCGACCATTGAAGGCCGCCGCCTCAAGTCCGCAGGAGGAGAGGTCGGCAGCGGGTCTGGGACTGTGGAACGAAGCTGCTCAATGTCGAATGTGCGTTGGATGAGAAACGGCTTGCGTTCCAGGGCGCGGGGGCGTACACGAGCTCGAATTGAGGTCTGATGAGAGGAGCCAGTGGGCGTTGTTGGTATGCGTGTAGGTGAGGAATCGCCAGCAGAGTTGTCTGAGTTGGTGCTCGCATTGGACTCTCTCCGCAAAGATACAGCTTGGACGAAGACGTCGGAGGTTTTGGCATCGCCGAGATAGACGTGACCCCAGGCGCGGAGCTGCTCAAGATGGTGACGCTTCTCAGCATCCTTAGACCTGGCAAAGAATCCCGCGGTAGGGACAGATTGCCGGCGTTTTGCTTCGTCTCCCATGCCGGCGAGAAGCATGTGTCGGTTTTCCGCCGCGAGGGTTTGCCTACGACCACTGGCTATCGATGGTGATACTGGCATTACCGGCGCCGGCGGCCTACGGGGGCTGATTTGAGCAGCAGAATATCGTCTCCCCTCGGCGCCCGAATGCTCAGCGAGAGGAGAAAGTGGTCTCGGTCGAGGAGATGGTTTTGGCGGACTCAGTTCGGTGCGTTGCGCTTGTCGAAGTCTTTGGCCGAGGCGGTCAACCATGGCCCGTTCATGTTGTCTCATAGATCCATCGTTGGATGGAAAGACAGGGGTGGGCAAACTCTTGGGAGATCGATCAGAAGAGCTAAAGTATGAGGTAGGTGCTGGACGGGTCGTAGAGCGAGGGAATCCTCCCATGTTGTATTGAGGAGTCCACATGGGATGGAGACTGGGGCTATGGCGGTTCTCAACAGGAGTGGCCATTGTGGTTGTTGTAGCGATGATGGTCAACTGTGCAAGCAAGCAAGGACTTAATGACCGGGCTTATAGCGGAAGGAGGGTTGAACCAAGCGATCAATAGGTGGATTCAAAGATGGGAATGTGCAACCAAAGATAGGGGGCCGATGAGCAGCGAAATTCTATAGCTCGGGAAGCGTTCTCAAGGGAGAGGAGCACTCTTATGTCTGTGATGTGAAAGGGATGTGAAAGCAATTAATATCCAGACCGTTCAAAGGTCTTATTGGTTATCCACCTGCTATGCCCTCCGCGGACCTCACTTTCTCCACGCCGCCAGACAGTACGGAGAAGGAAAAAGAAGTTTCTTGCGCCAGCTGCCGGGGACGGGAAATGAAAGGATCGGTAAGCCTCCCAAAGGACAAAAACCACCCGAACTTAGATGCCAATGAAGAGAGACATACTGGCAGTGGACCGAAGAGAGAGGGTGTGTAAAAGTGAACGGTCACGGCTCCTTGCTCCTGGCCGCCAGCCACCACTAGCACACCCTACCACTGCCACAAATCCTTGTACGGGGCTTTTTTTCTTCTTCTCCTTCTTCTTTATTTTTTATTCTATTTGTTTGGACAGCGTAAGTGGAGTGTAATCCAGAGAATGCAGTCGTCAACTCTCATGCGACAATGGGCGGTTGCGGACAGCAACCATAACCATGCTGCTGCACGCGAGGACAAAGAAGAGGGGCTAGAGAGGCATGTGGGTTTTTTGGGGCAAACCCATGGGTAAGGTGCTGGTATAGGCCAAGACGGGCTTGCAACTTGAATTTCTGCAGATGGCCGCAGGGGAGAACAAAGAAAATGTGGCTTGTCCGGACCTTGATTCGTCAGGTTTCTGGTAGGCCACTGACACCTTTGCAATACTCTTTCCCTTCATCTCAAGCGAAGAAGAGGTAAGATAGGGATCACTGTTCGGACCTATAGCCTGGAAGAGCGGAAAGAGATTTCTCTTCTCTCGTTATCCTTTTCCATGTATGTCGCGACTGGGACTTGCTAGCAACAAGGAAGAAAGGGAGGCAGTGTGGGCGACCATGACGATATTGACCTTGTTGAAGCTGGCGGGGTACACTTGTACTGGTGCCTGCACTTGGCGCGTTTATATCCGAATCCGTAAGGTATGCGGGAGCTCTTTTTTCGCAAAGCGCTGTCTTCAGTTGCCGCGGTGAGGCCGAAGGTGTGAGATGTATGTGGTGTGGTGTGTGTGGAGGCGGGAGCACACCAACAACGGCGCTGGCTCATCAGAGTCTCAGTCGGAACAGTCACAGTGTGTGTATGTATGTTGTCCCGGGCCGGGTTCGTCCATGATGGCAAAAAGGAAAACGGCCTGGCAAGACGATGGAAGGCATCCATTGATTTTTGACCGGTTTGGGATGACAAACTGACCTAAACGTGTCAGAGGGAATGTGTAAGAAAGGGTGGGCAAAAAAGGTGGGATGAGACATGGAATGTCACCGTGGTTGACAACGATGTCGCTCTTTGCCTCCCCACACCCCCCCCCAATCCTGTCCACAGAATCACATCCATGCCATCACAACAGCTCAGGAAGCTGCGAAATGTTTCCTTTAGATGGATGACAAAAGATGCACGAAAGGGAGTTTGGAGTTCCAGCGTCAGGTAAGGCTTTCCAGACCTCCGTGCCTCCGGAGCCCATCCGGAATGGGGATCCACTCCGCCGACTGAAGCTCCTGATTGGATGACTGTTGCTTGGATGGCATTTGCAGCTATGCTGAACTGTCACCCACCTGAGAGTGGGAGGAGCTTGGACCACCAAGGGGGGGGGGGGCTTTCCTGTCAAAGTGAGCCGGCTGTTCTTTCGATGGTGGTTTTTTTTTTTCGTAATTGGAGCCATTTGGCGACGTTGCAAGTTGGTCACTTCGTCAACTTGTCCGACCAGATCTTACAAACTTTGTCCTTACCTGTCCTTTGGGCGGTTCCAAAAGCAGACAGATCTCCGAAATGCCAACAGTTTTATAGCTGACATTTGGACTTCTTCCCCGGCTGATCAAGCCCCCCTAAATCCTACACCCAAAGAAACAACCTCTTCCGAGCTCCCCCTCCCTCGGATCGCAAACATGTCTGCCACAACGGCCGAAAGCTACAAGAAGCTCAAGGAGGACTTTGTCTCCAATCTCTCCGGAGGGTCTGTCAGCGAAATCAACTACGTAACCGCAGTCGCACCCGTGCGTCCTCCGTCTCCTTCCCTCTCGATTTCCTCCCCCCTCCAATATGCGCTTGTAGTGGAACAAAGACGAAAGCTAACTCATGCATCTTTCCCTCCATTCAGGTCGCAGTCCTCCTGTGGTCTGTCCTCCAATCCCGACAATCCTTCTTCAAACCTTACACGCCCCTAGCAGGGCTGGTCGACTATCTCCTCAACGTCACTGCCATCCTCCTTTCCACGACCCTCTACGCATCCTCACCCCTGCTCCTTAACATACTCCTTCTCGCACCCGCCGCCGCTGTTTACGCCTTCCCGCCAAACACTCGTCGCAAAAAGCCCGCTGTTCCTCCAAATGCAAAGTCCAAGGGTGCTGGCGCCAATGGCGCGCTCTCTATACTGTCTGTCAAGCCATTCTTGACGCACTATCGCGGCAGCATGATGGTTATAACTTGTATCGCCATTCTTGCCGTCGACTTCCGCCTCTTCCCGCGCCGCTTCGCGAAAGTCGAGACTTGGGGCACGTCTCTGATGGATATTGGTGTTGGGTCTTTTGTGTACAGCGCCGGTGTCGTCGCCGCGCGCCCTGTTCTCAAGGAACGTGCCGAGGGCCGCTCAACACCACTGGCCACCCGGTTGTTGAACTCTTTGCGCCATTCCCTCCCTCTGTTCGCTCTAGGCATCATCCGCCTGCTTAGTGTCAAGGGCCTGGACTACGCCGAACACGTCACAGAGTACGGCGTGCACTGGAACTTCTTCTTCACGTTGGGCCTGCTCCCACCATTCGTCGCGATATTCCAGTCCGCCCTTAAGATTGTGCCGAGCTATGCCGCCTTGGCACTCATTCTGGGCGTGCTGTACCAGATTCTCCTCGAAAGCACGGAATTAAAGGCGTACATCCTGACCGCACCGAGGACGGATCTGATTTCGAAGAACCGGGAGGGCATCTTCAGCTTCATCGGCTACCTGGCCATCTTTCTCGCTGGACAGGATACAGGCATGTACATTCTGCCCCGCAGCGTCAACCCAAAAAGCGACTCCACCCCCACGACGCAGCGCAGGACACTCCTCATGATGATGGCCATCTGGTCAGCTGTGTGGGCGGTTTTGTATTTCTTGAGCACTAGCTACAGCTACGGTGATGGCCTCAGTGTGTCACGCCGTCTCGCCAACTTGCCCTATGTCCTCTGGACAGCTGCTTTTAACTCCACACAGCTCCTAGCCTACTGTGTCGTGGATACCGTCTTCTTTCCTGCAACTTACAATGCCACCGATGCAAAGTCGGAGAAGGAGGCTTATGAGACGGCGACGAGCAGGGTCTTCCGCGCCTACAACCGTAATGGCCTGTTTCTGTTTCTCGTTGCAAATGTCCTGACGGGCCTGGTCAACATGACGGTGCCCACACTTCATGTCGGGCCGCTTGTCACTATGGGCATTTTGATCGCCTACAGCGGGATCCTCACCGGTCTCGCCCTGGGGCTAGATGCGTATAATATCTCCATCAAGTTGTAGGAGGCACGGCATGTACATACGTATATACGTAAATATCATAAGAGAAGATACCAGCCGAATTTCCATCTTTGAAGCATCTTGCGTTCGCGACTCCCACTCGAAGCTACGAGGGGCTACCTTAATTGCAGTCACTTGGCCCCTCCCGAGGCGGCCGAACATGGCCTGATGCCGGAGACGCACAAATTGGATGTATCTCTGCAGTTCACAAGGCAGATGGCTCAGGTGGTTAGTCCTGGCTGACACGTTAGAGGGCTCGGCAATCCTTTAAACGATGCGATCCGGCAAGCTCGGGGTGACGGGTCGCTGAAACGGAGCCGTCGGCAACCCGCAGCCATCAGCATTCGCTCCATTATGGAAGGAGTCCTTTCTTGAAAACCACTGGATTCGGGAATCACCCCCTCCATCTGGAGCGACGATTTTGCGGCTGAGATCAAGGAGCCGCTTGGCTTGGGCAGTATTGTGTCTACAAGAGACCAACGTACCAGTACATTTTCTCGCATGACAGGTCTCCTCAACCAGTCTCGTTCGGCCCCATCAAAGTTCATTCACCCCACTAGATTTGGAATCTTTCCAGAAACATGGCAGACAAGAAAAATAAAAAAAAATGAAGAATTCGGTCCGTGACCCCCAGTAAGTCGTCTTTTGACTGTCGGGGACCCCGTAAGACACATTTCGCAGGGTTAGTCCGAGTGGTAGGGAAAATGAAGATTGCGTATACGAATCCCCCAAGGCATTGATTGCCCTTTGAGGAGGATCCCGATACCCGGCTCATTGGGTCTTTGCGAGCCAGCGGGGGTCGTCCCTGGACAATTTGAATAGGGCGTCTCCAGTTTTTGTAAAGTCGACGTTGGGTTAACGGCTAATTGGCGATGGGCGGGGTGGATATTGCGCGTCGCGTTTTTCGCGATGTTATGGACGCTTGTGAGTGGGATCGACGATGGGGAAGGTTTTTGTGATGGAGAAGCATGAACATGTCCACATTTTATGCCTTGTGAGTTGTCAACAACACGGCATCAATCCCTTAACCTGACTGCATCCTGTACAGAGTAGTATCGTCCGTCAGTTCCAAAGAGTTAACAAACGGCGATGGACTGATTGTATCAGCCAAACGTTGCGGCGTAGTCTGAAATAAAAGCTAGGATGCCACTTATGATGTCACTAGCAACATAAACTTGTGGCCAAATGCCGAGTTTGATTGGGTTTGTCCGGAGACTTTCTTGATGGGGTAGCTCGCTTGTCCCCAGAATTAGCCCGGCTGCCAAATAAAATGAACGGTAATTCCATCGTGAATAGTAAAAAACCGGAATGCACTAGCCGAGGGGCCTTCGACAGTCTGAGAACTCATTTGGAGCCCCTTCAGCCTTCCTCATCAACCGGCCTGGTATGCCAGGCCCCCAGATGTGATCTTCGGATAGAAAAAATTGGAGCTTCGTCTTCGATTGACAGCTTTAACTGGATACTTTGCTTCAACGGATTTGGGGACAGTCTTAAGGCTATCTTTTTGTTCTTTGCAATTGAGCCTTGCCCCGGAGCAGGTAGATCCCTGTCGCATGCCGTGCGCCTCATCTCCGACATTAATGCTTACTGACTTACTTGCTTGCCTGAGCTCTTGGCCCAACCGTCAATTGGAGAAATTGAGTGCTAAATCCCCGTTGGTTTTGGTCGGACGCCAAGTGGCTCATGCGTGCTGAGGCGTACAGCAAAAAAAATTCTTTTTGCGACGTCAGCTGCGGTCAGGTCGGGCCAAATTAACAAGTCGCGTCGAAAGGCAATGCCGTTGGGGGTGTTGCAACAGAACGTATGCCTGGCCGGTTTTTACAGATTCAGTCCGTCTTAGAAATATCAAAGTTGATGGGGGGGCATTAGGCCTTGCACAGGATGAGGAACGCGGGCCTGCGGATTCAAGACAAGCGACTATTAAGGTGCAACGGTGCTGGAGGGGACGTTGCACAACGGGAACCCGTCAATGAGGTGAGACGACAGTACCCAGGAAGGTAAAGAAGCGTATCGGGTACGAAAAGACCGAGTTGCGAGTGGATGACAGAATGAGGGAAGACGGCTGAAAGGATGCCAGTATGGATGCGAGATCTTACATGCGAGGCAGCGAATGGAGTAAAGTGTACTTCGATACGTGCGTACCTTGCCTTGCCATGCATTCAATGGGGTAAACCTGCGCTGGAACCAGGCTGGGTGGGCCGCCCGGATTACTACGGTTGCAGGCCAAAGTAAAACCCCCTTGACGGGTAACTGTGGCCGTGCTCTGTCTGCTTATGTAAACATAGGTACTTCCAGCTCCTAGACAGTTTCTGGACCAGTCAGGTCGCAAATCTCAAAACTAGTGTGGGTCTACACTCCACAGGACACATCCAGAGGGTTATACTTACCCCTAACACGTAGTAAGAAGATCATAGAGGGACACTCATTATTGAGAAGGGTACTGCAGCAAGGTTGAGCGACTTGCGCATAATTGAACCTCGACTTGTCAACCCCAACTAGTAGGTATGGCGCGCATAAAGTAATAAATCGTAGATAAGCCGAGCGCAGCCACGGTTGCGTCCAGGTGCACATGTAAAGGTTGAGGATATCGAGTGAATTTCACCATGCGCAAACATGCAAGATTCGTTGTTCGAAGGCCAGGGAAAGATGCTCCGTCCGGTCTCGCAAACATTGATGAACAGCGTCAGGCTTTGGACGGTAATTTGGAGATATGCGTCCTGCCACATCGATGCAAGGGAACTCGCTGGTGCCTCAAGCGCGTATGCCAGCGGCGTCCTATGTTTATGCTAGTATTGTCATGATGTGATGGGTGGGGTGCGCAGAGGAGACTCGTAGTAGCAGAGACTCGTAGCAGTGTGGTGAGTTGTATTCCCTTGCGCTTGACTGGCTTAATGAGCCGACACCACACCCCAATCAAGGAGAAATGGAGAAGAGACGAGATGCAATCAGACGAAACCCGAGTGATGTGGGCGGAAAGCTGTGCTGGCAGACCTCTCGCTGCAACTGTTGGACAGATGACAACTGAAAGAGCCAAGGAGCCCCGGACCATGTTCTTATCCCTGTCCTTGTCGCCTGAATGGGTAGCCCAATGGACAGGGATTACAAGAGTTTCGTGACAGGCGACAGCTGGAGACATTTCTGGACACCAAGGTATCCTAAGAAAATCGCGATGCGACTCTGCAACGTTAGTATGCGCTGCCGCATGAGAGACGATATATGGCCAAATGCTGGTAAAAAGAATAAAACAGAAAAATAAACAGAGATCATGAGGGGGCGGGTTGTTTGTTGATGCTCGTCATGAATCGGGGAGAGATGCACGTCGTGCCCCTTTCAAGCCGGACGCATTCAGCAATATGCATCGCATCTTGTTATATGGCCTGGCGTTTCCTGTACAACGGGTTAAGATTTGCAACACTTTGAGGGTAAAAATGCGAGATCGCTTGTTTGCTTTTCAAGGATTGTATCCTCCAGGTGCAAAATGTACAGCTCGCCCCTTTCATCACTGCCTAAGGAGGAGGATTAGAGCAGCATGTGAGCAAACACGTGTGAGCTGCATGATTCGCGGTCATCCTTGCTGTAGAGCGATTCCATCTAAAAGGTAGGACATGGATGAGGGCGGGCATGAAGTTGGGATACCCGGCGCAACCTGAGAGTTGGGAGCCCTTGGGCTTCTTGAACGATGTGGAGTAGGGTCTCGAGGCTTGATGCCAGCTCGCTTGACAGACTTGGCTTGTCCAAGATAAGCTCGATGCCTGTTCTATAGGCGGCTGATGTTGGTTGATGCCTTGGAGGTGGCGTCAGGATAATTGGCAGATCGAGCCTCGACCTTTAATTCGGTTTCGGTGCCATATTAATGCCAGATCCCGACATGATGGAGCAGCTAGAGCGACTAGAGCAAGTGGCAGAGATTGGGTCTCGTGGAGACCGTGGAACGTTTAGGAAGTGAGATTGTCATGAGAGAAATTTTGCGAAGAAAAAGAAAATTGAACATATATCGGGAAGGCGAGACATGCAAGGTCGGACGCGGAATCTGTAATGGATATCTGACGCTCCTTCCTTTCCTGCGGCCGTCTCTCACCCCCCTGCCTTCCCTCTCGTTCTTTCCTTTCCCTCAGCAAACGAAAGCCTTCCCCCCTCTCTTTCTCATTCGCGTGCCTCGGACAAGGAACAAGTACCTTGTCAACCTGCATCTTGTGTGTGTATCGGATTGAATTCCAGTCAGAGTCGAATTCCAGCTGGCTCCCTTTTCACCCACCAATTTCGTACCCGGATAAGTTGAGTCTGCCGTGAAGGCAAGCAACATTGCCGTCAAATACCGGGAGCCCAGCGCCAGCGCCGCACCAATACCAGAGGCAACAGCACCGGCACCAGCCACATCCACGTTTTGGCTGTTGTGCAACCCACTTCGGTCTCACACACCTCCGATTCACAACCTACCGCAACTTACACCAGTCCCGCCTAGGTTGGAACCTCGACTCAGACAGCCCAGGTCGTAAGAGACTGAGCAATTTCTACATCGATTGGAAGGCATTCGTTGTTCGGATCATTGCTGAAAGTCGTCGCACCAGCTAACCTAGCTGTCATCGAAATTTCATCGGGTCGATTCGCCCTTTAGAGGCTACGGAAGGGAACGTCAATCCATTCCATTCCGGCTGCCGCTGCATTGACGAGGATAATTAATACTTACCCTCGGGCCAGCAACCCAACCCAGGCCAAGCAAATCACGGAACCAAGGAAATGACCTAGCTGGATTGAAAAGCCCCAAGGGAGAAAAGAAACGACAAGTTGCCCACCTTCTCGCATCTGCCGGTGCTTGGACGGCCACGATTGCCATAATTTAACGAGACGGCATCTCCTCATTTTCCCTTCTTCGTCTGAGCGGCCACAAACACTTCAGTTGAGGCGGAAGCTGGTACGAACACCACACAATATACAAACACACACTCGAAAAACGGATACAGCTTCTGTTCCTGCTTTTTCCCCTCAGCTCAGCTCCGCTCGATCCTACCTCACCTCCTCCTTCGGGTACACTGCCGAGACTTCGACCGCAACCTCGTCACCCCATTCCAGGTGCTTCATCTATCCTACTACTGCACTTCTCCTTCCTTTTGCATTGCAGGAGGACAGCACAGCCAGTCGCCAGTAGTCGCAGCATTAGCGGATATTAGCGAGTATCTGGTACCTGCATCCGCTACTAGGTGCATGTACCGCAGCGACTCCCTTTTTCCCGCTTTTCCCCCCTGAGGCCCACGCATATATCCTTCACTTCCCTAGGCGGTACTTGCATTGGACAACTCCCCTGCAAGTACACGATACCCCCGGAGGCACACTCTCTCACAGACTCTCTCCCGGCCAGGTCATCCAGGGCAGCCAGTTGGTCCCCAATCTCTCTCTGGGGTTCCCGCTCTGTTTCTTGTCGCGCTCCGCGCTGCGCAGTTCCAAATATTGGACGCCCTGAACCGGCTCGTCCCAAGGTCTCATCTCGTCAAATTTACTTCAACCAGAACGAGGAGAGTCTGACCGTTCGCTCGCTCATTCTTTCTCACAGTCTCCCCTCGTCCAAGCCAAGACAGGACCCATTCCTAATTCCGCCAGCCTTTCTCTCATTCTGGTCTGGTCAAGTTTGGTCTGTCCTTGTCGTGTCTGTTCCGCGTCGCCGACAGCCGTCCTCCACATCTGCTCTTCCCACCGACTTTGCTTCAGGTTGGGCCCTCACCTCATCCCACCTGTACACGGGGTGCCCCTTCATTGTCAGCGTCTCGTCTTGTTTTTCCGACCGACGATCCAACCTCACACCCGATAGTCGGGCGCTAGTTTCGAACCTGCGAGGACGAAGAAGCGCACCATCAACAGCTTCGACCATTAACAAAAAGCCAATAACTGGAAGGGGCCCGCGCGCCCATACCATTGTTGTCTTACCTGAGTGTTGCGAGAGCTTCCCAGTTCCAAAGTCAGGTCAGGCGACCTTGATTGGCCAACGATAGGGGTTTGCTGACAACAACATTGGGCTGCCTATCGTCAACTTCCAACCCACATCCTCCCTCAATCAATTACCTCACTGAGGCAGCTTCTGCTGTATTTCACTCGCTTCCCTTTAACTGTCCACAGCCCCGTGTGGTCTCTGGCGGTGTCAAGAGACAAGAGGCACAGGCTCGAAGCCGCACAGCCGTTCACAACAACAGAGTGTGTGCGTGCGTGATCGGCCCCTTGTCGCGTCTTTTTTTTTCTGTGTTGCTGCATTGACTCGACATCCCAAGACGATTCGTCGCCAATACAATTTGTCCTGGCCGAACTGCAGTAAACAACAAATCGCAACCCTGACAAGGAAAAAAAAAAACAAAAGCGATCCCTTCCACCCGCACCATGAAATAGCCAGAGCCGATTCATTGGTACAACAGACAGACAACGCAGCAAGGTCCATAATACCTCCAATCGGACTCGTCCATCCCATCCCAATTCTGGCCAACTTAATTCCTGCAGCTCATTAATTCCTGCGTCCTGAAACCTGCTGCCCATCAAGCGAACTACACCGCAGAGGAGCATTACTCACTTAACTCCTTCGCTTCTCACCTTCCGCCAGCAATTTCTCTCCCTTGGCTCCTCCCAAAACGCACCAACATTGCAAGCCGCCTTGTTAGCGACAGCCGCGAAACAAAACACGCCAAAATAGAACGGCTGCCCAGTCGAACTCTATTTTTCTGCGCGCTTGCGTCTTCAGCGTTGCAAAAGCATGTCCTCGGCCGCTTTGCAGCCTGCCCATCAAACACCAGCTTTGGCACCTCATTTAGTCGCTGCCACTTCGAACAACCGTCAGTACACGTTGGATCATCCCTCACCGACCCGCGAGGCGTACAATGCCAATCTGCAAAACACGACTGCCTCTCCTGCATCTTCACACCGCCCCTCGAGACGACCGAGCGGAACCGGCGCGTCTGTAAACAGTCCGGACCCAGTTTCGCCCATGACGTCCCGAGCTGCCCCCGCCAGTCCCATCGCCGTCGCGCCCTCCTCCCCAGACTACCAATCTTCATCCTCCGAACGTCGAAAAAACATGCCCCCTGTCGCCCCCCCTCGAACGTCTTCGACGAACTACTCGGGCGGTACTACTACCACCGCTGCCTCAAAAAGACGCGACCACACAGCTGAAAAGGCCGCCTCTTCACCGCGACGCGGTCAACCTGACGGCACCAACGGCAATGCCGATCATAGCTTCTCAGACGACACTGCTGGCTCACGCAGCAGAAGATCGTACCAGCAAATGGCACCAGATTCTCCTCACCGCTCGAGCGGCAACCGTCCGGGAAGTCAGCCAACAGTAATCCCTGTACGATCACATGCAGCGCCCCAAACGACCGCGCCTCCCAAGCAGCCCACACACGAGGGAAGTGAGGTTTTGAACAGAATGGTCGTTTCTCAGCCGGAAGTCGATGTCGCTCGCGAGAAAGAGCGATTAGCAGAGTCCCAGCCTCAACGTGCTGTGTCATCCCACGATGATGCCGCACCGCCCCCAATTGGCATGTCGGAGCACGATGATGGCAGACGAGGAGGCAGAAGTCGACATGATCATTCTGGAAAGCGCGATAAGGTTGTTAGGTTTGGCGATTACATTCTTGGTAATACTATTGGTGAGGGCGAGTTTGGAAAGGTTAAACTTGGATGGAAACAAGATGGCGGAGTTCAGGTAAGCTAACGGTCCGGCTGCACCCCCCAAGTGCTTAACTTACCATGTGGAATCAGGTTGCCATCAAGTTGATCAAGCGGGATAGTGTTGGTAATAACCCCTCCAGATTGGCGAAGATCTATCGCGAGATTGCCATTCTAAGGGGTATCTCGCACCCTAATATTGTTCGCTTGCATGAGATGGTTGAGACGGAGAGACATATTGGTATCATCCTCGAATACGCATCTGGCGGTGAACTGTTCGACTACATCCTCAACCACCGCTATCTAAAGGACAATGCTGCAAGGAGACTCTTCGCCCAGCTCGTCTCTGGAGTAGGCTATTTGCACAAGAAAGGAATCGTTCACCGAGATCTCAAGTTAGAAAACCTCCTTCTGGACCGAAACCGCAACATCATCATTACAGATTTTGGCTTTGCCAACACTTTTGATGCTGACGAAGAGCTATCTGAAGACGAAGAGTTGAATCTGGGCGACCGCGAGTTCGTTAAGAAGTTGGGACTGGACAGGGTCAAGACCAATGGCACAAGAAAGGGTGATCTAATGCAGACAAGTTGTGGCAGCCCTTGCTACGCCGCCCCAGAACTTGTCGTTAGCGACTCACTGTACACTGGCCGAAAAGTTGACGTCTGGAGTTGCGGTGTAATTTTGGTAAGCACAGCCTGCTATGAGTACGGCAACCATCCAAGGCTGACAGAATACTAGTATGCCATGTTGGCAGGCTATCTTCCATTCGACGATGACCCGGCGAACCCTGAAGGCGATAACATTAATCTCTTGTACAAGTACATCGTCAACACCCCCCTTACCTTCCCCGAATACGTCACGCCCCATGCGCGTGATCTCCTCCGACGAATTCTCGTCCCCAATCCGAGAAAGAGAGCGGACCTCTTCGAAGTCGCTCGGCATAGTTGGCTGAGCGAATATGCTCACGTCGTGGAATTCATTACGAGTAGTACCACCACGCCAACTCAGATCCAGAACACGACCGTCCCCTCTGAGGACGCCGCGGAAGCACCTGGCATTGCACGTAGTGCTTCAGTTCGCGAGTCATCCAAAACCAAGGCCAGCACGCCTACGTCGGTGGGAGGACTTGCTAGTAAGCATGCTAAGATCGACACTGACGCCGAGGCAATGGCCGCTGCCAAGCAGCAGAGAGACAACAAGCGTCGTACTGTCCAGGTCGAGTATGTCGCACCGACGACCCAGACTCAAAGAGGAGAGACTTCAACAGGAGGCAAGTCGCGAGCACGCTCAAACAGCCAAGGCCCTGTCGAAGTTGCAGAGGATCAGGCCCCTGTGCAGGAGAAGCCTCTCCCAAGAGATCCACCTGTCTCTAGGGACTCATACAGGGCCAGCAGGCAAGGAACGCGCCCACCAAGCTCCCATCGGAACACCGCGACGGCACCGACAAGACCAGCTCGTGATATCCGGGCAACCTCCGACAACGTGTTTGTATCTTCAACATCGAACCCGCCACCCACGGCGAGACCCCAGACAGGAGGGTCAATGGCTTCAGGCTCAATGGGATTGGGAGCTGGCGCTCGTGGATCGTACGGCCAACCAACCCCCCCGACCGTTGCAGGTACTAATGCTCAAGGAAGGATTCAACAACCTAATGCTCAGGACTCGCAAGCCATGGGCCGGCCTAGCGTCAGCGTGCCGACCAAATTCGCCCAAGTTTCTGGATTCCCCGAACAACAAGCCGCCCAAAGCCAAACGCCATCCCAATCGAGTGATGGCAGGGGCCATGGGCACAAGCGATCCAACACTATTGGCGAGCTTGGATCTAAATTGCTGGGCCGAAATGGGTCGATTTTTGGTGGTAAGAACCGCAACAAGCGACCTGATTCTCAGAGCGCAGACAAGAATCGGAAGTATCCTCCAGTCAGCATGCCCAACAACATACCAGTAGAGGGCCAACCCCGTCCTTCAATTGATTCTAGGGCATCACGGCGATCATTCTCCCTAGGTCTTGGCAAGAAGCGGAGTGGCAGTATTGCCGGTTCTCAGACATCCCACGAGAAGCCGAATCCGGGCAGACGATTCTCTCTGATTCCTCAAGCCTTCTCATTGAAGGCTATTGGCCTTGGCAGAGACTATGACCCTCCACCATCTGAGCCTCAATCTCAACCAGATCTGCCCATCCAAGATCCACCTGAAGTCAATGAGCAAGGTCGATATGTGGATCAGCGGGGTCAGTCTCGTGGCTACGATGGAGGATATGATCAAGGCTACCGGCAGCCGCCTGGTTCGAACTCAGCCCCTCAATTACAACGTCAGGGATGGCAAGAGCAACAGCAAGGCCAGCAGCAGCAGCAGTACATGGGTCCAATCGGTCAGCCAAGCGCCATCCCTGGCCATATGCAGCAGGGCGCAGTACTGAACACCGGCTCCGAATCTTCGTTTGAAAATACTCAACAGCGGAGGCAGTCTGGTGTTCCTTACCAAGCCGGTGGCTATCACGAACCCGAAAGCTACACTGGAGGCTCCAGAGGAAATGGTCGTTCTGGCGTGCTCCAGAAAAATAAGAGATTCACGGACGCCTACAACCAAGAGCAGTACCATGGCCACCAAGGCAGCAGTGGAGCGGCCAAGAGAGTCATGGACTTCTTCCGGAGGCGTGGTAAGGCGAGAGGTGGCGAAGAAAGATAGAGTACTTTTGAAGCCCTCAATTGCTCGCCATCCGTTGATATGGGCTCACGGCCCCTATGCGGTGCTCGGTCATCTCAGATGAGTCTATCACCGGCACGACAGGTTGATCGGTGAGGTGGAGACAGGATGTCACTCACCCCTCTCTATTCTACAATTTCCGAGTTTTTTAATGTGTGAATACCAAAGCCAAGAGGACGTAATTGGTCGCTTGGAGTCATTGTCGGATGTTCATGTTGTCTTGATCGCCGTCTGCATTGTTGGCGAACCGGCATAGAAAGGTTCAAGGAGTCTCTTTCGTTGGTTCTCTCTTCGCGTAATAAGGGAAAGTTTTGTTATTATTTCTTGCGTCGATTGACGAAGGGTCATGGGACAAGGTTTTATTACTCTTTTATTTTCGGTACAGACGGATTGGTGGGTGTTTCGTCCTCGACAAGGGATCATTTCTGTTGTTGGTTCAACTCGTCGTTTTTTCCTCTTAATTCAATGGCATCACAGCGGCGGTCCCGGATTGCTCGCTGACGGCGACAGAGGCGTATGGGAACACCGAAGAAGAGAGACTAAGCAGTGGTCGAGTTGATAACTTTTTGTGTGGCAAGAGATAGAAGACGACCAGCCTCGTTGGCTGTTGTCGTGGGATTGTATGCGTGTAGGGTTGAAGCATTTTGAGCTATAGTGAATGGCAAAGCATGACAATGTGGACATTCTGATGCGATGAGTGAGGTCACCTCATACCGTAATCGTAACCGTTGGATGATAGTGGTGTTAGTGCAAGCCATCTAGAGAAAGCTCATCGGATCTGCCAAGCTGATGACGGGATGACCCGCTAAGAGTCTTGGCAGAAGCCATGATGCACCACCAGTTTACGTTTATGACTGAATTAGTCTGGATGGATGCGTTTCCTGCTTCCCCCCCCCCCCCCCCCAAATATTTCTCGGACTTTGCTGACCATGTATGTCTGTGTATCATTGCGTTTTCGTTGCCTCCCCACTTGAATGTGTGGCTTAGTTGGTGTGGCGCAGCTTACCGCAGTTGGAAATCGTCCCCCCAAGGCTTTTGACGTCACCTCGGCACATGCGTCCGGCTTGGTATACTTCACCTTTCTTGAGAAGGGTTCTCATTGGTGACAGGGGGAAAGAAAGCGGTCTACATGTGCAGATAGGATAGGACCCATTGTTTGACGCTTGATCCATCACCTTATTCCCAGCTTTTTTTTTTGTGCCCCATGTGCGGGTTGTGGGTGGACGCGTATGTGGCTTCTTTCGCGAACACGACGACGACGACGGGAAGTTTGGTTGTTTTTTTTTTTTTTTTTTTCCCGTCGTCCAATGGCCTTTTTGCACATATGCATGTGGTTTACAGTGCAGGTCATGTTACAGAACCGCGAATTAGGTTGGAAGAAAGATTTTGAGGGGGGTGAGAAAGCAACGTTCCGGGAGGGCTAATTAGGTTTGGGGACATTGCTTTTAGCTACTGTTCGGCAAAGCAAAGGTAGGAAGAAAAAGAGTAAGGCGAGAGAGGTTCATGGCCGGGAAGCTTGGAGGGAAACATAATGTCAAAAAGAGAAGGTGTTCCGTGCACCTACACTACTACTACTACTACTAAAAAGAGGCCTGTGTGCATGTGTGTGTATGTGTGTGTGTGGGTGAGTGTTTGGAGCCCAGCCCAGGTGGAATGGATCATGACTCTGCAATACGCACCATATGGTGCAAACACCCGGACGAATCATCTCGCGTACAGGAACCGTGGCCCACGTATATATATTGTAGTCTAGGGGAGATACAAGGGAGCGCAGTAGCAGCTGGTCAGGTACGAGGGTGGTCCCAGGTTTGATAACAAAAGTGCGTTGCCAGGGATGCGATACTAGTGCTTTGTGGTTTATTTTGCATATTTACTTCTTTGTTTAGCTTTGGCTCGCATTCCATGGCCATGATAAGGCATAACATTGTGTTTCGGGCAAAGATCAAAGGCAAGAGCAAATGCCAGAGTATCTTGGAAACAAAGCATCGGCGCGAAACAGAAAAGGAAGGTGAATCGGAAGAGGACCGTCCGCCCGTGTCTCTCGGTCCATGTTTCGAGATGGGTGTTTATTGTTTTCACCCATCATCTGGACTCGCTGTTCTTGGCGCACGTTGCGACTTGAGTCGGAGGAGAAGAAGGCCGTAAGCCATTTACCTTTTTCTGCTTTTGTAATCAAGTGCCAGCTGCTTGCGTGTTTCCTGCGGGTCGTCGTTTGAACATGCTTTTGAAAGCTCGGTCGACCACGGCTTGGCTCCGTCCGGTGAGAAAATCGTGTGTTTACGTTGCAGGAAGAAGAAGGGCTCGGACATGGTGAGGTTTCCATTTCATGGGACGGTGGGCGTCAATGTGGTGTAGGTTAGGTCGGATATGGCCTTGATTGGTAATTGTCCTGGCTAGAGGCCAGTCCAGTTCAGTCAAGTCCAACATAGTGTGATAGTGCAGCAGACAGTCAGTCTTTGGATGTCGGCGCGGGGAGGGCGATTGCGACTCAAGGTAGGCTATGAACAAAAGTGAGGCTCAGCTGCATTGTCCGGGCGGAGCGGGTGGAGGGAGGGGAGGGATCGAGGGGGTGGGAGGGAGGTATCCTGCTCTCCGTCGAGGTCTGTGGCGCTTGTTATTCTCCATGTTTATTTGGGTATCCACTCGTGACTCTTGCTTGATGGGCCCTTTTTGTTGAGTCAAGACCGGGGGGCTTAGATGACCTCGATGGCGAAAAGAGAGGAAACGCCCGTGGAAGCAAACCTCGGTGCCAAAAGGAACTAGCTGAATCATTCCGCCGCGTCTTGCGTTGCCCCCTTGCAGCGGATTGATCGTAAGTGATATCATTTTGGTCAGCTAAGGTCCTGTAACTGGTTAATGACGGCGATGGGTGAAAGTGATTGGGGACACCTGTACATGTATCCATGCATGCATAGTTCCTGTTCCTCAGTATGGCGTCGTCGGCCCCCACTGACCAATACGTACCGGTTCCATGGCGAAAGCTTGGTGCAACGCCTTCTGGTCCAGAACTTGCATCAGCTGGTATTAGTACCATAGAAATGTCATCACCGAATGGTTCCAGTGTTTTGTGTTGCCGGCAGTGTAGTGCAGTGTACATCAGGGCAAGTGGTTGTATTCCCCTCTCGAAGACCCAATTCTTTCTTTCTCCTTCAAAATTGGGAGAATCATAACATCAAAATAGTAACAACATTACACCGTGAACCAGAACGAGGACTGGTCAACCGTCAGTCAAAGACGGGGAAATTGTGGGTGCGCCACAGGAGCCTCAGGCAGGTGACCAGAGCGCTCTTACTGTATCTGGTACTGAACTTCGCAGGCGTTCATCCACTAGAACGTTTCGGCATTAGCGATTGGCTCCGGGCAGACCAGAGGGCGACAAGGGGTTCCTGCTCCCCAGACCCATGTTCAGCGGGGACCTTGATTTAGGTCTGGTGCCTTTCTCTTTGCTTGCGTATCAGCGCCGATGGAAGCACCATGCAGCCCAGTACAGCAGTACGGAGGAGCTAGCTCTCTACTTGCCCGCCGGTACACTTCCGCGTTCCCACCATCCGTCCCAATCTAAGGGTGCGTGTCCAGGACGTTGCCTCTATCTCATGCCTTTAAAGCATCCCTCTGTCGCGTCCGACCGCATCTTGTTCTGGTCTCCTCTCTCTTTCTTAGTCTCCCTACTCTTTCTCACCATCCCCCGAAGCTTGTCTTCAACAGGTTGCGTATTTTACCTATATCAATTCGTTCTTGTGCTATCACCAACTCGTATACACCCATCTTAGTTCCTCCCCCCAAAGGACCAACATCTCCACCGAGACACGAGTGTCCGGTCATCAATTTCGATGAAGAAAGCCTCATCTGATCCCTCTAGTATAGACAGCAGACGCTCTGGTGCAGACGCAAACGCGCATGGCGTCCGTCGCAGCTCCTCCAAACGATCCGAAGGCAGCACGGCTCCCATAGAAGCTGACCCCCTCTCCCTCCCTGGCGCCAGCTTCTCCTCCCTTGCGCCCGCTCAGCGAAACAACACAACTACCAGCACCTCCAGTGCTAGCAGCAGTAGTCACAATGGCCATGCTGACGACATCATTACCCCTTCCAACATCACAAGCTCTTCTGCGAGCAAGACGATTGTTCTTGATGACAGTATCGACAGTGCCAACAAGACCAGCCCCCGCGAAAATGTTACCACATCTGCGGAGGCTTCGGGGAAGGGGCCTTTCATAGGAAGCAATGGCAGTACGCAGAACGACAACAATCTTGAACAGCAGCAGCAGACAACCCAGACTGAGAAGCCCAAAGTTGTCACACGCTTCTTCGACACGTGCAAAATGATCATGTTTCACAGCTGGGTCAACCTGCTACTTGTCTTTGTGCCCGTTGGTATCATTGTAAAGGGCCTCCACGTCAACCCTGGCATTGTCTTTGCCATGAACGCTATCGCCATTGTCCCCCTCGCCGGTCTTCTTAGTCACGCCACCGAGTCCGTGGCTAGCAAGCTTGGCGACACAGTCGGCGCCCTACTGAACGTGACGTTTGGTAATGCCGTTGAGTTGATTATTTTGTAAGTACCCCAATTATTTTCGTCTTGAAAACTCATCCAAAATACGCACCTCTTGGGGGTGTGTGTCTCTCTCAGCTATCTCTGTGAATGAGATGATAGATTTCGAGAGAGAATGGAGAGAGGTGAGGGGACTACGAAGATCCGACGTGTTTGGCTTGGCTTGGCTTTTGTCTTGGCTGTGTCGCACCCCGGATCTTGGCTCTCAGTCACCCCCAAAATTCGATGCTCTACATTTCTTGGCAAAGGGCTTGGCTAATGCTTAATTCTCCAACTAGCATGTATGTCTATACCCATCCGCGGGTGATTTGGATGAGAGAGAGAAGAGAAGTCGATGAAAAAAGACACTATCACATCAATCAAGTCCCAAATCATGCAGTTCCCTCTTCCGTCTTCGCCCCTTTCCTCATGCACAGGTAACCCCTGTCATGAGTATATTTTGCAGTGTTGCTGACATGACTATTTGTTGCGTTGCTTCAGTATCGCACTTGCCAAGGTAAGCCATCATCATTGAAATGCCTCCGGAGGACGCACAACTAACCTCCATGATAGAATGAAATCCGAATCGTCCAGGCATCGCTCCTTGGCTCCATTTTGGCCAACCTCTTGCTCATTTTGGGCATGAGCTTCTTCCTTGGTGGCCTGCGCTTCCGAGAGCAGGTATGCGTGCCCCTCGTCATTAGTCGTGGATATCAATGCTGACCAAAGGATAGATCTATAACAGCACCGTCACGCAGATGAGTGCTTGTCTGCTCAGTCTTAGTGTCATCAGTCTGGTCCTTCCTGTACGTCATCTCCCATTATATTATACTCGTGCAACAGCTAACCAGTCATTTGCAGACCGCCTTCCATGCCTCTTTCACGAACCTTGCGAAGGCCGACGACCAAACTCTGAAAATTAGTCGTGGTGTCAGCGTTGTAAGCAACGGCTTCCCCATAATCTCTGAAATACGCTGACGATGGACAGATCCTCCTTTTGGTTTATCTTGTCTACCTCCTCTTCCAGCTCAAGTCTCATGCGTATATGTATGAGTCTACACCTCAGCACATAGTCGACGCTGAGTCTGCCCCTGGTCCGGCTGTAGGCTGGTTGGATACATCAAGTTCCGAAAGTGATTCGGACTCCGATACAGACTCAGATAGCTCCGATAGCTCTGGTGGTACTGTCCGCAAGAGGATGAAGAAGGTGCTGCGCGCCGGCAGGAGACGCAAGTCCAGCTTGACTTCCTACGATACTGAAGGTCGCCCCCGTACCCGGAACTCCTCCGTCGGCACTCACAACTCCAAGGGTTCCCCCAGCCGGCCCCGTCTCCCTCGCTTCGGCTCAAGCATCGGCAGTGAGGAGGCTGTGGAGGATGAGAAACCTCGCAAGCATCGCAGACATCACAGACGCCACCACAAGCACAAGAAGTCTAAGAAGAGGATGCATAGTAACCTCGTCGATGTCGACGAGCCCACTATCAGTGAACGCCCTGAGGTTACTTTTCAGAATGGTGAACCCCGCCGTGTCGATTTTGCTCACCAGGGCCCCGCGGTCGAGATGGGTACTTCTGAGGTTACCCAGACCAACGAGCGCAGGCCTCTACCTGTCCTCCGCGGCTTGTCTATCAAGAACTTCGCCCCAGCAGTTTTCACTCAACCTCCCGGCTCTCCCGCTATGGGCCCTGTTCCCGCCGGTCCCGTTCCCCGTGTCCGCTTCGGCATCCGTCGTACCAACTCTCTACCTGACCGCCTGAACCAACAAGCTGGAAACGTCAGACCACCCGGTGCCTTGTTCCCTGCTCAGATTCCAAGGGCAGCTGTAAACAGCGGCGATGATGTAGACGAGAAAGTCGTACCCAACGACCATCTCTCTCGCACCGCCGCTATTCTCCTCCTTCTGTTCTCCACTGGTCTGGTCGCTGTCTGTGCCGAGTTCCTCGTTGATTCCATTAATGAGGTTGTTGCCACGAGCCCTCTGGGTGAGGTCTTCATTGGTTTGATCATCCTCCCCATTGTGGGCAACGCCGCTGAGCACGTCACTGCGATTACGGTTGCTATGAAGAACAAGATGGACCTGGCAATTGGTGTTGCTGTGGGTAGCTCCATTCAGATCGCTCTCTTCATCACGCCCATTGTCGTTATCATCGGCTGGGCCCTGGGCAGGGACATGTCGTTGTATTTCACCCTCTTCGAGACAGTCTGTCTGTTCGTTTCCGCCTTCATCGTCAACTTTTTGGTTCTTGACGGCAGGAGTAACTACCTCGAGGGTGCACTGTTATGCGCGACGTATGTCATCATCGCTGTGGTGGCCTTCTTCTATCCCAACTCGGACGAAGTCAACGCCCTGGGTGCTTGAGAACTCTAGACGTGGGATGGGTGTAAATGAGGCTGCGTTGTCGGTGAGGGCAGCTCGTGGCTCTTTATGATACTTAATGATTGCACTTTTCTTTTCTACTAGTGGTCTCACATCGCTTGATGTGGAAAACTACCTTTTAGGAGGTGACTTGGTTTGGGGACTTTTATTCTATATGACAAATTGCAAATGAATTTGCCCATTTTTTTGGGCGGCAGTAGATATTACTGGTGGTACTTCTTCGTCGACTTAGACGACTGAGATACGTCGCTTGACGACGAATATATATATTTTTTCTAAACAGTTTCTCTCTCGCTGCTCTTTGTTGTGTACGTTGGTTTTGTCCTCAGAGGCTTTGCCCAACGCCTCAGTAACTGCTGCAGATTTCATCCCTTGCAACCGTAGGCTGCTTCCCTCGTTCCCCTACCTTCTCCTAGGCAGGCAACAGCAAGGCTGTCAAGTAAGGCAGACTTCACCTTAAAAATGCCAACAGACGACAATGGAGTCTCTCCCGCAGAATCATAACATTCGGCATTAGAGAAATGAAGGCTCTGCGGAAAACAGTACTGGAGATCTCGACGACCATTGTGCGCCGCCGGACGCCCGAACATGCTTGCCAAGTCCTACATAGTTAAATGCACCTAAGGTGGAGTATAACATTCACTCGTCTTGATAGCTTACTATGCCTATCTACCCTCCGCTACGTCGCCTGGAAGATATTTGTGTCGCCGCTATATGCGTATCACTCCCGAGCACGATGCATCCTTACTTTCGACGATACTTGGGAAGACGAAGGAGGGTGTGAGCGTCTGGGAGCAAATTCCGTGCCTTATCGCCCAAGGCGTCTGTGTTTGTCCGGATAGTCCCAAAAAAAAAATCGTGCTAGGAATTTGCTGCTGCAATTGCAGCCTCAACAACGTAGGGGCTTGGAGAACGCTGGGTACCTATGATTACCAAGATGGGCGGCGGGTGATCAGGCTCAGAGGCTTCAACTTCGCTGACAGCAGATAGTAGACATCAACCCGGTTGGTTTCGCGTCTGGCATGTATACTCTTGCTCCCATCGTAGAGGTCGTTTGATTTGATTGTTTAATCGGTAGAGTCGACGAACTCAGACGTCTGGATGAAGCCCTCGAGTCCGATTCAAGGAGGCTCAAGAGATGTGTGGGGGAGTCTTTCAAGGCTTTAAGAAGACATTAGGGGCAAGCCATATGTCGACCCTCGATATAGTCAACAACCTAGGCAAGCTTTGCGCATGACATAATCAATCCAAGGTGGCCGAGGCCATGTATGAGCGAGCTCTTCAAGGCAGGAAAATGGTATCTGGGCTAGACCATGTGTCGATCCGTAATACAATTAAAAAGATGGCCTTTACTCGAAATATCAAGACTGAGTTGAAGAGGCTGATAAGATGTATAAGAGGGCTCTTCAAGGTTATGAGAAGGCATTAGGGCCAGAATACGTAAAACCCTCGATACAGTCAACAGCCCGGGCACTCTCTACTCAAAAGGTCAAAGCCGATTTGAAGAGGCTAATTCGATGTATGAGAAGGCTCTTCGAGGCTACGAGAAGTTGCTAGATCTTGAAGATGCTAGAATCTGTATCTCTGTCCTCGGCATTCTTTCCAAACTTGGCTTGTTATTTGAAAGGCAGGACGAGGTAGGCAAAGCTAAGCCATACTACCAACGGGCGCAAGATGATTACCATACCTTACTTGGGCCACGTGCAGGAATCATGTAAGGGCGTTGTAGAATACTTTGTGTAATGAAGCAGCATTTGATGTTTTTGGCTGGGTTCACGCTTTGTTCTCCGGCAAAGAATCTACGAGATGGGACTTTGGCACCTTTCTGGGTTGCCTCTATGTGTATGTAGTACTGCAGCAACATTCTATGCAATTATTATATCCGTAAAAGTCCTCATTGGGTAATGACTGCGACGGGCAGGGGGTCGAGACTTTGTCTCCTGCCATGACCTACCCTAGGTATGTATGTATAAAGACCCTTGCATGTTTGACTGATCGCATAAAAAAATACCGTGTAATCTCAGTGCGACCGGGAGCCTCTGTTGGTTACTAACTTAACCGCGGCTGAACTTCGTGATGTTTGTTTCGGTGAATTCATCCGAGACCGGTCAAGGAAATCTCGGTGTCCTCGGGCCATCGGGTAAGCTTAACTTTTAGCCGCGCCCGAAGCCCCCACCCACTTTCGCCCGATGGTGCAAGGTTGTCAGGCTAAATAGGCGTAATACCATCACTCCCCCCTTCGCGTGGCGGTGGCTGAGATCTTTGTCGTAAAAATGAAAGACTTTTCAGCCGTTTGCTTGACGGTGAAGTTTGGAAAAACTCTGTTCAAAAGGCTGCAAAGGATTGATTCGAATGCAAGCCAAAGTGCAAACGTTTGCCTTTACATTGCGTTCAGTGGGACAATCTGGTAATACATAGTAGGCAAAAAAGCATGCAAGCTGCCATTTTTCGCTTTCAAATGTGGGGAGCTGCAAGTGCCCCGCGGGGGCCATCGAAAGCTGCGCAGAATAAAGTGGGTCTCTTACCCAAACCGGATAGCTCCAACATCATTCAATCCAACCTCTTTGGATTAATTCGTAATTACACAGCCACTTTTCAATTGTCCAGATACATACAAACTTCAGTCGCCGTCAGCCCACGTCATTCGTCATTTGTTACATTCCCTCTTCATCGTCAACCTCATCATCATCAACTTGCAGGAAGAAATTACTTATTCGAAGCGTCGGCATTTTGAAGCACTTTGCCCAGTCACCCGCAGTGTTTCGGATTCCAAAGCTCCCGCTTAAGCTCGAGCTCTATTTCAACGTCAAGGCGCCTATCCCCGCTAACTCGGACACTTTGTTCCGCAGCTTCGGAGGCATCCTGATACACGAGACGAACCGCATAAATCTTGTCCCAAAGGAAACCGCCACAAGCTTTTCCTCTTCCTTTTGAGAATGTGTTTCGGTAGCAAAGCCGACAAGGATGATAGTCCTGCCCCTCGCCCCGCGCAACGTCCTCCCTCCGCGCAACAGCAACAGCAAGACATCAAGATGAGCAGTAACCAACGACCACAGTACGCTCCCACGACCGGGCCCCCGCCCGGTCAAAGCTCCAGTGAGACCTACGCTCCTCCTCCCGGCCCGCCTCCGAGTCAGTCATACGCTGCACCTAGCGGCCCTCCGCCTAGCCAGTCGTATGCTCCGCCGAGTGGTCCGCCGCCGGGACGAGGTGAGGACGATTTTGCACCTCCGGCAGGGCCGCCTCCTAGTCAATCCTACGCCGCGCCTTCTGGGCCCCCTCCTTCTCATGAGGATTACGCACCTCCTTCTGGACCTCCTCCTTCTCACGGAGATTACGCACCTCCTTCTGGGCCTCCGCCCAGTCACGACTATGCCCCACCCCCAGGACCGCCTCCCTCCCAGCCACAGGGAGATTTCGCACCACCAGCAGGTCCTCCGCCGTCCCATCACGACTACACTGCGCCGCCTCCGGGTCCGCCGCCGTCGCAGTCGCAGCCAAAGCATGATTGGGAGGTCGCTGTCCCGGACACCTCCCTGTTCCCGCCACCACCCGCTTTCTTCAGCGGCTTTGACCGGTCACCTGCCAACAACTCGACTGAGCAGGAGGCCGAGGCGGGCGAGGCATGGGTGGCTAAGTACCCTCTCGTTCAACCCATTCATCTCGACCCTGCCGCCTTGGAGGCCCTACGGGCCAACAGGATCTCCCTGTTGCAACCCCAGGGCTTCCGTGGCAGCTTGAATCAAGTTGCGCCTGGTGTTTGGGAAGCTTCGACACCGAAGAACGCTCCAGATGGCACTATTATCGGTTATCCCCCCCTCTACTCTGTGAGAAACCACTCTCCTTTGGCTACCGGTCGGCAATTTACGGCGTACTACGAAGTTCAGATTCGTGAGAGCGGCGCAAAGGAGGTAGACGTTGCCCTGGGTTTTACTGCGCTGCCCTACCCCAACTTTAGACTCCCCGGATGGCACCGCGGCAGCCTTGCGGTTCATGGTGACGATGGACACAAGTATATTAATGACAGATGGGGTGGCAAGTCCTTTACCACTCCCTTCCGTATTGGTGAGAGGCTTGGTGTTGGAATGACCTTCTCAGCCAATGACGGTCGGATCAACGTTGACATCTTCCTTACTCGTGATGGCAGGCTTTCAGGTAGCTGGAACCTGCACGAGGAGATTGATGCAGAGCAGGATGGCCCGGTTACTGGGCTCGAGGGGTACCACGACTTGAGCTGCGCGGTTGGTTCGTTCAACAGGAATATCTACGAGATCATTTTTGAGCCGAGTAGGTGGAAATACCAGCCTTGAGGGTTGAAACGTGAAAGTCAAGGCTGGGTTGTATCGGAGGACAGAAGCCATGGAAGGCATACTTAACAGAGCAGCGACTAGTTTTCTTATCATGAGTCAATTCAAAGCGTGAAATAGTTACATCTTGGCCTTTAAATCTTTCTCCTTCCACCACGGGTACGCGCTTGGCGCGTCCTCTTCCATGGTTGCTTGGAATTTCGGTGCCCGCTTCTGCATGAAACTATCCATCCCCTCTTTGCTGTCCTTGCCTCTGAACAAATCGAAAAATATTTTGCTCTCCAGCAAGTGCGCCTCCTCGGGAGAATCGGGCGTTCTGAGGATCATGTCCCGCATGACCCTGACAGCAACCGTGCTAGCGTTCGCAGCAACGTCCTCGGCAATCGCAAGGGCACGCGGAAGAACCTGATTGGGTTCGACGATCTCACTAAATAGATTCCGTAGCAGAGGGCTGTCGGCGGGGTATACCTCGCCGGTGGTGACCAGATGCAGCGCCGGGCCCGCCCCGATGAGGCGGGGGAGATAGAACGACGAACAAGCCTCCATGTTGAAGCCCCTGCGCGCGAAGACGAAGCCGATCTTTGCCGATTTGGAGACGATACGGATGGACGCCGGCAGGGCCATGGTGATACCGATACCGACGGCCGAGCCGTTGATGGCGGCGATGATGGGCTTGGAGCAGTTGTGCATCGCTAAAGCGACGACGCCGCCAGTGTCGCGGTGGGCGTCGCGAGTGGATGGCAGGGAGACGGGGGAGTGGAGGTCCATACCCACGCAGAATGTCTTATTCTCGGGGTCGGAACCTGTAAGAACTATGACTTTCACGCGGGGGTCCTCGGAGAGTAGGGAGTATGCGCGGGCGAGGGAGTGGGCCATCTCGTCTGTGAAGGCATTTCGGGCGGCTGGGCGGTTAAGGGTGAGAATTATCACGGGGGTAGGGGTTGGTGAAGTTGCTGGATGGTGAGAGAGGCGTATCTGAGGGATTGAAAGGGTGTTGTAACTGTCTGGGAGGTTCACCATGATGCTGGGGCGCGGACAAGTACGGTGTTTTCAATATGAGGCGGAACAGCTGTTGACTGCTGACTTGAACTCTGCCTTGAGATAGGCACTGACTAACGACGATGGGCGTCGATGTATCTGCTGGTCAAACTGTGAAGTTGAAAGGTTCAAGCGGAAGTTGAAATTGAGGGGGTCTCACAACCGGATACCGAGGTCCGGTATGGCTGTTCTGAGTATATGTAAACGGGATATTCCAAACTCTGCGGAGTTTCTAAATGAGCGGCTTAGTCCGCCAGAGTTCTTGGGAAACTGGAGGGCTCAATTGGTAACCTTTTTTATCGCTATAACCAAGCTATCAAACAATACTTGCACAAATTGACGACCAAATGCAGCTTGAGATAGCATTGTAATCTACCTAGGCGAGATAAGGTCGCGATAAGAGTGACAGTGTTAAAAACCCATGCCACCATTATGTGGCACAGTACGGCTGACTCAACCAACCACTTGCGCATTGTAGATCCCCTTGGACCCTCGACCAAAAGACGCATTCCTCGACATGAGGCATACGACACTTCTAGAGCATGGTCTATGATTGGGATGCCCACGAAAAGCTATGTTTTCAGCTGTACATCAACGAGAAGAAGTCCCTCGAGGACATCATGGATTACTTGAAAATCCACCATAACTTTTCTCCCTGGTGAGTCAGTTTCACGTTGGTTGTTGGGCCCGGGAGGCCCCTTTTCCACTCCGCATATCATGGTCTCTCTCGCCGGCCGGACCAGCCGATCCACCCAAAGCTTTATTCCTTCCAAAAATGGCGAGCAAAAAATCCGGGGTAGAAATGCCCAGCTAATGACGTACCTTGCAGCAAACGAGCTTTTCAGACCCAGTTCCGCAAATGGGACTTCCCCTCGAAGCAGAACCCCGCCTACAAGAACGACCGGTTGGTTGCACGTATCAAGGAGCTATGGGAACGGAATCTTCCTCAAAAAGAGATGCTCCGCGTCTTGAAGGAGGACGGGTTTGATATCAAGAAGCGCGAGCTGATCCGCGTAAGGACGAAAAATCGATGGCTTCTGAAAGCTGCGAACGGCGAGCGGGCCAAGGAAACTCTTGGTTCTGGGCTCCGGCCGGCTCTAGCATCGGACAGCATGTTCGAGGGGCAGAGTGACAACCAGCGATTGCCCGGCGACACAGGGGACATGACTCCGGATACATTGACAGATCATGACACACTCGGGACTCTGCCTGACGAGCTCACCACTGCTTGGAATGAAGACAACAGTCGGAGAAAGCGGCGGCGATTGAAGGCCTGGGGAAGTGCCTCTCAAGATGCGCCGGTTGCCCCGCGATTTCCATCCGAGACCACGCTTGACGAGGCCAAGACGATAATTGGCTTGACGAATGACGTCTATCGACAGGTTCGATCTACTTTTGCACAGCTCTGCGAGGAGTCGGACATCGTCAAGAAGAGCGTTGCCGGCCCCGACAGATGGGAAGCCGTAAAGGACAGGCTGATTAGGGAGATGTCGCAGCTGCAAGACGTCATGTGGCAGTCCACAGAAAACCAAGAGTCCAAGAAGTTGGCGCTCGATGTTATATGCACCGATGTGACGAAGCGGACACGGACACTAGACAAACGCATCACTCTTGCAGAGGCCAAGAATATACTTGGAATCAACCCCGAGGAAGCTAGAGATCTACGTGCTGTCTTTGATCAGATTCTGAGAGACGGCTGTTTTGGCTCCAAGTCTGAAGCCGGGCCAGCCCAGTGGAACGACCTCAAAAAGAGATGGGAGGACGAATCAGACCTCATCCAACGTATTATTGCCCTCGGGCCTACAGATCCCTGCTACGCCGACAAACTGCGCGCTCTAGACATTCTCGCTCGGGATGTCATGAAGAGATTGCGGGATGACACAACGAGGAAGGATAAGCCAAAGAAAGAGTCTCCTGGGAAGGCGGAGCAACCGAAAGCTGTTGGAGCCCAGCAAGAGCGGAATCCCGGGCTTTCGCAATCGAGGCAGCAGGACGTGGTTGATCATGTTCGAGCTGACTCCGATTTGGTCAACCAGTATGGAAACTCTGGTCAGGTCTCTTCTATGGGTCTAGTTCCCAGTTCTGGGGACAGCCAGCCCCAGATGCTGATGCCTGTGTCTTTGCAAGCCCAGACCGCCGACCCCCTCGGTCATTCCGCTGCCCGCATACTATCTAATGCACTCCTTGGTCAGTCGAGTATGGCGCTGGAGTCGCATTTGGGGTCTTCACTCCTACTCGCTGCCAACGCGCAAGCTGCTTTTGTAGACCAGCAATATGCACAGCAGTTCACTGCCGCGCAGCCCATCTTCCACGCGCCGGTACCCACAAGTGTGGCCGTCTACTTACGACTGCACCCCTCGTCCACATTCGTCGTTAATGCTAATCTTTGGATCGCGACATTGAACTCGCACTCGGTGCAGGTGCTACGACATGTGGCGGCCAGCAAGTTTCCTGGTGCCGTCTGTCTGAGAGTTGAGGGGGTTCTGAAGGACGGTAAAGGCGGGGAGATGCCTCTGCAGATTGACCAAGATCCAGAGCTGGCTGCGTACTTGGCACATCTGCAGGGCGCGACTCCGACTTTCAATGTGCAGCTCGTCCCCGGCTGGAAGAGTGGTTAAGCCGCTACTTGGCGGGGTAGGGCTGAAATATGATTGGGACGCATGACTGAATGAAGATACCAGTGTATTATTAGACATTGTGCTCATTGCAAGCTGAGATGCTATTGTTCACGCCGATGCCGGTACTGGAGCCGGGGGGCAGAGCTGTCTTATCGGAGACGAATTGCTATCGCTAATGCATAACTGAAACCCAGACCCCCTTGTAGAGTTGACATGTCCTCGTTCGATTCATGCATGATGGCGCGCTCTCAAGAGAAAATACTCTAATTCGTCCACTTCACCTCGGGTTTAGTGAGTGAGCGGGCGGAAGGGAAAGTGGAAGCCACGGCAAAATGTGGAGTTGCGCCGGTCGCGGTCGCACCGTGGAGGTCCCATAACTTCCCCGCTTCCGGGCCGGCCAATCCTTATCCCCGACAGCTTTACAGGGGCCCAACGACCAGTTTCTGCAGGCTTTTGCATGGATTCCATCTCGCAATCTGAGCTCCAAAAGATCTAAGGCGGCGCAGATCCACCAGCTACAAAATATCTCCAGGCCTGCCACCACCTTCCCCTCAACCCAGACCTCCGAATCCGGATGGCAACAAGCTGCGTCTTGTTCTACTACAATTGACGCTCGACTTAATTACCTACTCGAAACCGAATCATCGATATCATTCTCTTTGCGAGTCGAATAAGCGCAATGGCGCATCTTAGAGCTAGAGCTCCGCAGGCAGCTCTTCAGAGCCTCAGAGCTGCAAGCCCGGCCCCACGCCGGCGATGCGTCGCTCTGTCCGCTGGAGCCGCGCGGCAGATGTCGAGCAAGCCTGATCGACCGGTGTCGAACGAAGACAAGACCGGCCGTACATTCCAGGGCCAGGTTGTCGGTAGTATCTCTCAGAGATTGGCGCGCGAACGGGCGGAGCGGGAGAGGTTCGCTGCTGAGCGGGAGAGGATGTCTGGAGGCAGGAACTACGCCTATACCTTTGGTGAGTGGGATACTTGCATAGTTGCGTTTTGATCTGGGCATCAAACCATCAGCTAATGCGTCGCTTTGCCTGCAGTGCTCCTCGCATCGATCGGTGCCTCGTACTACCTCGGCACACTCGTTCCCTCAAGTCCCAACGAAGAGTCGACGTTGCCGCTCCACAAGACAATTGCGCCACTACACAAGCTGAACAAGGAGAATCTCGAGGCTGCATGGGCTGACTTCGTCAACATCGTCGGCAAGGAGCACGTCAGCACGTCGATCACCGACATTGAGCACCACGCCGACTCCGAGTGGTCGTCGCACTCGGCCAAGCCCGATCAGCGTCCCTTCTGCGTAGTGTTCCCGAGCACAACGGAGGAGGTTTCTCGGATTATGAAGATCTGCCACGAGAGGCGCATCCCCGTTGTCGGCTACAGCGGCGGCACTAGTCTTGAAGGACATTTCACGCCTACGCGAGGTGGTATCTCCATCGACTTTGGCCGCATGAACAAGGTCTTGAAGCTGCACCAAGAGGACCTCGATGTTGTCGTGCAGCCCGCCGTCGGTTGGGAGTCTCTTAATGACCAGCTTGCTCAGTCGAACCTCTTCTTCCCGCCGGATCCGGGCCCGGGAGCCATGATCGGCGGCATGATTGGCACAGGATGCAGTGGCACCAACGCCTACCGCTACGGCACTATGCGCGAATGGGTTCTTAGTCTGACAGTCGTGCTGGCTGACGGTACCGTCATCAAGACGCGCCAGCGCCCCCGTAAGAGTTCCGCCGGTTACGACCTCACCAAGCTCTTCATCGGTTCCGAGGGCACCCTGGGCCTGGTGACGGAGGCAACGCTCAAGGTCACGACAAAGCCGGCGTCGACATCTGTCGCTGTCACGTCGTTCCCGACGATCCGCGATGCGGCCAACTGTGTCTCCAAGGTTGTCGCCGCGGGCATCCCTGTTGCAGCGGTGGAGATCCTGGACGACCTGCAGATGCAGTGCATCAACAAAGCCGGCATGACGAGCAAGGCGTGGGCCGAGGCGCCGACCCTCTTTTTCAAGTTTGCGGGCACGGAAACGGGCGTCAAGGAGCAGATCGGGCTGGTGAAGCAGCTCGCGTCCAAGGCCGGCAGCAAGACTTTCGACTTCGCCAAGAACGAGGAAGAGCAACATGAGCTGTGGAGCGCAAGAAAGGAAGCTCTGTGGAGCACGATGGCTGTCAAGCGCGAGGGCGACCACGTCTGGACTGGAGATGTCGCGGTGCCGATGAGCAGGCTGCCGGACATCATTGAGGAGACAAAAGAGGCCATGGCCAAGACCGGACTGTTTGGAACCATCGTCGGACACGTCGGTGACGGCAACTTCCATAGTGAGTATTCCTTGCTGAAGATGCAAGGCGAAGTACTAACGTGCACAGCTATCCTGCTTTACAACGACCAAGAGCGCAAGAGAGCTGAGCACTTTGTGCACAACATGGTCAAGAGAGCTATCGAGATGGAGGGCACTGTCACGGTATGTATACTGCAGGGAGTCGCTGGAGCAATGTCACTAACGTACGAAGGGCGAGCACGGTGTTGGTCTGGTCAAGAGAGACTACCTTCCCCACGAGCTGGGCGAGACGACTGTCGATACGATGAGACAGGTGAGTGAATTTTCCGAGAGCCTGTGTAATGGCAATTACTAACTTTTGTTACTCTACAGATCAAGAAGGCTCTCGATCCCCTTTGTCTGCTCAACTGTGATAAGATCGTCAGAGTGCAGCAGCCGAAGGCTGGCGAGGTGGAAGAGTGGTAAGCGGTAGTGGATGGCGGAAAATGTCCAGATCGGACAGGTGTAGGAATAGGGACAACAGCCTTAGCTGGCATCATTACTCTTGTACATATATCTCCCGTCCCCTGATGCTTAAGCGCCAGATCTGGCGTTTAAACACAACGACCTTTCAACGTTAAGCCCGACTTCCTATTCCTACGATGAAGGTTTGAGTAACAAGCAAAAATACCTACTACTTAACTATTACTTACATATGCACTGAAGCACACAAAGTCAAGAAAATGTTAAAGAAAAAGAAATCTTCGGAAACAGCAAAAGTAATCTTGAAAGGGACGAGACTCGAACTCGCGCGGGTTGCCCCACCAGGAAACAGATGTTAAGCTGACCTTAACCTGGCGCCATAACCAACTCGGCCACCCTTCCTGAGATTGTTGAAACATACATGGTGGAAGGACACCTATGACCCTTTACTCAACAGGGCTTGGAGGCCCCACAGTGAGACACGCTAAAGTGGCTGTGCCCACACCACCCGCCAAGGGACTTGATCCTGAGTGCCTGAATGATTGCTGGCAGAATCGACCTACCTGCTTGGGTCCGTGGTGATCATGTAGGACCGTTGGGTTCGTAGTTTTCTTTATTGTAGTAGCCTTACAGATTCGATGCATAGTTAAATGTTGTATTTCGACCGGCTTACTACTGGATGGAACTTGCTGAGTCTCTTCAACCCCATATACAGTCCCACTAACACCAAGCATGCTATCTACGCCGTTCATGGTTCACAATCGCAAGGCGCAAGGCGCACGAAAGCAGTCGTTCCAGGTTGGGTTCATCGTCCGTTGGATTCGAGCCTGATATTGTTCCAACACTTCCCCGGTTGGTGTCTACGTGACTTGCAGGGTTGCGACGCAGCCATAAGTTGACCACTGGAAGAAGCATGGCGCTTCTGCAACAAAATTCAGCTCTGAACCCGACTATTGTTTTAATTGGTGCACCCCAAGCATTGCACCAGATAATCTCAAGGGTACTCCCCACACCCTCCGACTGCCAGGGCCTTCAGGTGCGGCACCATGCCATACCTTGGAGCAGTGGTGGATGAGGCAGTCGACAAGCCTTGTAGTTAGCCTTGTTCCCTCCGAGAATTTACCATATAAATGCCTCTTAGGATCTTATGATTGATTTGAGACTTTCCTCGTGCCTCATCATATGTTTCGAAAGACCTTCACGCCATGGCGGACCCTCTATCCATAGCCGCCAGCGTCGCTGGCCTTATCACGCTGGCCACATCAACCGTGAAGCTGGCCAAGACGATGTCAGACCGATACACTGAGAAAGCAGCCGCCTCTATACGAGGTAACGCCGAAATTCTTGACACCGCTCTCACCCGGATAAATAAGAGCCTTGAAGACCAAACTTACACAGGTCCAGGGGAGGAGGCTCTCAGAGAGCCTGTCGAGTCTTGCGCGAGGAGCCTGCGAGATATTGAGATGCAGTTCCAAAATCTTGATATGAAGGGGAACTTCATCAGTAATATGGCCGGCCGACTGGCTCGTCCGGATATACTGAAGGAGATACAAAAGTTGCAGGTCTCTTTGGAAGGACAGAAGACGACCCTTCTTATTGCAATGCAGTGAGTTCCTTGGACGTGGAAACGCCTTTCTTTATTCCTGAAAATCAACCTCATTGGTACGTCTAGTACTCTCTAACAGCTTTGGTAGGAACTGCTCAGGGGAGAGCCAAAACAAGATGTTGCACATGATATTTGGCGCCATCGAGGACCTACGATCCATCATCAAAAAAGAGCAGGTCACAAATGAGCCTGTTAGTGACCATGCCATGAATGCCCAAACAACAAACAGCATCGAGAATACAAGCGTCGAGTCTGTGGTGCAGACGTATGCTTCCTTTGACGACTGGCTGTCGAGTTGGACGGTGGCAGAAGAAAATCAAGGCACTCTGGCGGCACCAGTAAGCGGCGAATCATCACAAAACAAAGGTCCGACCGCGAACTCCCCGACTGTACCAAGCGGTCCACAACGTGTGAAGTTGATTATTGAAGGTCTCCAGCAGGCAGGACACGAAGGAGCGATCACGAAGGAGATCATCACCACCAGTGACACGTCGTTATGCGATATCATCTCTGAACTCGATGAGACACTTTCGCAAACCGTAGTGAATAAACTCAGCAATAACCATCATGAATACGAACGAATATGCGGATTCATAGATACGGAGAATGGCGCCAAGTTCCCGCCGTTTATGCCCCGGGACGCTTCAATTGTGACTGTCACAGATGGCAGCAGCTCCTATATCGTTCGTGATGGGCTGAGGGTGAATCGTCATGAAAGGCTTATCGACTTTTACAACGAATGTATACGGGCAAATGTGTATCCAAAAACTTCGACATCGCCACTTGTCAAGAAAAAGTCATCCAGAATTGTGGTGCGCAATGCATTTGATCCTCAGCACTGCACCAACATTACGTTCCAGAGGACTTTGCGACTTCCGAATGACAGGCATTTTCAACGTTCACCATCGATTTCGAGGAGGTGGCAACCCGGGATCTATCGTTCTGAACATAACAGTCACAGGTACAGTAGTTCCAAATACAACAGTTTTGAACATGGCAACCCTTATTATGGATACTCTAAAGATAGTAGGGCTCCAGGAACTTCCGACTTCTTGGGCTCATTCCCCTTATTCAACGTTGAGGACTATAAAGAAAAGCTACCACCGGAAATGCACGAAAAGGGAGGGATGTTCTTCCCCATCTTCCAAAGAGAAGGCCTCGCCATTTCGTTTACAAAAGGCGAGCCAACCGAGGCTGATGACTATGGTGGTGCTGAGCAATTTGCCATCAGGGTTTATGCTGGATCTATCAACTGCTTTTCAGGAAAAACAGCAACAGAAACAGGAGCAAACGAACAAGACTATGTGATTTGCCCAATGCAGAAAAGGCTAGATGGTTACAAGGATGATATTGATGGGACTAGACAATTTGTTGCCATGCCTCTTGGATGGCAATATTCCGCCGAACACCAGATTACAGGAACAGAGGGCGTTGGCGGGATACAACTACAGATCGCAGCCCCTCTCTGGGACCATGTCGACTTCCGTGTACATGAGGACTTCTGGAGATTGGGTCGCTCTTTACGCTTTACAGACAGTGCCTCGGATTCGGGCCTGGAAAATGGTTCAGTCATCGTCATGTCCAACTTCAAGACAGATGCCAAGCTGCACAGCGCTTGCGAGATCTTATCCATCAACGGTAGCCAGCAACGAAGCCGTCCTGACTATTACCCCACGACTTGTGGCATTTCTCGTTTTGAACCTCCTCAATACACTTACCACGTCAACGACAGCCGTTCTCGCCGGGTCTCTACCGTTCAGGACTTAATTCAGATGAGAGGAAAGCAAGGCGCCGATCCAACTTCTAGTGTCCGCCTCCGCCCTGTTTTTTCATTAACTGTCCATCTCAAATTTTTTGTTACAGAAGACAGATATGATGTGTCCGAATTTAACAAAACCCTTACGTGTTCACCTTTTCTTGACCTTGGGTCTCTTATTTCCCACTGCCTTCATGACGAGTATATCGACTGCGGGTATTGTAACAGCTGCACGAGAACTTTTACCTACTCAGTTCATCCCCGCTGGTCATTTGGAACGTCCAAGACAGATGCTTTCCTGAGTGTCTGGCCTTCTGATTACATGCCCCTAGATCACGTGCTTGAGGTTTCGAAGTTGGCAGGGAATGAAGTGCGCATATTTTGCATACGGAAGACTGCCGGGGAGCTGAAGGGGAAAGATCACCAACTTCCGTCATATCCTAATCCAGGCTTTAGGCAAGGTTGGGCGATGGGCCTGGGGGCTGGAGTGCCGCTTTTCCAACAAATTCACAAAAACACTACCGCCAGAAATTGGGACTGGAAGAACAGCTGTTTTATTAATCTACAGCTCTTGAACGCAGCTTCCTTTAAATCCATTACCGGAATACCGGCATGGACTCCTATCTCGCTTCAGGATTACCAGAAGAGGCAGCTCACGTTACATGTGCCACTTGCACCAGCGCACCCGCACGCATCGTCAAACGATTCTAAATTGTCTAGTCTGAAAAGCATTAGTACTCTGGATCTCATGTTATCTGATGATATCAGATTCAGACGGCGGATTGTGCTGTGCCCCTGGTGTGAGACGAATCTCTGCAACATAGCGTGAGTCTACCTACCATCTTGCTATGAAGGCAAGCCTCTTGTAGAACTATACTGATGTCTTTCAGTCTTCTTCCGTGTAAACATATCTTCTGTTCCGATTGCATAAAAATCAACTGTAGAACCTGCATTCAATGTAGTGTTGCAACGACTGAACGACTTTTTTTCTCAGGACCAATGGAATCACCTTTCGAGAGGCTCGCCATTTCCCCAAAGCTTCTTACCATCAGGGAAGCATGCCAGGAATTAGAGGCCGTGCCTCGATATCGGCAAGTTGACGCGGCATACGAAAGCCCCGAAATAATAGCGGCGAAACTCGCCGGATGCACCTGGGGCGACCAGACCATGTTCTGGTTAAACTTCGTAATTGATGTACTGAAAAGGACCGAAAACGAGCCACGGATTCGGATAGCCAGGTCACTGGTGAGGGAGAAAGCTCAAAGCGGAAGCGTTTCCGAAGTTGAAGCTCTTCTACCTCTTCTTTCGAGAGCCGATTACTTTGAGGACCAGCATCACGGCCAGGAACATCTCGAAGAACTTCTGCGAGATTCTCTAAGGAGTCTCAACTTTCCCAGGCCAGACAAGGAACTTGGCATCACAAATTCAACCACATGCCTTGAAGCTGTTATCAATTGGATGGAAAGTGAGGCTATCGAGCCAGACCATCTTCTTGAATGGGGCGTGGACTTAAAGAAATGGGTTTGTCCCCAGGCGCTTGACAGCCTCAGCCGAGTTATTGGTTTCCTCAAACGCGGCGGGAAATCACTTGCCAAGGATTACGGCTTCAGTATTTTTGACTTAAAGGGAGCCAATGAAGGCAACTCGCGCCAGGATATCTTAAAAAGCGAGCTTCAAAAGGTAGTGTTGAATGAACTCGTGTCCAGTGGTTGCGACGTGAACCTCCGTAATGCCCAGGGTTACACGATGCTCTGGTACCCAGGGCATCTCGTACGCACGTTACTCGACAATGGTGCTCGCATAGACATATACGACCATAATGGCAACACGGTCCTACACGACATGGTATTGAAACGGCGTGAGACTCAACTCAGGGACCTCCTGAATGACAGCAGGGTTCGGGGTGCGGTAAATCTATTGAATAGGGAAAACCTTACCCCTTTTCACCTCGCACTAGGGATCGATGATCTTGGCGAATGGAGAACCTTCACGAACCTGCTCGAGAGCGCCCTGGCCAGTGTGTATCTGCCTCTTCCACGAGGCGCATATCGGGATGAGTTGATAAGGAGTCTCGAGAAGTGGAAAGATAACTTGCATCTAAAGACAGCTTATTGGTATGGCCAATATTCTGAGAAGCGCCTGCAAATAGTGCGGCAGGTTTGTGGCGTGAATAACACTACTATTTAACGGGTTGAGATTGGCTTACGCCAAATGACCTCCCGCCGCCTGGGAAGCAAAGAAGAACCAGGGAATTACAAACAGGCAAGGGGCTAGCGAGGCATATGCTTCTTTCGGTCTTTCATCTATTCATCACCTTCATCATTTTTGAGGTCCTCGGCCTTCCACTCTGGAATTTGGTCTTTTCTTGTTTGGATCTGATTACTCCTTCTTTACGGAGACAATACAGGTTGAAGTAAAGCGAGATGCCACTCACGCTCAAAATCTCCCATAGTTTTTAGTCTGTAGCCACTACCATCATGTTTGACGGAACTGATAAAGCACAATGTCTTGGATATTCACAGCATCACACTTTGCCAAAGGTTGAACGACAAAACATGCGATGCGTTGTAGGCAGGCACGTACTAGGATTATTTCACTGAATAACGTAGCTTAGTCGTCAATGCCTCCCCATTCACCAACATCATTGTTATCGTCCGCCCTGGAGGACTTTTCTTGCTTCTTCCTCTGCTTGCTCGCTGCAGCAGCTCCCTTCTTGTTGTTTTCCCTCCGTCTCTCCCATTTACTCTCGGTAGAGATCATCGCCGCTCCGTGGCTACGTCTTGCCTCAACGCCCTTCTCCTTCAACTTCTTCTTATCTGCCTTGCTCACGTTTGGCAGGGCGTCGAGGAGCCACTTCTGTACGTTGGCCTCGTCGCCTGACTTGCCAGCCTGCTTCTCACTGGCGGCGATGACGTTGGCAACACTCTTGACAAAAGGGATATCGTCAGTTGTGTAAAAGGTTACAGCAACACCTCCTTCACGACCGGCTCGGCCGGTACGTCCAGCACGGTGAACGTAGGCAGCGCTGGAGCCAGGAACGTCGTAATTTACAACGCCGTTTACACCTGCAAAGTCGACACCGCGGGCGAGCACGTCTGTCGTAATCAGAATCCAGACCTCGCCAGCGCGGAAGCGGCGCATGATTCCTGCACGAGCTTTATCAGACAGACCACTGTGCAGGGCAGCGATTCTGGTCGGGCCGCCAGCTGCCAGTGGTATGTCATACTTCAATTCCTCTGCTAACGCGGTCGCACGCTCAATGGTCTGAGTGAAGACTAGGAACGGGGGGCGCAACGGAGGGCCCGAGTCGTCTCCTGCGGTGGGGTGAAGGAGCTGTCGCAGACCAAGCAACTTTCCCTTCTCTGTTGCGGTGTAGACTAGTTTATGAGTTACGTTGGGGACAGCCGTGTCCTTCAGTCCAACAACCAGGCGAAGTAAGGGCTTAGTTGATGATCTCTCTGCCTGAATCTCCTTGACCAAGGTCTCAATATTGGATCCGAACGTCGCAGACCAGAATGTGATTTTCAAGTCGGGGTTAGAGCAAGCGGTCCAGATGGCCATGGTCTGCTCGCGGAAAATGGGGTCAAGTAGAACGTCGGCCTCGTCAAGAATGAGTGACTTGACCGTTGGGAGCACGCGCTGAGTCTTTGATGATCCAGATGTGAGGAAGTTGACGAGGAGTGCCGGTGTAGTAACTAAAATGTCTGCCTTCGTAACGTGCTTTGATTTGGCAGGCTCAGTCTCACTGTCCTCATCGTCATCTTCAGAGTTCTCACTCTCAGACTTGTCATCCTCGCTCTCGGAGCTCTCGTCTTCCTCAGAAGGAACCCGCATGCCCTTCTTCATGCCCACAACCTTGATGCCAGAACCCTGGGCAAGCTTACGTCCCTCGTTGACAATCTGGAAAACAAGCTCTCTTGTCGGCGCAATGACGATTGCAGAGAGCTCGTGGTCATCTTGCTCTCCACCGGCAGAAGCCCTCTTTTGCATGATGGAGTTAATGGCAGGGATTAGAAAACTAATCGTCTTACCGCTGCCCGTCGGCGCAACGGCCAAGAAGTCAACTCCTCGCGACACGTCGCCCAGCTCGTCATTGTGAGGAACTTCCTTGAGCGCAAGCTCGGGCTGCAGAAGAAGAGGAAGGCTGCCCAGCTGAACCTCAGTTGGCACTTTATAGCCCTGGTGAGCCAGGTTGTCCGCCAGCAAGGGGGCGATGTTATAGTTCGTCCGCAGTTCGCGGAATGAGGTCAGAGGCTGCGGGTGAAGCAGGTTCGTCTCTTTCTCCACCTCGACAGCAGCCTTCTTCTTCTTCTTGCTCTTTGTAACCTTGGAAGGATTCTTGTGACGCTCGGAAAGGAGCGTGAGCTTCAATCGGTGGGAACGAAGGATCTGTCGGCACTCGTCTTCGGGGAGCAGAGTTGGCTTGACGGCAGGATTTTGCGTAGTATCCTTGTCCTTCGCGGCGGCCTCTATCGCCTTCTCTGCTTCTTTTCCAGGATCCGGCTTAGGCGCAAAGAAATCGACTTCGGGCAACTGCGCTTCTTCCTTCTCTTCGACCTCTTCTTTGCCGCGCTTCCTCTTGTGTCCCCGCGTAGAGGGGACTTCATCGTGGAAAAGCTGGGGATTTGTTCGGTTTCCGGCCGACGGTAGGTTTGTCACCGCATTATTCGCAGCCTTGGGACCCTTTGAGGTCTGCTTGATGCCTCGCGACAACACTTTGAGGATATCCATGGTTGACGGTGCGAAGTCCAGCGAGGATATTCTGGATTTCTGCGAAAGCTGCAATTGACATGGAAATTTTAAAGTGGACCCGCGGACTGTGTCCGCACAGTGTGTTTCCTGTGCGGCCCCCCGGCATTGACTGCAAGACTTACCTAATCTAACTTTCTTCCATCGTATCAACATAACGGCAGGCGACACTCATCTGCCACGAGTTGGACGCAAAGTCAAGGGCGACCAATCATGATTTCTTCGGAAGTGGTATATAAATCTGGAGATCTAGTTTAAAGCATCGACGAAATAACGGCATGTAGGGACCAGGGACTGAATCTTCCTGCAGCCTGTGTTGAACACGCAAGTATTCATCTGTCTTTGTCACAATCTGCTCACTCATCCAAAAAATTTTATGCTCAACTCCTTGCGGTAAGAGTTTTTGACGTTATACTGTAAAGCTCTCCAACCTTCATGACCTGCCCCATAAATCGTATGTAACGGCGTCTCATACATGAGGGCCGAAAATAGTCATCTTTCAGGAAATGACGGCTGTAAGCGACAATTTGAATTGTGCTAGATGCCATTAGGGGGCGTTGAGGTTAACATAATAAAGGAAACATGTGCATAGATAAATGAAAGCGGTTTTGCTTGCTCCAACCGAGTCACCCGTTGGCTAATTAGCGTGCTGAAGTAGCGCAAGGTTTTATCATTGATTTCATAGTCTGATGCTTCTGACTCCCAAAGTGATTGATCTCCACGCTGTGGACTGGGCCGAGATTGATACCAAATCATCGCTGGTCGGGCATACAGCCGGCATCATAAAGGTCAGTATTAACGGACTGAAGAGGAAGAGGCCGGTCGAAAGTTTCTGCGCGGCAGAGAGGCTACCTTGTGCGGCAATGAGAAATATAACTCGAAGGAAGACGCTACCTACTCTGTATTTGGGATCATGGGTGTGAACATGTCCTATTGCACTGAGCAGGCAAACGCGCTTTCTTTCGGCTGCAGACAACCATTCGTAAAGATCTACTTCTCTTCATTTTCTCATCCTACATAGCCTCGAAATCACAACAGACGATGCGATTTCCGTGGAAACAGATGTATGTGGGAAGTCGAAGCAGTGTACGGTTACCCCATTGGCTGAAAACCCAAGCTACTTCTTCGTAGAAGATCCTATCATCTGGTATCACGCTTAAATAAACAATTCCTCGGCGACAAAATTTGCGATGGCTGTTGAGCATCATTATCCCCCACACCTTCCTCCGACAGGTCTTTGCCTTTGCCTAGCTCCTTAGGGAGAGGATCGACAGAGACGCTTATTTCCGGCATCTATTATCCAACAATGGGTTCTCGCATTGAGATTTTTGAGGAAGAAGTTGTACCAAGAAGCTTGCACGGGGAATTCTGTATCCTACAAACGAAGCTGTAGCTTGGTTTCATGTATCAACAGTAGCTTCAAGACCTGCCGAGCGAATCCCTTCCTACATAATGGCACACGGGTTTCACGTAGTTTTTGGTCTAGGTTTGCCAATAAACAAGAGCCTGTAGGCTAGGCGATTCATCTGCCTCAAGCAAGAAAAGGCAAGACGAGGGCATATAATGACAGCCACGGAGATAGCTGGCGAAGAGTAGTTGGCTCTTAAGGCTTACTAGGTTCTTGATTTTCTTGAGCGATCACCAACCCGTATTTCACAACACCTCAACATAATGGTATCTCTTTAACTAATCAGTCTTATGTCCTTAATGTACCTAGAACGTTTTGTATTTAGTGGAAGTGTGCCTTAGTATTCAAAGCCGAGCACCAGAAACGGGGTCCCAAAGAATCGAGATATACCAACTCATGATTCGCATCATTCTAAAACTAAATCCCATCATTTTGGGGTCGTCAGTAAAGTAATTCTAGTCAAATGATTCACACAAAATCGTAGTTCCAATTAGTATAAGAGAAGTCAACGCAGTAACAACTTTGGTGTCATCCATGGAATTGAATAGTCTATGGGTTAACGTCCTCTATTGAGCCGGTGACAGTAAAATACAATTCAGCTTTCAACGCCTCATCTTTTCTACTCATGGATTCAGTCAAACCATATTGGTGAAAGAAACACAGAGCCTTCACACAAGCCAAGACTCCACGGCGCAGAGAGCAGCAGGTGGTACTTCAGCACTTATATTAAGTCCCACTAACATACCAGGCAGTTTGATCGCCACATCGGCCTTCCATCAGCCAAGTCCAACTGCAGTTCAACCCGCAACAAAAACGTTCTTCAGGCCTTGATTTCCGTTCCCTCCAACCGCTCCTAATCGGACCTTCTTCCGTCGCAGAGAGGGTACGTCATCCAACCTCCACATGGAAACGCGATCAACATCTCCACCGAGCCTTGGGGCCGACAGCGCAATTTAGAACAAACACAAAGATGAAAACCCACACGTCTAGCCCACGCCAACCCCTCCGCTCCCGAGACCTGGAAACTAGTTCGAAAGGGCCCGCATAGGTGGCAGCAAAAAATGAGAAAAATAAGAGGAAACCCACAAGGCCCGCTCCCCTCCAGGTTCCACCTAGAAAATTTCCGGGCCTCAGTTAATCTCAGCTTCACCTCTTGATGTTTTTCGTCCCCAGTATAGCAAGCAAGCACTGATTTACACGTGCTCGTCACGGCCGTGCCCAGGTCAACTACGGAGAGCCCGATGCAATCTTGGAGTTGGTTCGTCTATAGTCTGGAGGGACTCGGACCGTCTTGACATATTCTTCTTCACCAGCATCGCTAATCCCCCGACGCACAAACGTGATAGGAAAACGGCAAGTGTACAGATATGGACAGATAGATACTTCGTGAACAAGTACCAACCGTAAATAAAGTACAACTCTAGAGCCATGACCGAATAGAGGTCAAGCAGAGAAAAGAGTCATGAGAATGTCAAAGTCCAACCCACCCCCGGTTTCTAAATCCAGACCAAAAGCACCGAGGTGAGACGAGAGGAGGGGGAGAAAAGCACCAGCCCGTCGTTCATCCCACCCCCTTTAGTACCCTCAAAAAGCCCAGTCCCCTCCTCCGAAGAGAAGAGAATTGCCATGTCCGCTGAACAAGTACTCGTCCAAGTAGGAAACAAATACGGTCGACGCGCACGAACCTGCCAGTTGGAAAAGAGGGCCACGCAAGATGACCTCGCCATAGCCCACTTCCAAAACAACATGCCGAAATAAAGTTGACAGGCTTACTAGTGAAGGCGGAACACTGTATCGAAGAAGCATAATCCGTCTGCAACGTGAGCCTGCAAAGCGAATGCAACGCCAGACCTACGGTCGCAGTAAGAAAAGGCATGGGCAAAAGACCTCGTGACCTCCCCAGACTGCCTCAACTTCGCATGTCGATGGCATGGCAAAAAGAAAAGTGAGACGAGACAAGAAGGAGCCGAGCTCTATGTTGCCTCCCCCCCTTTTCCGTCTGCCCTCTGCAGCACAATCCCAGACGAACGCAAGGTGGCGCGGCCTTTGCCAGCACTGGTGAAGAAGAAAAAGGCTCATCGTATGTTTTCCAACTAAAACCTTATCGTGCCGTGCCGCGTGTGTGTGTGTATGTCTGTTTGCTTTATCGTCCAAATTCCTGAGGCAAACCAGGAACCAGAGCGGCAGGCATAGTTGTTGTTGCTGTTGTAATGGGCGAGGAAAATAACATGGCGAACCGGGTTCTTGGACTTGTAAGTTACCGTAACGTCAAACGTAGCGTTGCATCCGTTTCACGCTTGTTGACCTTCTGGAACTCGACCTCGCTTAGCTACTTGGGCAACAACAACAGTCGCAGGGTGTGCTTGGACCCAAGTAACGCCAGCATGACCGTTGTCGAAACCTGCAACATGTCAAAACGTTTAGAGGCCTTCGAGGAAGTATACGGACTTCCTTCACACGTACACGCTTGAGCGATATCAGCATGCGCACCAACTAACTACTAGTCACAAGTCACGCGGATGGTAATAGACAACAGACGGAAACGAGGCTTAGCAACACGCAACGAACTTCTATTAAGTATTAAGTGAATGCTAAAAACGCGACGCCAACCCTAGTGGCTGGCACGGACCGTTACAAGCACGTCTTTTCCCACCAACAGTATCTCCAAACTCAAGTCTGACGATTCCTAACCTCAGACCGAGAGTAGAACCAACGCAAGTCCGTTCATCCTATCGACCCAAGGCTTCTTCGTTTTTTTGTCGTGGGTATTTTTTCTTTTTCGTGTTCTTGTCTGGAGCGACGGGTATAACTGGGTATCAAAGCATCAAAGCACGATACTTATAAAACAAACAAAAGAACAAACCAAACAAACTGAATGTGATTCGAAAAGACCGAAAGTGGAACGGAATCACCTCCCGCCAGATTTCGCCTTCCGATGCGTGTGCTGTAAAGAGGGAAATAGGAAAGGGTATCAGGTAGAATCAGTCTTGACGGGGTATCTTGAAATGCAGATCCGATTCCCGAACAAACTCAACTGAGTGAAATGAGTTGTCACGTGACATTACTCTTCCTCCGATCTCGATCCAATGCGTGCAATTTTTGTGCTGTTTTTCGTCGTTTGTGTCATTCTTCAGAGCTTGAAGAGGGAAACCTCCACTTGCGAGGAAGTCTCATTGGACTTAGCTGCGTACTCTATGCGGCAGCGGTGACAGGGGCGGGAGTAGAGGCGGCGACGTTCTCGGGCTTGTTCTCGGGCTCCTCAGCGGCCTTAGTAGCCTCGGCAGCAGGAGTGGCCTCGGCGGGCTTAGCAGCCTCGGCGGCGGCAGGGGCCTCCTCAGGCTTCTCCTCCGTCTTCTCGAGCTTCTCAGCGGGCTTCTCAGCGGCGGGCTTGCCACGGCCCTTGATGGTGGCACGGAGCTTGGAGAAGGCGCTGGTCTTCTCGGGCTTCTCAGCCTCCTCATCAGAGTGGGCAGGAGACTTGGCGGCAGGGGACTTGTCGCGCTTGCCGAAGCCGAAGGGCAGGGAAGACTTGCGCTTCTCGCTCTTGAGCTCAGGGCGAGTCTCGCCGTTGGTGGCAGGAGCAGCCTCCTTGACCTCAACAGGGGCAGTGGCTGGGCTGGTCACGTCGACGGCCAGAGGAGTGGTGGCTTCAACAGGAGGGATGACGGGAGCAGTCTCAGCGGCAGGGGTAACCTCGGCCTCCTTAGCAGGGGTGGCGGGAGCAGCCTCGGCCTCAGCAGCAGCAGCAGCCTTCTTCTCCTTCTTGCCGAAGACACCGAAGATGCTGTTGCGCTTGACGGGAGTAGGCTTCTTCTCCTCCTTGGCAGCCTCAGCGGGCTTCTCCTCAGCAGGAGTCTCGGTGGCAGCAGCAGCAGCAGCAGGGACCTCAGCAGCGGGAGCAGCAGGAGCCTCAGCGGCAGGGGTCTCAACGGCAGCGGCCTCAACAGCGGGGACAACAGGAGTCTCCTCCTTGGGAGCCTCAGCAGCAGCGGGGGCAGCGGCGGCCTCCTCCTTCTCCTCCTTCTTGGACTCCTCCTTCTTGCCGAGAAGGCCGAAGATAGAAGTGCGCTTGCGGCTAGCAGAGCGGCGCTTAGGCTCCTCCTTCTTGGGCTCCTCAGCGGCGGGGGCCTCCTGGGTAGAGACGGCAGCAGGCTCAGCGGTGGCAGTCTCAGTTGTGGCATCAGCAGCAGCGGCCTCAGCAACAGGGGCCTCGGCGGGCTTCTCCTCCTTCTTCTCTTCCTTCTTCTCCTCCTTCTTGGCGGGCTTCAGGCTCTCGAGAGCGGTCTTGTAAGCCTCAGTCTCGGTGATGGAGGTAGCGAGCTCCTTGGCCTCAGCAATCTTGTTCTTCAGCTGGGCGATCCAGTTGTCACGGTCCTCAGCGCTGGGAGCCTTGAAGACGTGCTTGTGACCCTTGGCGGTGAAGTGGAACTTGTTAGCGCCGTCGGTGGCGGGCTCAGAGGCGTCGGCCTGGGAAATGATTGTTAGTCAACCATGTCTTGGGGTAACTTCGTCTGTTATTCTTACCAGGTTGATAACACCCTGGGGAGCGGTCTTGTCACCGAAGAAAAGGAGACCCTTGCCGGTGTGGGAGGCCCAGGCAGCGTTGTGGTGAGCAGTCTCCGCAGACTTCTCGGTCTTCAGATAAGAAGACAGGTTCTTGGACTCGATGGCGTCAGATCCGAACCAGAAGAACTCCTTGGAGTAGATGAAGTTCCTGTGAGCGCTTATGTAAGTATGTGTGGCCAAGTCTAGCAGCTATATTTGCGTGCTACCTACTTGGGGAAGTTAAGGCCCTTGTGCTCAAGGTGACCCTCCTCGACGGGGGTGACCTCCTTCTTGGGCTCCTCGGCAGCAGCAGCAGCCTCGGCGGCTGGGGCCTCAGCTGGTGTCTCGGTGGTGGTAGCCGGAGTCTCCTCGGTGGTGGTGGCAGCAGCAGGCGCGGCGGCGGCGGGAGCCTCAGTGGCGGTGGTCTCGACGGGCTTCGTCTCGGCAGCGGGCTGCTCGGTGGTGACGGCAGGAGTAGTCTCCTTGGAGACCTCGACGGGCTTCTGTTCTTCGGCCATTGTGAATGTGTGTGAAAAAAGGGGAGTGGGTATCTAAAAGTCAGGCGAGAGACTTGGGTATCACTATGAAAAGGTGGAAAACAAAAGCACTAATAAAAGTACTGTTATGGTCGTGAGGATTTGTATAAGTGATCTCTTGGGAAACAAGAAGATCTCTTTGGGAATAATGGCAGAAAAAAAGAAGACCTGTAAGTGGTGGCAGAGAGAAGACGGGAGAGGGAGAGAAGAAAAACGGGAGATGGAGCGGGACGCTGGGGGTACTTATTCGCAAATGCGTGACAAGAGACGGCTTTGCCCTTGCCAGGAGGCCTGGTTTGATGGAGGTTCACACGGTCCAGTCAGTCCCTGGCGAAGGAAAAAAGAGGCGTGGCCCCGTTCTAAGTGGCTCCCCTGGGCTACCTTGGGTAGTGTGGGCAGGGAAAGAACGGTCCAAGGTGTGTGTGCGTGTGTGTGTGTGAGTGGGCGTGGGTAGAAGGGAGGAGGGAGTGTCAATGTCAGTCCAGAGGGCGACAAGGCGTGGGAGGGAAAGGCAGGAAAGCATAGGCACAGACAGACAGACAGGCAGGTACATGAGATTGTTTGGGGTTGCTTGGGTAGCAGGTATCCGTACGGAACGGTAAGGTACGGTTAGGAACGTAAGGTGCTTACAGACTGGTCGACTTGAGGGCAAGTGCAGGTCTGATCCGGCCTATTGGCTTATCACTTGCCTCAGGAAAGAACGTGTATACATACATAGCTTGTGGTGAGAAGGAGGCGTAGGTATGAGTTCTCGATGAGCGGAAGGTGCATGTCTGGCCATGCATGGCATGGGGGCAGGTGAAGTCACTCGTTCCAAACGGATACTTTTTGTGGGGGTGCTTTTGCCATTAGACGTCTATCGTGGTCCCTGTTAGTATCATTTACAGGACCAGCAGCAGGAGGAGCAGCAAGAATAGCAGTAGCAGCTGCCATGTCAGTGTCAAACGGTACACTGACACTGCGCTCTCTCTGATCTCACATGTGGTAGTTTGTATCTTTTGGGGGGGGGCAGACAAACAGCCCCAAAACACACTACGGCAAGGTAATCAACCTTAGCACAGTAGTAGTCCAGTTCTTTTCAGAGTTTAGAAGGAAAGGGGGTAGGGGAGGGAAGGAGTGAAGGAAGGAATAAAAGGGTACATTAACGGAGCACGTCCCGGACGGAAAGATACTTGATCGAAAGTACCTCCCTTTTGGCGTAGGTCCTTTTAATGGCAAGTGGGGCAATGTCCTTAGTAGCTCTGTCCCTGTCGCTGCTTGGATGGTGTTGCTCAGTTGGCCCAGGTGCGCGCACAGGGGATGAGAAAGAGAAAGAGGCTGGCCCGTGCTGCACACAAGCGAGTGGGACGAAATTGCAAGACCCGTAGCTGCATGTGCGTGTCCTGCGGTAGACGACGGGAGATACGATACGTATCCCCTTCAAGACAGGGACGTATACCGCAGGGCGACCGGGGGTTTGGCAAAGACGAGCCTTTCCACAGAGCGGCCAGCGTCAGGGGGTGCCTGTCTGGACCCTGCTGCGTTGCCGGGAACATGCCATCGAGATCCACTCTCGCCGCCATTGCCAGACATTAGTGGCCGTCCTCTTTTATTTGTTTAATCTTTTGTACTTTTTTTTTTTTTGGGCTACTTTTTCTTTTTTTTTTGTATGGTTAGCTTCCCCCGTTGTTCCCTCGTCGCGACGACGACGACAAGAGTAACAACGAACCAGAAGCTTTTGGGACAATGCATTAGGAAAAGTACGTATTGGTGTACGAATCATGGGTGCAAAAGCCTCGAAGGCGTTTGAATTTTTAATTTTTTTTTTTCTTTCCTTTCTGCGCCGTGCCCTGTCAGAAGCTGCAGGCGACCCAGCAACGGCCTCGGCCGTTTGATGACGGGCCCGACTTACAGATTGCACCATGGTGACTTTACGTGGTGGACCTTGGGAGATGGCTGGGTGATTTGGATGTGCGTTGAGCCCAAACCTCAGATAAGGCACCAGAGGGAGGACATAGTAGGGAGCAGCCCAAAAGTAAAAGGGGCGGCGGCCGTCCACACAATCGTTCGGTGTGTTTTATCACGGGGCAGGATGTGTAATTAAGGTCGGGAAAGCGCCTAGGATACATAGTATTGAAGGTGGAATCCCTCCTGGGCCAGCTCAGCAAGGTTGGACTGACTCACCTCGCACTGTGGTTCAAACCATGTACCTGAACGTGTTTTTATTTTATTTTTCCATTTCCCTTGCTACTACTTGTTTAGTGCTACTGCTGCTTCCACTCACCTACTTTTTGAACCATACATCAATGGTGTACGGCTACCGTTACATTCGATGGTCAGAACTGAAGCGGCGACGATCGAAAGTGGGTGGATGATTGACGGGCGCTTGGACATTCATACGAGATGCCATGTACTCTGTACCTTTAAGATCTTCCCTTTTCTATTTCCGCCAGCTTGTGTTCAAAACAGGAAGAGATAGACGAAACCGGAGGGGAGGGGGGAGATTCAGGATTTCAGAGTTAAATAAATAAAAAAAATTATACCCTAACAATATTTACAGAAGAAATTTCTTAAATAGAACCGCCTCACCTCCGGTCAGACTCGCGTGATGCCTTCCAACCAGCCCATGACGGACGTCAATACACCTCGAGGGGGGTGCCGGAGAGATGCAGCTCCATTCTCGTGCATTTCATGCAGGCATTGCATGGCAACCACACACTGGAGCCCACACCCGCAACCGCCTACGCATCACTTCCCACCATCTCGCGAGAGCTCGACGGTGAGCTCGACAGCCTTGACTGGCTTGGTTCCAGGTTCCAGATTCCAGAGTCCTACATCTAAAAGGCCTTCAGTCTTGACATCTTGTGCGTTGGGGCTTGTACTGGGCCCAGGACTTGGTTGTTGTCCACCGAAATATTTACTAGCCACTACCCATGTTCTGCAGGTCAAGCCAAATTTGAGGCGACCTGACAAACCCCTTTTGGGCCCCTTACGTATGCGCGTGTGAATAAGTGTGCGCCATGCCCTACTAATCTGCCTTACATGAGCACATGGGCGGGTTGTGACCGGCGCCCAAGTGCCGGCATTGCTAGGCATTCAAAACGGCTGTCATCGTCCAGATATTCGCCCCCATTCGACTGCATCACTGTTTTTGCTTTGCAAACCAGTAAGCGCCGCTTCCAACTTGCCCATTTTTTGTACCATACCCAAACTATCAGGGGAAGGGGCTAAAAGGGCACCTCGCGTGTCCTCGCTACTAGTGAAGCTAGCAGTGGTAAGAAGGGAGGGGAGTGTCCAAATCACCATGTTGCGACATGCGTCTTTCATCCTGCTCGTCAGGTCACTTTTCAAAACGAGACAACCCCGGTTCGTTAACCTTAGGCCAGAATCCACATGGTCAAAGAGACAGATATGGGAAGGAAGGGTGGGCAAAAAGAGAGCGAGGAGAAGAGAAGGGGAAGGGAAGGGGGGGGAAAAGAAAAAGGAGCCAAGGTGGTCCGCTGCTAAACCAACCACGCCATAGGGCCACGATGGAGAAAACGGGGACTGTACGCTCTGTCGAGATGCGCCGCTAGTCTGCTAGCTGCATCCTCTTTAAAACCATGTGACTCAGGCCAGACACCAGCTAAGCAAGAATTAATCCTGAGCGGGTGTGTCGATCAGCCTGCGCACCTTAACCTGACGCTTCATTGGGCTAATTGCGCACGCAACTGACTGACTGACTGACTGATTATGGGTGTGTGTGTGTGTGTGACTGTTGTCAACTCTGATGCTCCACACTTTATCTGCGCAAGAAAGAGGGCCAAAAATTGGAGGTGGAATGGTAAAAACGCAGTGATCAAGGTTCCTGCAGCAGACGACACACGCACATACTGCCATTACAGAGTTGTGGATTGCAGTCTGTACCACCAAAAAAACATGGTACATCACAAACGGTACGCCTGTAAACCTGCGACGATCGAGTGCCATGACACTGCCGCTGCCACTGCCAGTGACCCGTCACCCCTCTCGTGCCGCCCCCATCTCAATGGTCTAACCACGGGGTATGGTATCACACAGCACAGACAGCTCCATCTCCCATCTCTCACACCTACGAGCATCTCTACTATCGCGATACATAGTACATAGATCATTTTCAAGCGTTTGGATCTGGTGAGCCCAGCAGCTGTGGTCCTTGGGGTGTGTAGGTCTCCTCCTTTAGGTGCAGCCGCATTCCTGACGGCATAACGGGTAGCTGAAGACCACAACAAAGAAATAGGAGAAGTCGTTCAAAGAAGACTCGTCTGAGGCCAGCATGATAGATCCACCGTCGCAGAGACCATGGAGATATTCTCATGACAATCAGAAACAAAAGCCGCCCGACACTGTGCGACTACCAATCAATCGGAGATCCACCGACCCTTGCCTTGGACCCATTCCGCATATTTGATCCAAACAATCCTAGTTGCCGCCAGGCCTAGTCTTGGTCTCTCTTGGACAAGTTGGCGCTGCCGACAGGGACTTACGGGGATGTAGACGGCCACCCCCTGTCTCTGATGGTCAAAAAGTACTTACGGGGATTTATTTTCCTTTCGAGATTCAGGACCGCGACGCAAGAACAGGATACATTAAATCCCCCTCCACTGTCCGGTCCTGAGAGGTAGTGCCCTGGAAATGGCCAGGACCTCGTCAAGGGAGAAAGGGAAAAATCTTTCAAGACGCGAACCCGAACGGCTCTTGTTCGGGGCTCTCTGTTCGAGCGTGCATCAATCCAGACCTGCCAAGAAGCCTGAGGCTGATTCCAGCCCGCCAACTTCTCAAGAACCCCTAAACACACGACATTGTCAATACTCCCAGACATAGCCACTCTGCACGGTGTGCATGCTTAGTAGGTCTTCCGACGAGGCTCGTACCCGTCATCACTTTGACATTGCTTGCCCGCTCGCTTGCTTGGGTAGTTGGGGGGTGCCCACGGTTGTCAGATACAGATGCGCAGGGACGGTAAATTATAGCCACTGCCGAGCTAAAAATTGCTGATAGGCACGGCGTTCATTTTAACAAAGAGCCTTGGGCTGTCTGAGTCGCCCACTATTGGCTTCGGAGGGGTTCCAGCGGAGGCGCTACTATCGTGATCCCATTAAATCACTGGCCTATTCTCGCCTGAAGCGTAACCTACAAAGTTGGTCTGAATGGTGAGAGAAATTGCCCCAGTCAATGAGAAGTACATGGTAGAGTAAGTACATTCAACAAGCCGCAAAGCACTGTTACCGTTTTGAACCGCCTGATGAATGATAGCAGACGGACGAAAGAACTAGCAAGCCATCGGAGAAACGAGGGCTGTAAGAGTCATGCTCGATTGCCATGCCCGTGTGCCCTGAACGGCGTAAGCATAGCGTGGCCTGTCCTCTTCCAGAGTCTTCAGTACTTTACGACTAGGAGGGGCCGGGAGAGACAGCTGGGCCGTGTTTGTTTGGACGTCCGCTCTGAAGTCTCTTTGCCCATGAAGGGAAGGAGGGGAAAGTATCTTGATCTCATGGGATGGATAGTTGAATTGAGACGTTGGGAGCCACTCAAAGAATGCGAATATATGTCCAGGGTGCCCATGGCCGGAAGCCGAATCAATGTTGAGGTATGCCGTCAGATGGCACCGACAAGCCTTGCCAGCTGCGGGTTGCGTGTCCGACCCTCATGACTGATCGTAACCCTGTCGGCTGATCCTTGCTCGTCTCTCCTTTTTTTTTTTTTAGTCGACCTGGGTTAGACAGTAACATTCGTAGTAGATTTTTATCTGGCCCCACATCGTGGCCAGTCACGCTGGCGGTGGCTCCAGGGAGAGGCCCGGCAGCCGGAGAACAGCTCATCGCTGCGTGGGACGAGGCTCGGGGCCGGGCGTCACTGGTCGAACTCAGGATCGGTGATGGTGTCGATTCGATGCCGCCACAGGGTGGGTTTCCAAGCAAGCCGAAAGGTTGTGTTCTAGGTTTGCCCGGATACTGAGAGTAGGGTCAGGGGAACAGGCTGGCATCCAGCTGGACAAAGAGACAATAGAGTTGTCAAATGGGATCTTCGGCGGACCGTGAAGGGCCTGGATGAGCGTTCATCAGACCACGTACAGCCCTGCTTGGCCTGATGGCGACATCGTCATCTCCTCAATCTTGCTGCAGGACATCTCGCCATCTCCCTGATCTGAATTGACGGAACTGCAGCATCGCGCAGAAAGGGCTGGTACAAAAATGGGGCCGTCGTTGCAGTCTCAGATACACATGACCAGAAGGGCGCGGGACGGTGTTGTGGTTCGGGTAGCCTTGCTGGTTTTGGAGAGCGGTATCGTATCGGGTTCCCTGGCATGATTTGACATGACATGGTAGCGCAACAAGCGAATCTGTAGTAGCGATACCACCCATCGTGGACAGATGGTGGCTCAGATTGTTGATTGGGCAGGTACATATCAAGATAACGACGTTAGACGTCGTGAGTGGTTGATCAGGATCTTGCATCTTTGTTGCGTGTCTGTCCGCGGATCGCGATGAGAGCTTCCTGCTCTGTGAATGCCTTACGTAAGGGAAGGCAGATGGTCATGTTGCATACACCTCAAGTTACATACATAGTAACAACGCTTCGCAAGGGAAGGAAGTTGGCAAAACAAGGCAAGTAAAGACAAGTTCGGAAAGTCTGAGGAGGAACATACCATATTGTCTCTTTCCACCGAGGCACAGGCAGATGTCGTCACTCTCAACTTCAATGGGCGCAGCGCATCATTCCACCCTCCTTCTCTACACCTTTTTGCAGACCAGCTGGTTTATTTTCTGCTCCCACAAGCTTCGTTAGTTACTCTACTGTTCTTGGTTCTTGTTGCTTGGCCGAAAATTCGCCCTGTTCCCCCCCCTCCTTCGAGGCCCATCTACCATCCTTAACCACCACTCCCCTCATCCCACGTTGAAGGCACTTACACACCACACCAAAGGCAAGGTGTGAACCCTGACGGTTCGCTTTCGTCGTCTAGCGTCTATTCCCTCGCCTTCCTACTCTTCGATAGGATTCTTTTGCTGCATTTGTTGATAGTCAACAAGCCACCCCTCCATCTTGCGTTTCCCTGTGCATGCGCATGATCACACTTCTTCCTTTTCAGGACAGTGGAGACAGCCGTTTGGAATGCCGTCTTTGATCCGGACGTTTGTGTCATTCTTGGCTCCGTAGCACCCGCCGGACGCCGTAAGCCGATTAGCATCCATCCTCGCTGACAATACACTTCAAACAACCTTCTTACCTCTCACTGTAGAACTATGCATCCGCACCGTCGCCGCTTGATGTATAATCGCAACAGTTATTCTCTGGGGAAACTCATGTTGCTGGTTGATTGGCCGCCCCCGCCGTCGTCTAATGTCTGAGACACGCAGCCTTGGGGGTAGCTCGAGGTCTCTCTGCGGAGTGAAACATCGATGCACTACAGAAAGCCAACAACCACTGCGACACACCCTCAGGCAGACTCGGTTCGGTTGAACAGCTCCGTTGATGGTGAAGGTAGCTGTAGCAGTGCAAATCAATATCATCCTACATCACCAGCTGTTGCAATGCAAAGATTGCCATGCTTTGTTTGTTCCGCACCACGGACGATATCCTCAACCTATAGCTTCATGTGAATAGAGGTCGAAGCTTAGCCCCGACCCGGCCTACTGGAATGAGAGGTTGAGGCAGCCGGGTCACACACTGTTTCGTCACCTGGGGCTTAATCACCCGGGACCTTGGAGCTCCTCCAACCCCGACCACGATGACCCGGCTTGCCGCCTTTACCGGTGGCACCGCTCAAAGCATTCAACAGCCGTTCTGCCTCAGCACGCATTCTGTCGCCACGATGGCGCAGTTCGTCGGAGCTTATTCGGATAAGCACACCATGCATTTCGTTGGTCTTAGTGAGCGAATCCATTATATGCCGTGAGCTGGTTGAACCCATCACTAGGGCCCTCGTCATCAGCTGGTGCCCATTAGCCTGCGATGTCGCAAGTGAAACATTCAGTCCCTCGTTTGATACGGGTGGGGAGCCGGTCGAGACGGACTAACAGGAGACAGGTACTACGCTGCAGAGGGAATGAGGCCGCCTTCATTGGTCGAAAATCAAGATAGATCCGAGGCTTCCTTTTGGCAAAGGTACTGACAAGGCACCCCAGGTATACTATACAATAATGCGTCAAACCTTTCCCACTTCCCCATGTTGTGCTGGCTTGCTGTGCAGAATGTTGTTGCCGCCGCCGCCGCCGAGGGGCTTGCTTGAACAATTGGAAACTCCGACGTCCGCAAGCCGCTATGCCCTGGCGGTGATGCTCAAGACAAGGAAACGAGGCTTTTGGCCACCGAAAAACCATGTTCCTGACTTTGATGACTGACACGGCGGTGGATACAAGTCTTAACCACTTTTCCGACGTCTGCCGCCGTATTCCCTGCCAAACATGTGGCTCAATCGCCGGTTCTTTCCACCGCAACCCTCTTTCGGGGTTGACGTCTCCAGCGCCGGGCTTTCCACTCACACGAAGTTGCGGTGACGGCCTCAATTTTTGGTTCGCCCAGGGTCTGACGCCACAATTGCAGTATTAATCCGACTTGTCTTCACACCATGGCTGGCAAAGCCCGGCACACTAAGAACGTTCATGCAAGCCCCGCCGTTTGCCATGCACATGATGCGTCGTTCCTCTCGGCTTCTTCCCCTCACCATGTTCTAGATCCTCGGACCATCGCATGTATCACATTCGAGCGAGTCAAGTGCCCGCTATCGACGCTGAAAAGGGCATAAGATTAGTTGGGAACGTCGTATTTTATGCTCGCGACGTTAGAGATTTGCCATTTTCAAGCGTCTTGCGTCCCGCCGCCGCCAGTGCCGCTCATTCGGGCTGATCCAACCGTACCTCCCATCCGGGCAAGTGACCAATTGGCGTCACCTGTGTGATTTGTTTTGTCTCTTATGTGGTACATTCCGGTAGCAAATGCAGATCCTAGCAACTTCATTGGTATGTAGTCAAACTACCATCTGACGGATGTTCGTTTGATTTGTGGCTTATAAAACCGTCTCTCAAGGACACTACGTACGGTACAAGCTAGGCACACAGCGTTTACCTTCGGTTTGGGGAAGCGGTTTTTTTCCCCCTTCTTTTTCCCCTTTCTGGGCAGTTAACGCTGGTCGCAGTTAGGTTCCTTACAGCCTGGTATCTAGTCCGTCTTCACAAGCCAGAGCATTGATAGTTTTAGATACTTACTCAGCAAAGAGCTTCCTGATATTTGCTTTAGCAGTTGATATGGGGTCATGACTCTTGCGCATCAATGAGGATCTTGTAGCCCATGCGCCCAGACTTTTCATGATTCGTCGAATATGGCTAGACAAAGGCTTCGAGTCCACTTACGACAGCACTTGTATGTCAGCTATTAACGTCTTCCTCTACTATGTAGTTGATAGATGGTTGCAATTGAAATTTGCAAATCTAACTTCCTACTTTTTGTAATTTGAATCATCTAAATCGACATTTGCTTTTACAAATCTCGATTCGGATAGACTAGCTTCAACCTGGAGTCGTAAGCCGAGGGTAATGCTCGATAAGTTCTTGTCTCTGTGGAATATACAGTGCAGTGAAAGTTGTCCTCCATAACCATTATATAGTGGCGCTTTCATACGACGCCATTGTTTCCTGGCTTATCGAACTTTAACGCCATGCATCCTTCTTGACCTAGGTGTTTGACGGAGCTCCGATATTCCAGCTAGCTGGTATGAAAGCCTTGCTTGGGGATCATGTTCCCACACAGTCTCCTATGACAAAACTAGCAATTATCGAAATGAACTTGGCGTGGTGGCGCGCGGTTCTTATTTCATTGATGCCGTCTTCAACTCGAATGATACATGGAAGCTTCCCGACAACGCTGATGCTAAATTCTAACATAGAGCAAGAACGTCTCCACAATCATTTATTGATAATTGAAGGAGGCAGTCTGTGTCGCGGAGAGTCTTATAGGTAAAGAACTCAAATTATGGACGAAGAGACTGAAAACCCACAGCGGCTGGGGCTGGGCATCTAGGGTCCTGTATCTATAGGGCCTGGTTTTCTGAGGACAATCCTACCTCTCAGTTGCTCTATGTTCTATGAAACTTGGATTCTTAAGTCGCCTTATTTGTGCTGTCATCCTTTCTCTTGCACATTTACAGAAACCACACATCTGCGAGTATGAACGATCACAGGAACTACTCCAAGGTCTCAGAAGCTCTATCACGCTGACGATAATGTGCCTGCCTCAGAGATTATGTGTACCTTGAACTATTCCATATCCTAACTTGAGGGCTTCATCATGTGTTAGTTACTATGGGCAGAACTGAATCTTCACCAGCACCACTGATATCTCTGAATACAAGAAGTTGGTTCTCTACATAACTGATATGGTAACCTTTAGCACTTTACTGCTAAACTGTTGAAAGGAGACACATCACTAATGGCTGCCTTCAGCGGCTCCGTTTATGATAGATGCCCCCCATTCTCCTCGTCGTGATAATGCATATCACCTTGGACAGGCCATCCTCTCATGGCGAGATTCCGGGCCCTCTGTCTAGCTTCTGAACAAGGAATAACAACACGTCCCGTACTAATGACTGCCTGTGCTATTCACCCATATCTACGGTTAACTTCAATACTACAGGAAGGATCCTTGATAGCTCTTGGCACTTCGTACGATTTGGGCTGTTTTCTCTCATAATTACCCTACGTGGATCTTCTTCCTTCCTCTTACTTTCTCCTCACTTACTTAACTGATTCACTTGACAGTGGAAGCTAAATTTGTCCTTCAACGATTTATACTATATTTCACGGCTTCATTTCTCATCGATCGAATAACAAACCTCCTAAGGAAAACAGACGTCTTGTCCATTGCTCTTTCAACCTACCTGGTTATCCCTTTTCCAGATCAAGCACTTTCCGCAGATATCCTGAGTGTTTCATTCTGACTTTCTTCGCTTCTCTCTTTCCTAGGAACAGATACGTAACATCTGATCCTATCTCCTCTTTCTTGGTGATTCACACCTTATTTACAAGCACCTATCTCTTGCGTTAAGCTGCAATTGATTTTGAAGCTCAGCCTCGACACAGCGGTACCCAATCGTATCATTCCAAGAGCTGCATCTTCTCACACTCAGACTATAACACGATATCACTGCGTATATTGAGTTGAACTTTTACATCATTTCTTACTTTCCGATTCCTGTAATCTAGGGTCGCTTCCCAAATACTTTTACCGCTTTTCTCATCATTGCTCCTTCTTACCGCTCAAAAGCCAGTTGTTAGAAGGGAAACCTTTGAGTTCATTACTTTAAGCGTATTCCATAATTGCTGGAGCATCACCTAGAACACGACATACCTCGACTTGAAGACAATATGGCCAGTAAAAAGATGCCACTTCCAGTCGGCTCTGTGAAACTCAGCATACCCGAAGAAGGCGTCTGCCACCCAGTCGTAGGCCGCACTTACGAAGAGCAGCGTAGGTATCAAGTCGAACTAGTCACAAAGATCATCACTTCCAGAGATGCCCCGCTTCCAAAGCTGCCAGCAGACGGGATGCCCAAGCCCCAGTTCTGGGAGAATCTTCGACTAAGTGGAACGCATTCTGTGGAAGCAGAAATGCAGAATAGTACTCAGGCCGGAGTCTTAGCTTCGTCAACAGGCGAGAGAGTTCAGGAGTTGGGAGAGCCTACACCAAAGTCAAAGCCAACACACGAATTGGCTGACATTCTTCGCATTATTCCGATAGGATGTGAAGTGATTGCTCACCTCTGGGCTGTCGATACAATCGCAGTCGGCTGCCTCGCATCCACTTCTAAGGCTTGCTCAGACTGCGTTGCAATATTTGTGGTGGGTAACACTTTTTGTTTGTTAGGTATGTCGAAACTTACTGTTCACAGTCTCGCTTCCACCTCCCAAATGGCGATTATCAAGACTGCGACTGGCTACCAACCTCCCTGATAGATATGGCCGAGGAGAGGAAAGGAACAATAGGCATCGGGCGTAATCTTTTCATTCGTGGTAGAGACAGGAACGCCCCTCGAGCCTCAATAAAGGGCACTCCCAACGTCTGGGCCACCGACAAGACTCGCGCCAAGATGTGGGACATTGCCCAGATGAACAAGGGTAACGGCAGCGTCTACTTAAAGTTCATGCCGTTTCTTGTTTGTGAGGAGAAACTTTTGCTACTAGAGCAGAAGATCATGATAAGGAGACAGGAACTGGGTCTGCCTCCTATAGAGACAGACGAACGCCACCATCATCTCCGAGAGATGAGTTATAATATTCCAATGCGTATGTTTCTCATACCAAACTCTCACTTCTGAAACTAAACTAACAGGATAATAGTACGCTCCATGCACCAATACGGTCGTAACTTAAAGGCTATCAGACTTCACGAGACCCCTATGCTAGATATTCGAATCGTCGAGTTAGTCCTGACGGCATGTCCCAGGCTAGAGGTTCTTGGAATAATTAATTGCGAACTTCTTCACTTCAGTACTATCATCGCATTGCTGGACTTACTGCACTGGCACTCAAAGAATGTCAGCAGGAATCCGATCAAGCTCGACTTTTACCCTCGAGCCAGTTATGGCCCGCTCCAAGACCGTCAAGGAACCAATTTCATCTCGTGGGACGCTCTACCAATCACAAACCGGTCATCAGCAGTCTTGACGACAATCCTACTGGCTATTCTAAAGGCTCTCCCTATGGGAATAGACCTAGTTTCAAAAGATCAACCCTTTCGCAAGTTCATTGACCTTATCCCGATGAAGCCAGGGGCGAGCGCCTTATTTTTGCACCATCTCTTCACCTGGGTCGATGCAGTTCAGACTTATGGACACCACATGCCTAGTCTGGACACCCTTGATGACCTCGAAGACCAGGTCGTTTTGGCTGTTTACCAAGGGACGAGGCACGGCATGCTGCCACATTTGCGAGAATCTTGCTTTGGTGAGACCTTTAGCTGCTGCCGCTGTGGCTATGCCATGGTAAAATGCCTTTTCCGCCCGGATATGCGGCAACGTCTTGATAACCAGCGTGTTTGTCGAGTGTGTGAGCTTAGATATAACCTTGAAGGTGAGAGGAACCATCGCCTCTGGGAGAAAGAAAAACTCCTCGCATCATTTCTACACTCCACGGACGACAGCCCAAGGAATAAACACAGCCACATCATCAATTCAGCGGTTATCCAAGCAGACTTAGGGGATGTCATAGCTCCGGTAATGGCAAACCCGTTCATTGTGGGCCCGGCTCCTGACAGTCCCTACCGTCTTGCTGTACTGGACGAGCATCGCGCTCTCCCTGATTTAAAAGCCCTAATCTCCCCAGACCGAGAATATGACACTCTTCGCACATCGGGCGAAGCTGCGCTCCTCGACGCAGTTGACAGGCTCAGAGAGTTGGAGGGTGTGTATCCTGACCACCCAACGCTTACGCGTCAAAAGCAGGCTACTAGCAAGGGACAGAAGCAGTCATGGGAGTACGCCATCTGGAAGGACTCTGCCAAGGAAACGGAAGAGCACAAAGCAGCCGGCTTCTGGTAAGCGCTTCCTGCCAGCCTTTCCAAAAGACTGCTATCACTTCAGACTGCAGCAGAACTACATTCGTAATTTCTCTTCTGCAACTGGTCTCGGACGGAGCATAGCCCTGGTTCTTTCCCAGAAACCACCTCTCTCTGCAACAAGCTTGACTGAATTGGGGGGTGTTTTGAGTGTCTTTAGCCAAGCTGGGTGTATACCAACATCATAGACTGGGCAGTGCCACCCTCTCAAGTTATTATTTACCATACGGCCGTGTGTGATGGGAATTTTTGGGCGATCTACGTAGAAGGATCGAGCTATCCTCTCATTTGCGATCTAATTTCTTTTGGGTTACATTTTCGATTTACTTTCTTGGAGTAGCCTTTTGGTTCCGCAGAGGAGGCTTCACTTTACGCCCCATTATCTTAGCCTGGATGTATGATACGATATATGAATACACAGCGCACATTGATTGTTTAACTTCATCTTTCTGTTTGCTACTGTTCCGGTGACTGATTCTGAGAAATGTGGTGTTGATGCGCCCCAGATTCTTGATGATAGTCTACAAGGTTATACATCTATGGCAAGTTAATGTTGTACAAGTTTTTACACGCTCAATGCTAAACGCTGTTCCTCCTGCTCCTCTCTTAAAATGATGACACCCCTAGTTCTCCGCGCAATCCAGATAGATCAAATGCGCAGGCCCATGCCATTAAGACGATTCAGAATGGTTCTGCCCCTCAGACGTCAACCCCACAACGTTCTTCAACGTGCCGAAGCTCAAACAATCGCTGATCCTGTTCGCGCCAGAGAACAACATCACCAGTCTCTCGACGCCACATCCCCAACCTCCAGTCGGCGGCAATCCGGCTTCGAGAGCCTTGATGTAGCTCTTATCAAGTGGTGCGTCCCTTAGGGCCTCACCCTCCTCCCCGTCCTCTGCGATCTCTGCTACATCCTTGCTGGTACCCAAGGCTCTATGCTCTGCGAGCTTACGCGCTTGAGCAGCCGGATCGTTCTCCTCCTCATACATGTTCGCCAGCTCGCGGCCGTTGACGAACAACTCCGTGCGGGCAGACACCAGTTGCAATGTCTTGGGGCATAGGAAGCTCTTGGCCAAGGGGCTCATGCAGGCCGGGTGATGCGTGATGAAGAGAGGCCCCTCGAAGGACTTGGGCTCGAGGTAGACCGCCGCCAGGCGGTCGAGCAGCTTGGACATCGTCCGGGGGATGCCACCGGGGATTTCGATCTTGCAGAGGTTGAGCACGGCGAGGAGTTCGGAATAGGCGTTTTCGCCCGTCAGCTTCGGCAGGCGGATGCCCAGCGCCTCTTCCAGCGCGGGCACGAACTCGAGCTGTCTGAACGGGCGAGAGAAATTGGCCAGGTCGATGGGTTGCAGGGACGTGAGCTGCGTGGAGATGAGGTCCTGACAGTGGTGCGCCAGGCCGCTCAGCAGATCCTCCGTCTGCGCGATGAGTTCCGGCAGCGTCGTGTACGCGCTGTAAAACTCGCACATGGTGAACTCGGGGTTGTGCGTGCCGTCAATGCCTTCGTTGCGGAAAGCCGGCCCGATTTCGAAGACGTTGTGCACGCCGCCGACGACAAGGCGCTTCAGCCAGAGCTCGGGGGCGATGCGCAGCGACAGCTCTTTCGAAGGGAATTCAGTGGCGGTGGTTGTGAACGACCGCGCGACGGCGCCGCCGGCGTTCTCAGCGAGGATGGGCGTCTGAAATTCGAGGAAGCTGCGGTCGTGGAAGTAGTCGCGCATGTACTTGGTGATGTACGAGCGCAGACGGAGGACGTCAGCGACTTCCGGGTTGACTATCATGTCGACATGGCGTTTCTGAGCGCGTGTCTCCGGGTCGGTGAGGGTCTGCGGGATCTGCTCCATGGCGGGGGAGAGGAGCTCGGGAAGGAGGATGGCATTAAGGGTAAGTTCGCCTGTGGATGTGCGCGTGGGCTTGCCGGTAATGGCTATTATTTTGCATGTTCAGCATGACATCCGCCTTAGCATGGGTAGAGACGGGCTTACAGATGTGGTCGCCCTTCTCAATTAGGCGAGCAAAGAGCTTAAACCTGTCTATGGTCACATCGGGAGAGCTCAGGTTGCGGAAGTTTATCATGCCCTGGATCTTTTCGAATTCATTGACAATGGTGACGAAGACGAGCTTGTTGCCGTGGGCGCGGACAGATTGGACGCGGCCTGTGGCCTTGGGTTAGCAAGGTGGAAACGGACTGCGGTCCGGAGAGACGCTTGATGGCATATTTTCAAATGCGTACCATACAGGGTGACGACCTCATTACTCGGCTCTTCCAGCTTTTCCTGAATCCATTTTCTCTTAAACGTAGGCACAGACATGCGCTTGCTGCGATGGACCAACCGGGGGTGTGTTTCCTTGTACAGACCCGTCGCGGCGACCTCCTCCAAAGCCTTACTGCGCATCTTTTTGAATTCCGATGTCCTAGGACCCTCATTCTGTGTACTAATCTGCTGCTCCCCCGATCCTACGCTGTCCTGTGTCTTCCTACCCGCCCCATTGTTCGCGCCACTTGGCCGTCCGGAATGGAAGGACTGAAAAGGTCCCACGACCCGCGGGGCTCGTATTACTGGCCGTAACAGCCGTAGACTCTGAGTTAAAGTCATTGCGCCTGAGTCTCCATGTTAGCGGCCATGTTCATTAAGTTATGTGAAGGCGCAAATAAGGGAAAAAAAATTGTATGTCAGACGTTAGGCAGTTTAAGTCACCCACAGCAAGCTGTGTAATTCGCAGCGGTTCTAATGCTTGCAAAATGCAATCATCATATCAATCAAAAAAGAGAGAAAAGAGAGTTTGCTTTGACTTACCACCATAGTTGCTCAAGAAGATGATTGATCTTCTTGAGTTGACCCAACAAATTCGAAAAGCGCAGAATGGCAGATTTTTATAACGGCGCGATTTTCTTCACTTCTCGCCGTTATCGATAAGAAAACTCCGGCCCAAGGACGGGCCGAGGACGGCCTTGCTCTAATTGACGCAGCAGTGATTGGACGTCAAGCTTACAGAGGGTCCGTGCTATGCCGCAAACCTGCTTGCCCGCTGAGTCGCGATGCGATAAGATAAGGCGAAAGGAGCTTTCTGTAAAATCTCGACTCCACGACGTCAAGCATCTCATCAAGCAATCTAGCTACCCGTAATCAACCACCACATCTCCCGACGTCAACGGACCTCTTATCTCATCACCAATTCTCAAGCCAACCCTTAATCTACAACCGCCAAGATGTCTTTCTTTGGAATGGGCCGCCCCAAGCTGTCTTCGGACGAGAAGATTGCTATGGCTGAGCAGGAGATGCGTCTGCTGGCTGACATGCACAACCGGTACGTCGACCCTAAGTCGGTGTCATTTGCTCCAACTAGAACATGATGATGCGGATTCGATTGAGAAAACCAACCTTGCTGACATATCTGCGTGCTTCAGCCTGACTAAGATCTGCCAATCAAAGTGCCTCCCCGACTACCGTGAGGCCGACCTCAACAAGGGCGAGTCTGTCTGCCTTGACCGCTGCGCTGCCAAGTTCTTTGAGGCGCACATGAAGGCATCGGAGGTGATGCAGGCAGAGAGCCAGAAGAGGGGTGGCGGCATGGGCGGCGGCATGTTCTAAGCAGCTCGATGAAAAATGATTTGAAGAGATGGGATAGCGTGCCGGAGACGATGCCGTGAAGGACCACGACGGAGCGAAAAGGCGATCACGCTTTCTGCAGCATTCATGCCGCGATGGCGGACTGTACGGATAGGGGTTCTGGGTAACGGATTCGCATTGCGAACCTGGCTGTATATGGCCTGGGAGATGCATGAGGATTCGATGTATTTTGAAGCACCGCGATGGGCTTCGTGTATAATATGGGACTTGGCCGGAGATCCCTGGAACAAACAATGAACTACCCTCATACTTACCGCCTGATCAATATTGCCTCAAAGCCTGGTGTCATTGCTTTGATTGATGCAAGGCAGCAGTGATTGTCCATTCGACAGTTGACGAGACCAGATTGCCATTGTTCTGGAGATGCTGGGAGCTCTTACCTAGTTACGAATGCCGTTGAGGCAGGATTGTTCATCCTACTCTTGAAATACTAGCAACGCGTAAACTTATGTATTTATGTCTTCACCGCATAAGGGCACAGGGGTTCACAAGCCATGAACCGTCGCGTGTTTGTGTTTCCATGCACCCCCTCTCTTTCACTAAGGATCTTGTCTACAATCAAATATATTGCGGTATCCCAGGTTACTGTGCATGCTGGCACATAATCCAAACCATCAGGAGAACAAAAGCTGGACTTATTCGTTCGTTTTCACGTGACAACGCCATCTCGCGTCTCAAGAGAGTTACGAAATCTGGGAAACCAACGTCCTCTTCCACCCCTGGCACAGCACAACGGAACAGTTGCACAGCCAAGGAGGCAGCCAGCATGAGTCGCCAACCAACCGAGCCAAGCCAGACACTAGGTGGCCGGCCCCGTTTGATAGACTTTCAATAGCATGACGGGAGAATTAGATAAAGTGGTGTAGCCAAGGTTAGGCTACGATGTCACGGCAAAGCTTATGAGATTGTCGTCCGAAGAGGGGATCGACAAGTTCTAGATTAAGCACAGAGAAAGATAGATCTTAAGGGGGGGAAGGGCGGCTGATTCGCATGCGGATGGCGCAAGAGCCATTCCCAGTGCCGAGCTGCAAGCCATCCGTATATGCCGCGTCTAGCCAGCGGGCGCAAGTAGCAGCAAGAGACCCAAAGTCACGGGCGATGAATTTCATTATGAACGGATACATGACTCTTGATTCTCCCGTCAAATGCTGCGAACTGAGGAGCGATTCCACCCCGTCGACCGCCGTTCCATGTTGCCCCAGAAACCAGGGGCTTGAAGGATGGATAAATGGGATCAAATAGAGACAGATGACTTGTCCGTGATGTATACGATGGGAGAAAAGACTGGGCCCTCGTCTCTGGGATGATGAGGGGGAAAAGAGCAGACAAGAAGGAAATCCCGCTTCGTGGTTCGCTCGAAGGAATTAAGGATTACTAGAGGCGAGATTATGGACCGGGCGGAAAACAAGGCCCAACGTCCCCGGAAAGTCGGTCAGGGCCAGAACGTTACACTGCAAAAAATAGATGCAATGGTCCTAAATATTGGTTCTTTTTATTGTGTAGTTTTTATATGATCGACCCGCTTGAGGAAAATGAGCGTATGTGATATCCCACAAGTAAGAAACAGACCACAAGCGGGAATGAAAGATGGAGCGCGAGCCACCTTTCCAACTCCCGGAGAACATATGCCGGTTGATCTACCGCACGGAGTACTGTGTACTCCTGCTGGTCACGGGAAAAATGATGTAAATCTCAACTGTGTCAAGCACTCAATCCGAGAGCTTGGGGCTGCTGGGTTAGATCTGCGACAGGGGAGGGGACATAACTTGCGCAGACGGGGTCCAGATGAAGACCGAGGTGGCTGTCCTTGAGAAAAAGTTGAGCAAACTTTTTATGAGTTCATCGGGGTGCGTGCGTATGTGGTTGATGCGTTTCAATAATTCGGATGAAATTAGAGAGTGTGTGGCATGTTCTGGCACCGGCTTCTTGCAGTAGTGATTGAGCCCAACAATGACTGTGCTCGAAGAAGAAGAAAACAAACACAGAGGGGCATGTATGCTGAGGATGTTGGCATGTGAGGCAGAACCGAAGAAAATGAAGAAATCCGATAGGAGATCCGTTCTCACATCACCGTCAGCCGGGATGAGGCTGATACATCATGGCATAGAATGAGGAAAGTACGTGCAAATGGGTGTGTGGTTGGTTCAGCGTGCCTGGTTTGGCAATGTCTTCAACTGGTTCAATTGACTGAGCCTCAAACCGTGGTGCCGCGGTGGAGACTTTGGCGTGGCTTAGCGGCTCCCTTGCATCTGTCGTCACTGCACATGGTTGATCGCCATTAATTCTTACCACCCGTTCCATTTCTCGGAGCGGCGCATACGGACGGGTTCCCTTGCCGGGGGGGGGGGGGGGGGCAGTGTGGGATCGGAGCCCGTGGGCACAGAGGCAGCAAGAGAGAGGGTGCGGCATTGATGAAGGTGGGAGGGATGCAGGGAATGCAATGGTGCCATGGCCGACGGGTCGTGGAGATGACGGTCGAAGGTTGACGTAAGTTGCATGCCGTGGGAATGACCTACAGAGAAGCCGGGCTGGAAGTCCTAGGTCGAAAAAGCCTAGCAGCAAAGAAGCCTCAAAATACAACATCACTAGAGGCTATTTCAGCAACAAAACTCAGGGGAAGCAGAAGAGCGTATCCCTTTGGCTTACGGAGCCTGAGGATAGGACCTATTGCCTCTTTTGGTCGTCGTAAAGGACTCCAAGCGGAATGTGCCGTTAGAGCCGCGGGTTTGGTAAAGAATACGAACCAAACAAACGGGACACTTATTTAGTCAAAAGTCACTCCGCGGGGCAAGGAGATGGGGGGTAGAAAACCCAACAGTGATGAAAACAATGCAAGACAAAAGAAAACAATAATGATTCAGCCTTCATCGACAGCATCAGCATGTGAAGTAATATTTTCAAATACAGAAAAGTGTCAAAAACATGTCAGCTTCTCTTTTCAGCCGGTCCAGCTCGACAATGGAATGTCCATATGCCAGAAACGGCGGCTGGGGAGGTCTGTGACGGCTCGTTGACGGGCCTATCAGCTGAGGAGCCACGGCGTCGTCCGGCTAGGCACCTCATGCCGCAAGCACACCAAAAGGCTGGCGGTCTCGTGGCCGCAATTAAGGTCGAGCCTAAGGCAGGGCGATAGGGCATGCTGTGAGGGTTGCATGCAGTCATCTAGGATGACAAGACTAGGAGAGATGATGCTTTTCGAGAAGAAGGCTGGAGTGCTTGTTGTTGGTGGGAATGTGACTTTTGTGTGGCTGTACAAGCATCATATTGTTTACATTTCTACCCTTGTCACAAAGACTTGCAGAAGTTGGAGGAAGGCTATACCACGAAGACGACACATACAGAACAATACACAAGCTAGAAGAATCTACAGCAGGGAGCGGGAGAGTTAGCGGCCATTAATTAGTGAAAAGAAGGTTCAGTGCCCCCATGCCCCATGCCCTGCTGCATCCCATACACACACTACTTTACGTCTGCAATGTACTACTGGAATGTACTTCGTGCAGTAGAGTAGAGTCGGCGATGAAATGTCCTGCCTTGCCAGGTCAAAGTCATGCATGTTAAGGGACAACAGGGTCGCGTGTCTCTCACGGCAGGCTGACTTGCAGGTCTGCAGCGAATTCGTTAGTATAGTGGCCCACCAGCAGGGGCTTTTGCAGAGAGCCCGGAGGCAACCATTCGGAGTGCCCAACGTATCAGCACTAACAACCACTACTAGCCAGAGAGAGTCCACCCAATCCAACTTGCATCTCCAGTCCTATTCCTGGAGCAGCCCGCTGCAACCTTGGACCCGGGTTCTCTGCACAGCCTTACTGTTCCTTGGGATCGATTACCAGCCATCTCCTCATGCCTGCCTCTGCAAGTTTCCTGCACCCACCTTCCAAGGTTAAGGTGGTACTGGATCGGGGGGAAAAAAAAGTCTGGAGGTGGCCCTCGTGCAATGGCGCTCTGGCTGTGCTGTACCGGCACTAGGTACTAGTGGACAGCACCTTGGGCAAGGTCACTATTTTATTGATGGGGGTGTCTGGTAATTAATCGACTGGGAGCTAGGATTGCTATGCTTTTGAGGCCTCTCTTTCTGCAAATGTGATTGTGATGCTCTTCCGGTCATATACGACACTCATGCCCCCCTCTCTCTCGCCCTATTTCTCTTCGCTTGTGTCAATCACCACGCTCTTCAGTAAAAACGATAAACTTCGACCGACTACTCCGTACGAATACACACTACGCACCCGACAACGGAAGCCGCGTTGCCCTACAAACCATCCCTCCATCGATCCATCGAGCGATCCGCCGCACTAATACGAGAAAAGGAGAACGCCGAGTGCTGCACTGCACATACTCCGTAATACCAAGAAACCCCAACACCAGACGACGCAAACTGCGCTGCGCGGCCAGACCACTACGTGCCCCACTCGCCTTACAGCACGGCACGCTTCACCCAAAGAGACGAAGAATCCTCGTGGATCGACCAGCGAGCGAATCGTATCGGTCCAGATTGCACCCTTCGACCCCCTCCTCCAGAGCGAAACCACCACCATCCAGAAAAGATCATCAGTCTGCTGGCTGTCAGACTGGCCCTATTTTATCATCCATTACGGAGTACGCAGACTTTTTTCTCTACTCTTCCACGACCAAATATCGAAAGACCGACCCAACAACCTCTGGATTCCGCTGAACCTCCTGCGTCGGTCTCTCTCTCGCGCCTTCTCCACTAATTGCCAATTCCTCCGTGACCGAACTGGTCACTTTTTCCCAGGTTGACCTTGTCCAGCCTTCCGTCGTCCGTTGTTCTTAGTCGCTTGGCCCCTCCCCCTTTGGTCCTAAGTCCTTGGTCCTTGCTCCACCTGTCTAGCGACCTGCTCACTCCTGGACCCCACCCCCCTCTCTTTCAACCTAGCACCCCCCCAGTCACTGCCCCCTCAAGGCAGCCTGTCTCCTGTTGCCCGTTGGGTGTTTGCCTGCGCCGCCATTAGCCATAACCTACCTCGCCCCTCTCCCTCCACGGGTCCGCGGTCCACGCCCAGCTTCCCTTTCTGCCTGTCAAACCCGGAGACAGCGAAAAAGGGCCTTGAACCGGCTTGTACTGATCAGATCAAACTCCTCAACCTGTTTCAGCTTCAGCACCAACAACCACCACCTTCCCATTCCCTTTTTTTTTGATTTTATTTTCTTCCAACAACAGCTTTCCCCCTTGCTGTCACCCAAACCCAAACCCAAAAAAAGCGACCCCGTCGTTCAGGAGGAGCGAAACTCTATCTCGTCTCTTCCTTTCCCTTTTACTGGTCTTATTATTTCCTCCCGGCCCATTCGCGCCTCCCACTTATTTTGTCGAATTTCCCGCCAACGGGGCCGCCCTCCCTCGCTCTCCACTCGCTTTTTTATCCCTTAACCACCTCCCCAAAAGAGAGGTCACGTTCGACCCTGACCGTCGTTTCCCGACCGGTGTCGCCTACCGTTGTGTCTATTGCACACGCCTAATAGCCAGCCCTGACCGCCTAACCCCCTTTCCCAATCAACAACCATCCGTCGTTCCAGCATCACTTTCTTCTCGACTCCTTCAGGGGAGTCGCCAATACCGTCGATCTGGCTACGAGGCTAGATTCCCGCCGTTCATTGCTCGGCGGTGACCCAAACTTTGCTGGCCACGACCAGGAACTCGCTGCACAACAATACGCTCAACAGTATCAACAACAGTACCAACAACAATACAACCCACCACAGTCATCATATAACCAAGGCTACGCCTTTCGCGAAGGCATCGCACCATCCACGATGAACGGCTCTCGCCCCGCTAGTACCAACCAGGGCTTCCTCGGCTTTGGCTTTATGGGCGCCAAGTGGCCGAGGATTTTCTTCGCCATTACCCTCATCCAGGCTATTATTTGCTTAACCTTCGAGGCGTAAGGCCACCTCAATCCGCCAGCTATCCTCGTTTGTCTCGTCACTGACACTAATAATATAGTTACGTATTTTGGAAGTTTCAGACCGGCCTGACCGATCAAGCGCCTACGGGCAAAGCGAAGGAGGACTCACCGAGACGGACGATCCCGACCTTCCTCGCTCTCTTCATTTTCGGTTTCTTGTATGAACTGGTCATTGTATGGGATGCCCTGCGAGCCAAGAACACTATTCAGGTCATTGGCGTATGCATTGCCAATCTCGCCTTGTTGGTTTATACAGCCATCCAAGTCGACCAAATCGCCGAGGCGGTCAGTGATCTCAAGGGTATCAATGCCCTCAAAAATCCCCATGACGACATGTGGGCCGATGTCAAGCCTTATCTCATTGCGATTCCCTGCATTCTCGCCTTCGGCACAATCGCCATGGCATTTGTTGCTTGGAAGCTTTACCAGGTTTTCGCCTGGGACATTCTGAAGACGATAGGAGCTGATTACAGAATGAAGAAGCGATTCCTTCACTACCAAGTGCGTCTGACATTCCCGCTCTCTTCCAATTTTGTCGTATTAATATCCATTAGATTTACCTCGCCCTCCTGAAATTCGACTTCTTCTTTTTCCTTGGTTTCACCGTTCAATTCCTGGTCATTGTCGACATTAGGACCGATACCGAATTCGGCTTGACCATCGCCGCTGTTCCGGTCACCATTGCCATTCTTCTCATGGCAGCCTGGTTCACCAGAATTGAAAACAAAGTCGGCATGGTTGCCGTCATCGTTCTCTACCTCGGCGCCCTGAGCTACTTTATCTTCAAGCTCGTTCGCATTTACCAGCCGGAGACCCGCGAGCTGTACCAGCCTGTCAAGAAGTCCCTTACTGCGTTCACCGTCATCACGATTCTTCTCATCATTTGCACCATCATCAACTGTATCGTTTGCATGCGCAACTTCGGGGCCGGTCTGAAGGCCCACCTGCGCAAGCCGTCTCGGGACTTGGAAAAGAACCCTGACCTGAACTCCATCAACCTCCAGGACGTCAAGCCTCAAATTGCGAGCAGAATGACGATCGATTAAGAAGGGTGGAGCTGGCTTGACCCAACGAGGCATCGAACGATTGACAGAGACGCCGGGCGGTTGTACAAAGAAATGACTTTACGAACAATGCCACCTTTCTTATTCAAAAAAAAACCCACGAAGGGACTGTGGACGAACGGAACGGTGACACGCGGGCTGGGAGCGTGTTGGACTGGTTGAGATTCCCCATCATCGACTTTATTCTTTTATTTTATTTCCCTTGTTTGAGCTACATTTAAATGGCGTTGACGATGCTCGCTCCTTCACCCCACGTGGAGGACGAAGAATGGCCAAGGGCGGAGTTATGGATTGATTCTACTTATGGTCGCACTGGCGACGGAGCGCACCCAGGATACCACAATGACCTCTGGGCGGCGGAGGGGGCAAAAAGCCTTTACGTGTATTCATGGTTCCTGTTTCTTTATACCGTCAGGCCGCCTCTAGGACTTAGACAGCGATTTGCTTTGAGACCTTTCCTTTATTGTAACCTAGCCAACATGAGGTAATTCCAAAGATTGCTAAAGTATATCTAAATATATTTAGCCCAAACTTGAGAAATACTCATCTTGTTTGTCCGTGATACGAACTGAATAAACTGAAGCCTGGCACAAGATGAAACCTCTGCATACAGATGGGCTGTGTTCTGTACCAGTTTCGTCATCGTTGTAATACTAACCTGCAAAACGGCTTCGATCGGTAGTGTGGCCATCCATGAAAGCCAGTAAATACCATCGATCACATCGTCACATCCCCGTCTAAGTTCTCAAGACAAAGTCAAGTGAGATCTGTGATTGTATCTGCGCTGTCCAAAAACCAGGCATTAAACTTCATAAAATGGATAAAAATGAAAAAGAAAAGGAGCCCAGACCCCTTTCCACCTAAAACCCCGCGACCCAAAAATCAAAGTGACACCGTTTGTCAATGTGAGAACCGCCCCTCGCAGTAAAACAGAACCCTCCCTCCTATGTGTTTGTTCCGCAGTTTCCTAAAACGCCTCTTTGTGTCTCTTTAATACCGTTTGAAGGAATGTGCCATAGACCCACACTCGCTGTGCTACTTCCCCCCGTATTTGTTATAAGCTTTATCAACAATGTACTCTACATGCTCGACTGGACAGAAAGAGCGGGGTGGTCTTTCTTTTTAGACAGAATAACGGACAATAATTTTTTGTTTTTGTTTTTGCAGAGATGTACTCATCAATCAGAGCTTGATCTCTCGGGCATCTTTGATGTGACCCTCGTTGGGGCAGTACGGACACTTGAAACGCGAGCTCTTAGTGAGGCGGTGCAGTGACTCTTTACAGATGACATGACCACAGGGGAGCATCATAGGCGGATTCTGCTCCGTTGTCTGCTCCTTGCTCACGGGACAGACGAAGATAGGGTGGTAGATCATGCTGCGCGGCAACGGCGTCTCAAAAGCGAGCTCGTTCTCCGTCGTCCACTCAGTCCTTTTCGCCTTCATGTATGTTGTGTACTTTATGAGTTGTGGCAGTGCAATGGCGCCAGCTGTCGCGGCGACGTAGAGCGGCGATTCGGCGGACAGGCCCAGCAGAGAGCAGAACTCTCGCGTAAACGAAAGAGCGACGTCATCGAATGCTGCTGAAGTCTCAAAGATGTTGGAATAGGGTGAGTGGCCGATGTTGGAGGCGTAAATCATGGCACAAGAGAGCTGCTGAATCTCCTTGAGATGTCGGGCCTGGAAGCGGCCGAAGTTGGCTTGGGCGTAGGCGAGAGCGCCCGCGCGGCCGTTGGTACCAGGATCGTCAGGAAGCCCATTGACTTCGGGTCCCTTGAAGAGCCAGACAAATTGTAGCTTGCTGAGCTCGAACTCGAGGTTGGAGCCGCGGGCCTCGAGCTCTTCGCTGTTGAGCTGAGCCCACTCGATGGCCGGGACGAGATTGCGGTTCTTGAGCTCATGGAGAATACTGTACATGTTTGCGAACTTGTCTTGAAGCTCCTGGGACTGAAGAGAGTGGATATCGGTCTCGAGGACGTGGGGGTTGTTCAGGGAGGCGGTAGGTGGGCGTTCATGGGCCTCGCGAAGGAAAGTCGAAGCGACATTGAATTGGCCCTCGCGCAGCATGTGCATAGCAACTGCACGATTTATCAACGAGGGATATGAAGCCATAGCATCGTAGTCTGTGGGGAGAGGTCGCGAAGGGAAAGACTGTTACCGCTGGTGTTAGTTGACCTTTCGTCTCATGTGCGACGGGGTTTGTGAAACGCACTTTATCGAGGGCTTTGCCAAAGATCTTCTGGGCTTTCGAAACCTCTTTCAGGTCATTATTTATTGCTTCGAAGCCTGCGTTGACCGGGTTCTGGAGCTTGGTCATGGTCAAGCTTGCGCGGTGCGGGTCGGATGCTGTGGCACGAGAGAGAGGTGAGCACACGACCATCTATGATGGCGGGGGGGGGGGGGGGGGGGGGTGTTTGATCTGGGAGATGGCGAAACATACCATTGGCGACTTGCTCCCTCGCCTGGATGAGCAGATCGAGTAGCTTGTCAGCGTCCTTAACCGCGGAGTTGAGGGTCGCCTTGCGGAAGCGAGAGAGGTCCGCTTGGAGCACCATCATGGGGTTCTGTTCTGCCATGTTGAGGGCAGTTCGTGGGTGGCTTAATGTCGTGATGAGTGGGAGTCAGGTGTTGGATGCTGTGGCAGCGTTGTAGCTCGACGGATGGAAGTTACGAAGGACAGGTCATGGTAACGAGACTTTCGTTAATAAGATTGGATTGCTTATTGAGTATGATTTCCTATCAACTGTCAGGTACTCGGGTTTGCAGGCCAGGCGGTCGATGGCCGTACTGGATTGATGGTCGTCGAAGTTGGGGTTACAGACGGCTATCACCGACAGTTAAGATAGCTATCTCGGTAACTGAATTAGTGGTTATAGCGGTTGAGAGAGGGGTGGGAAGAGCGGGCAGGCCCCTGCACCGTGCTGTAGCCGCTCAGCGTGACGTGTTGCGGTACCGGCGAAATGGCGGCCCGGATGGCCATTTAGGGAGAGTACCGAATAACAGGCAGGGGGCGGGAGTTATTGGGGGTAGATCTGGGCTATCGCGGAGACGGGGCACCTTAGCGTTAAACGCTGCCCTTCTTTCTTATGCCGCCCATTCGCTGTAGGAGTCGCAGGTGGTACAGCTCCCGGCCCAACCAATCCACGACAGAAGGACATTGCGTCACATGCCGACCAGCCTCCGGTTCTGATTAGAGATCGAGAGAGATTGAGGCAGTGAACTACTCAACAAGACGCGCAAGTCACATGCAAGGCAGCACTCAATTTTGAGCTTCATTTCCGGCTTCTTAAACCACTCCTAAACCCAAAGGCACAACGAAAGGCGACTATGAACTCGACTGTTTGGAGATAGAGCTGCTGGCGCTTCTAGTGTCGTCGATGCCCTGAGTACCATCGCCGCGCACTCCAAATGGAGATGGCTTTTCGCTTCCCGTTCCCGGTCAACGACCCGCGAATGCATCGCGAAGAGGAACTGTCACTGGCCAGGATTGCGTCGCAGCAACGCAGCAATCGCCCGTCTCCCCTGGATACTCCCTTGCCGCTTGATGCGCGAAAGGAGACGTCCACTGAGCCCGCGACGCAGTCCCCCTTACCGACATCCAGGAGAAACTGGGTGTTTGCTGATCCTGTGGCCTTCAGGTGGGCTTATAGTTGTATTTCTACTATAAAGATCATACACTAATGATGTCATGTCTGTTTACAGATATTTAGAGAGCGATCCGTCGGTTACCGTCGTTGAGCGACGAGGTGTCCTGCAGGGATACGAACTATATCTGGTTGAACAATGGGCTTGTTCACGAAAATCGCCCACGCTGGTGATTGTCACCTATACAGGTGATCCGAAACATTCAGTCGTGGTTGGGGTGCTGGCCGTCCCTGCGGACGAGAGTCTTTGGTCAGACCGCCTGCGATTCTACTTCAAGGCCATACACCAGTACCATGCTCGGCCGAAAGAAACACCGCTGGGCGATGTTATGGTTACGAACCTCAGTAGCTTCCCCTCAGCACTGACTGTCATACCCGTACCCGACGGCGACATTCGCGCCCATCGCCAGGCCTTCATAGTCAACGAAAATCTCAAGCGACTGGGGTGTTCTGGTCGATCTGGCATGACTCTGTCAGACCCCACACCGGCGGCTGTGGGCACATTTTACCAGCTCTACAAGACTAGCGAGAAGATTCCCTTTTCACAGTCAGTGATAGAACTCGTCAAATTGTGCCAGGTTTCCTTGTTCATGTTTGGGAAGTTGGATAACGAGTACATTGACGGATTGCTGTGCGACAAAACAGAAGAAGCCATAGGAAACTGGTGGACGGAGCTCGGCGCAGAATCGTACAATGTCGAGCCGACGGACGGCATCTTAGGCCCAACCACCGTGGCGGCCCTGCTGGGCATGTTAATGGGCGCGAGGAACCGTCTGCATTACTACGGTGCACCCGTGTCCAAAGATGTCTTCGACATTGAGAGTACGAAAAGGGGCATCGCCTACTTTCAAAAATCACATAAACTTGAGCGGACGAGGCGTCTGGATCGTCCAACAATCCTTAAGCTTCACAGTGTAACGGCAAAGGCAGCTGCTGGTGAAGGCTGGGGCGTGCAAAAGGCAGTCAAATCCACCGTTGCTGAAATTGGTGGTAAAAGAGGCGAGTTGGTTATCGGCATGGTCAGCGGAAAAGACAAGGGTGGCATTGCCGACATCGAGACGGTCGATATTGACAAATTCATTGCATTGGCTTACGGCGAGCGAGCGAAGTGGCTTTGGTATGGCAAACCTCGGAGGACCGTTCCAGAGTTCCAGGAGAGGCCATCCGATATTACACCGCCGCTGTTCGGAAAAGACGAGGTTGCTCTGCAAGCTAGCAAACGAACACAGTCATTGCCCATCGAAGAAGAAGTCCAGCGACAGAAGGAAGAGTCTCCTGGGGTTTACTCAGCCCCGGCGCCTGCTTCAGCTGTAAGCGTGACTGATAGCCCTGGAGATAAGGATGCTCTTAGGAAAACTGTGTTCAAATCGGTCGCTGGCAGAGTAAGTGACGCTAAATCTGGGCTTGGGCGCATCAAAGATGTTGTCGGAACGGGGTTGAGAGGCCATGCCAGTCGCCCTAGTAGAGACGACTTTGGCGAGAATGCCTACAATAATGCTGGCGTCTCTACACTCGCACAAACTTCGGCAGCAGCTTTGACATCGCCAGTTGTGGTTGGTAGAGCCTTCACGTGGAAGAACAAACCAGAGGAGTACCTAGTCCAATTCAAGAAGGACGCCGAAGCAGCTCAAGGCATACCAGAATCGGTACAGGAGTCGTTTGAAACCCCTGTGATGGTCAAACAGGCCCTTGAATCATCCGATCCCAACTCAACACACATCGAAGGCGGAGTTGCAACACCTCCGAATGGTCCCGTTAAGGACGAGCCTGAACGGGCGCAAGCGTCTGTGGCCGGGTCTGTTGTAGACGAGGCAGATCTTCATGGGCCTTTTGAGACAGAGCGGAGCAGCAACAACGCAGTGGGCTTCTTGCAACGGCGACATTCCATTACCGTTTCAAGACTCTCTTACAAGCACCCTCTGAATGAAGCTCGATGGCCTCGACGGCTGTCTTTCGGTGATGCCGAAGAAGCCGTCTTGCGTTGGGAGGAGATCACTGAGGTGTACGACGACAAACACTTCGCTACGGCAGATGCGTTGCTACAGCAAGCCAGTCTAGCCGAGCTTGCCCGTAGTCTCTATGATTCCATCGCGACGATTAAACGAGAGGTCAACCCTTGGGTAGAATCTAAGGTCAAGGCTGTTGAGGGTATGGACGAGCATTACGCTCGCGAGCAGGAGGATCTGCAGAATCTGTACTACCAGCTCAGTGAAGCATACCATCGTGTCAAGCAGAGCTCGTCAGAGCTTGTCGCCGAGGAGCGGGCGCACATTACCGAAGCGATTAAGGAGGTGGAGGTACTAGTTGCGCGGCTCGATTATGAGATCAACGCGCTCGTAAGTAAAGTGGACGATGTCGAAGACGGAGTGAGGCTCTTTGAGAGGCAAGTCGAGGACGTGGAGAAGCGTGCCGAGGAGCTTAAGAGGACCCTCGAGACGGAGAGCTGGGCGCACTGGTTCGTCAGAACGCTCACAGGTATCGGAACTGGGCCGAACGTTACAAGGGGGTCGTGAAGACGACGCTGGTAGAGGTCTTTGGCTTGCATAGCGCGGTTCGTTTTGCTTTGGCATTGGGAATACCCCTTCTAGGGATTGCATATTTACAATCATTCTTATAGGTGCGAAATTGGGGCGCGATGGTATGTATATTCTCATTATCTGCTATAGAAGCAGGTTGTCTCTAGGTTGAACATTTAATATTACTGGACCGAGGTTAAATTGCCAGGTAGAGCTTCTTGGGGCAGGTTAAGATAGCAATGACATGCTTTAGAACGGTTCCTACTCTTGGTGAGTATCTAATACACTGGTTGTATAGGATGTCTCGTCAGTATGTTCCCCTTTTATTTCATCATTTTCTACGACAACATTATCTCGTGATGTGTTAAGTTGATAGCCACAATTCATTCAACTCGGGCATTAGCTCCGCAAAGTAGACTCCAGACTTTTCAAAACAATCCAACAAGCTTTGGGAGTAACCCAAGCTGTAAATTAGGTTGGAGCTGGCTGAGAGTGGTTCATTGGATATATTCAGTAACCACGCAGCGAGTTCGTGTTGCAGCCAGAAGGGATAAGGGTTGCTGCGCTTCTAGCAAGCGGAAGATTTTACAGGTGGAACAACTTTGTGGTAATCCCATGTATTCATGTCAGCTAAGTAACTAAGACTGAAAGAGTGGAAGTAGAACTCATAAAAGAACTTTCTCGAACTAGATCTGCTGCTTAAGATAATGACACAATGATCATGGCATGCAACAAACAGATAAGATCCATCTCATCTTTGCCGTGGACATCCATCAATATGATGTTCTATATTGGGCTTCATGCTACGTATTAACTGTATGTAGTCGACCTGACGTTGCCCCAGAATGAGCAAAATCTTGATCGTATTTGCTTATCCAGCCTTTTCTTTTATTCTTCTTTTTAGTCCTAGCCGTCTATTTTTGTTCATATCCGTAGATATTGTCACGTTAGCTCCGTTCAAACACTCGAAGCCCAATCCCAAACCTCCAACCCAACTCCGCCAACAACCATTTTCCCATCTCCAATAACCTCCAGATCCCCAGCATCAGCGACGCCGCTGTACTCATCCGCCAACAGCGTGATCTCCTCAACGCCACCCCGCCAGCAAAGCTTCCACATCTTCACCCTTTGGTCATTGCTCGCGGTCGCATACACCATCCCCCCGCCATTTGTCTCCTTGAGAAACGTAAGACCGTTAATGGCCGCAGCGTGGGCCTTTCTGACACCCGCTCTTGCCACTGGCGCGAAGTCGGCATTGGGATCTAAGGTCGTCACGCCGAGGGCGTTATCGTCGCCGCCGGTAAGAACCACGAACCGCTCTGAGTTGGCATGTACGTCGAGGGCCTTGATGCTGCTCTGGTGGATCCTTGTCGTGTACTTGAGGACGTACTCGTCACACGAAGACCGCCAGACGGCAAGGTGCCCGTCTGTCGCAGCGGTGACGATGTCCAAGACTCCCTCTGGGGAAATACGAAGGTGGCGTACCTGGACGAGACACGCGCCGGTATACTGCCCCTTGACCAACAACTCGAAGCCGCCTTCAGGGGTGTACCTATACGTCTTAACGACCGAGTTCGAGAACGCCATGGTAATGGCCACGGCTTCCTTGAGCCACGCGACATCGAAGCTCGTAATCCGCAGGTCACCTTCGGCGCTCCTGTCCGTGAACACAGCCTCGCGCATGAGTCCCAGCCCAGGGACACCAAGATCCTTGACACGCCATACCATGAACTCTTCATTTCCACTGCAACTGAAAAGGTATTCTTCGCCCAGCCACTTGAGAGACTGTAGTCCGGCGGTGTGGACCTTGACAATCTTCACGCATTGTAATTCTCTCTCCAAGGGGTTTGCAGCAGGCTTGTACTCCCAGATACGGATCGCCGTGTCCTCGGCGCCAGTGGCCACGTACCGCCCAGAGTACGCAACAGCGCGCACCTCGCGGCCGTGGGTACCGCGCTTCAAGGTTCTGTGGTGGGCGATGGCGGCACTGTTGTCGGGTTGTTCGTACACACCGAGCGTTGCGGCCTTATTGAAGACGAATCGGACATGATCCCGGCGGCTGTATGCGAAGGCGCGGTGGGCGCCTCCGCAGTTGACGCGCACGAGTTCCTCATGTTGCGTCTCGTTCCAGATGACGAAGTTCTTGCTGCGGAAGCCGCAGAGGATGAGGTCGGTGCCCATGAGCCAGGCTTCTTCAATGTTGGGGACTGCCGTGGGGGCGGTCTCGTGATGGAGCAGGAGGGCCGAAGGTGTAATTTCGTAGATGCGGTAGTTTCCATCCCTGCTCGTGACGATGATGTGGTCTACGGAGGAAGACGTCGACAGGGGGCCGATGGAGGTTATGGAGTCGGTAGTCCGGCGGTCTGGTGCCGGGATGGCAGTCAGCTGGTCCCCGGAGCGGCGGAAGGCGCTCATGTAGCCGTGCCTAGAGCCGAGGACTAGGAGATCGCCGACAACGCAAGCCGCTGTGACGATGAACCTGTTGTCAAGGTCGGTGGGAACCATAGATAGTATCGTGTATGTTTCCAGATCCAGAGTGAGAATTTGCATGCTGGCTTCACCACCTAGGATCGTAACGAGGAAATCCAGCTTGGATCGGCCGCTGTCCTCTACCAGGGAGTCCAGGCAGAAAATATCGGCAACCTTGCCAGGCACCGTGCCAATCTCCTGGACCGTCGAGTTCCTATACAGAAAAATCTTCTTGTTCGCGGTACCCAATAGCGCCAACCCCCGACCCGGGCTCTTCAGACTTGTACAAGCCCTGAACGCAGCCAACGTCTCCTCATTGGTGCCGATCTCAGACCACATCAACTCAGCTCCCCACGAGCCGACCATAAGTCGGCCGGTGGTGGTAGTCGCGAGCAGTGTATCCTCATCAATGAATGCGAACCTATGGAATGCCTCTTTTGTTTGCGTTGGGACAGCAAATTCAGGATTGAGGGCCGGCAACTTGCCGACTATATCCCGCGTTACCAAGGTCCGCAGTTCACTCGGCAGACCCTCAATATGGCACCCGGTAGCAGCGCGCGAACGGTCCGAAAAGAGGTTAACCTTACTATCCTGTCCTCCCGTAGCCACCAGAACCTCCCCATTATCTAACTGTGTGAGGGCCGTGGCCCAAATGTGCTTTCCATCATGACGCGCGTACGTTTCTTGATGCATGATTTTTGCAGTGACCTGCACGTCATCCTCGGCTGCTGCAGCGGCGGTCAGACACTTCCGTTGCCACTGCTGCACGTCAACCTCTAGAGTCCATGTCTGGAGAGTTGAATCCTCGCCGAAGGAGAAAACCCTCGCAGGTCTACCGGAAGCCAGCTCATTGAGCGTGCGGGGGAACCTGACGTGCCAGATGCGTGAAATATGGCCCATTACCATGGCCAGCGGCGCACTGTATGCGACCTGTGTCGTAGTTAGATCTGCCGCGGCGGCGGCAGCAGCAGCATCGGCAATAGCCCCTCCGAAGCCAGTTTCTCTCGCTTCACCAAAGGAATCATACTGCAGCCGCGGTGCGTCGGGTCTCTCCGAGATATCCCAGATGCGAATCGTCCTGTCATCGCTGCAACTTGCCAGCAGCCGTGCCTTTGTGCCACCAGCTCCGAGGTCGATCTCGGGTGAGATATCAACGCCAAAGATAGAACCCTCGTGGCCCGTGAAGACGAAGAGCACCTCGCACCACGGCTTGTTCTCGTCAGAAAAGTGGCATTTCCACAGGAGAATCTCGCCAAAGGCGGTGCCCCCGGCCACTAGCACGGAGGTCTTGGAAGTCCAGGCCAGGTTGGCCGAGTACAGAATCGGCCGTGAGGGAGACACGATGCGCCCGAACTCGAGCGTCTTGCCGTCCTCAGAGAAGGAAAACTCGAGGACCTCGTTGTGAGCCGTGACCAGAACGCCGCGGCCAGGCTCTTCTGGCGAGATGGCGCCGTCGTAGATCCAATCCGGCGCCTTGGCCTCGACGATCTCGGGCAGCAGTTCCCCGTTGTCATCGCCGCTGGCTGACAGGCGCGCCTCGATAAGGCTGAGAGGCAGCACCGTTACAGCTTGGTTGCCCCAAAGCAGCACATGCTGCTGCCCATCCTCGCCGCCCCCAACGCTGACGCCGTGGATAGGCTGGGCGTGGAAAACCTTCATCTGGCAGAGCAGTCTGCCATCCCCGTCATAGACCTTTAGGTCTGTGTCCTCCCCAACGAGGAGATAGGTCTCACACCGCTGTTGCTGCTGCCCATCACCACCCCCGCGGGTCGAGGTAAAAAAACAGAGGCCGGTGACGGGGGTAAGCTTATGGTCCCGCCGCAGTGAGGGCCCGGCTACCCCTGGTTTCTGTTTCCATGTGATGTCAGCCGGCTAGATCTTACTCCTTTCCCACTTTCTAATGATTTTCTTTGGTCTTTTTAATTTGCAAGACGTGAAAGATAGCAAATAAGTGAGCGCGGGTGAATCCTATTTTCGAAAAACTAAAAAAAGAAAGAAGAAAAGGGGGATGAATGATGACTAACTGCATGGCGATTCATTGAGGAAGTTCAAAAAAAGGCTATATCGTTCGGTTTGGGCCTCCAAGTTGGGGACCTTAAAATCTCACGCAGAGGGATTTGTTCTAGTCTCAGGGGAGCGGTTTCTTGTATGCGAAAAAGGTGTTGCCTACGGCCCCAGGATCATGATGCTAGTTTGCGGCTGGATGGTGCTTATTAGGAATCCTTCTCGGTCTGTCAGCCTGGTTTGGTGGCTCGAGTCATCCCTCCTTTCTGCTGTGTGTGGTGGAGTTTTTTTTCGATGTTTGTGGGAGAAATTTTGAAGCATACAAAATCGACAGTGTCAATTTCTCTCAAGATGCACGTTGCTTTCCGCCGCTGTCAGTGGGCTGTCACGATTCAATGACAGCGCTGCCACATGAAACACTCACATTGCATAAGAGTCTCAATTGGAAACATTGTGTGAAAATGAGCAAGTTCTCTTTTGCGGTATAAGCATGGATTGAAAATTCTATTGACAATGAGCCTGGCTGGGTATCGTCCATCCCCAGGAATCCCCTCATTCGCCCCTATCCCATCAAGCTAGACACACAATCATAACCACTTCCTCGCGCGTGTCGTTCGTTCTCGTGATAATGACCATAACCCAACGCCATCGATGCTAAATCAAAGTGGTTGCCAAATCGCACAGCTTCGTATAGACATTACTGCCTCCACCCCATTAATCTAATGAGCTCTTAAGAGCGGTGGGAGTAAGGCTCGTATGCCATGTCGGAGCGGGCGCCGCTGGCATAGCGGGGAGCACCGTACTGAGTAGCCTGCTGCTGCTTGTAGTAGCCGTTCTCCTCTTGAATGGGCTGGTAGGAGCCGGTGGCGTTGCCGGTGGGCAGGAGCTTCTCACCGTCGCTGTTGCGCTTGCGGTCCTTTCGGGTGTGGCTGGGAGCGCAGCAGCAGATGGTGAACATCCAGAAGAAGCCGGCACCAAGAGCCAGAGCAGCAGCAATCCAGATAAGAGCGAGGTAGCTGTTGTTAAAGGAAGCCGAGACACCGTACCACTTCGCAGTGCCCTCAACAGCGCCAACGACAACAACAGACATAGCAGTAGTAAGAGCGGCTGAGGCGCAGACGGCAACAGAAGCGAGGGAAGCGACGAGGAAGGTGATGCAAGACATGACGCGAGTGCAGTTGGCGAAGATACCGAAGATGATCTCGAGGCCAAGAGCGACAAAGGCGATAATGTAGGCGACCTGGGTCCACTTGGTGACGGTCTTGAAGGCTGACAGAGCGGTAGTCACCTCATCGGGGAGCTCGATCTTGCGGCCGGCGGCAGTGCCGATGGTCTCGAGGGTGCTGGTGTTCAGGTACTCGGCAGCCCAGTCAAACTTTGCCTTGGTGCAAGTCTTGTCACCGTTGGAGGCGGTGGTGCAGTAGCCCCAGAGAGCGATGTCGTAGAGGTTGTCGAGGCCGAGGTCGGCGGCGGTGATGTTGCTGGTCTGAGTGCCATCGGTCTGAGCCTTGGTGACGCCGCCAACGCCAGAGCCGCCGTGGAGAAGAGCGCGGTTGTGGTAGTTGCCGAAGTTGACAGGCTGAGTATCGCGACTGACTATACTCGATACCGAGGCAGGGTTGATCTCGAGATCGGTGAGGTTGACGCGGAACATGTAAAGATCCTTGTTGGAGACACCGCCGAGGGCAGCAATCATCAAGAAGATGAGAGAGCCGACGGTAAGAATGAATGGCAGAGCCACGCAAATAACCCGACCAACACCCATGTTTTAGTTGTTTTATTTGCTTGTTGAAGAGTTGTTGTGGTTGTGGAAGGTTGTTTGATATGTAAGTAGGTTTCGAGTGCGATGATCAACGAGCGTGTCCAGTAAAAGAACGATTGTTGATTTGATTTAGAGTTTGGAAGGTGGAGAAGGCGGAAGCTAGCGAAGGAAAAGGAAGCTGGAAAAATCCCTTATACAAGTATCGGTTAGGAGGAGGAGGATGAGACGAGAGAATATAAACGGATGTGAGTGAGTGAGGAGAGCAAGAAGTAAGCGGCTGACTAGAGACGGACGACCGTTGATGTTTATAAAACCGGCGAGCAAGGTAAGGTTGGGGGACTCCAGGTGCCTTACGTACCTGCGTAGTATCCATACGGATGTCAGAAGGCGCAGGGCCAGCAGGTTGGGAACGGGGGGTACAGGGACAAGGACGTGGACGTGGCGCAGTAGCGTACTGCGGTACAATCCACGGATTTTTTTGGTGGAGATGGGACGGGATTTGATGCGCAGCAGAACAGTAGCAGTGGCTCGCAGTGCCGTCTCAGTGGGCAGGCTGAGCTGAGCTGGGACGCCAATCCAGCGAAGCAACAGCGACACCCTACAGCAAAAAACCCAGCCCGGTGCGTGTTTGCAGCACAAGCTACGGAACAAGGCAAGTCGAAGTAAAGGTACCTGGCCCACTTGCCTCCCGCTTGTTGCTTTGCTGACGGGCTGCAACCCGCCTCCACACAGCTTAGCGGCGCGACTCAGCCCCGGTTCTGCTAGGAACACCCATGACCATTAGGGAATCCCTCGCCCGAGCAACGGCGTCGAGCGGTGCTAGAGCTGTTCTTTACTAGGGCCGTATAGGAAACGAGACAGAAGAAGGCTCTACGGAGTATCCTATCCCACACATCTCCCACATGCCGTACTACTAGAGTGCTCTACATAGTATCGGCAGCGATGCTCGAATCATTATCCATGTTCGCACATATCCGTAAGGCATATGCCGTTACCGTCTTGGCCCTCATAGTTGAGTTGCGTTGCACAAGACGGGAGGGACCTTTGGAGATTACCGACGCATACCCGGACAGCTAGCTCGGGCAAGAGAGTCTGACAGGCTAAAGCAATGGAGAAAGAAAGGCAGAAAAAAAAAAAAACATCACATAGTAGACAATAAGCCGAAGAGAATTTTGGCAACAAAAATGCAGGGCATGGGGGAGTATCTGACAGGGGTGTGATCCATAGGGCAGGAACTGATGACGCCAACTAAAAGTACCTTTTCAGCGTGCTGCCTGCGCACGGGTACTTTTTCGACACTGGTGTCAAACCTTGCCCGTCAGCTCAACGCCCCTCCCCGGCATCGCTTCTCTCTATCGTTCCATGGGATTGTTTTCCATTTTCTTTGGATGCCGGGTTTCTAGATGACTGTTGGGTGCAGCTTTCGCTAGCACCGATTGGTGCCTTATGAAACTTTCCTAAATGATTACCTGGAGGATGGAGAAGGAAGGCCATCCTGTTGCTGCACACCAATTTCACCCACAGAAAGGTCCTGTCCAGGCTGCCTCAGATTAATGAGGAACATCGACGGGCCAAGAAAACACCAAGAAGCTGAAGAACTAGCGGCCCTGCCATGCTCTTCAGCGTTGGCCCAACTCGCCAGCTCGTCAACTAGAGGCGTTGCCAGCAAATTGAGAATTTTAGGACTAGGCCAGAAAAGGTGAGAAGAAGGGGCCATGTTGTATATATTTCGCTGCAAGCAAATGCTGAATGTTGCTACCAGTACGAAGTATCATTCTCTTGACTGCGGCGCCATACGTTTTTCCTAAACCCCCCTTCTCCTCATGACATGGTACGCGTCCTTTCTGCTGTGTCTCTCATTCGTCCTTAAGCATGTTTGACCGGTCGGGCTTGTGTGTCGTGTTTTTCGTAGTTCAGATGAGTGGGTGCGAACAGCAACACACTGTGCAGAGTATCTGTACTTTGCCTGTCTCTGCACCGAGGCGACTCGTAGGACACAGCATTCGCTGCAACGCCATTTGCTATTCCCTGTTTCCAATAACAAGATTCGCCGTTCGCCAACCACCCGCTGGTAGTCGATCGGTGGTCTGTTGCTCAGTCACAAAAAATCCATTGTTACCCTGAGAGGGAATTGGCATCAAGATTGCCATGATCGGCGTCAATTCACCGTCTGACACGTCCAAGCTGCACGCCGGGCTCCATACACACACGCAATTAAAGTGGCCTGGGGTGGTGGTCGTCATCCTGCGGAGGCTCAGCTGTTTATTTTTCTAGTGTCTTTTTTTCTTCTTTTTTTTTTATTTTTTTTTTTACCTGATGCCATTTTGCAGCATTGGGTTTCCCGCACCTTCTGCACTTGGCACCGGGTTTTCAATCACCCACGTTCCGGTGACTGCAAAAAATAAATAAAAAGCACCATCATCATTGGCCAGTCGATTCCCTGCATGTCCTGGGCTCAGCCCCATGGAACGTTTTGGTAGCAACCGGTTATCGGGTAGTAATGCGTGTGGCTGACCCTTGGGCTTGCCAGATCGCCTACTCAAGGCAAGCACCCACTCCGGCCCTGTGGCTCTGCTATCGAAAGTCCCGCCTCACAGAAAAGAGCGAATAGAACAAGAGAAAGCCAAAAGGGAAAGGGTCTTGGCCAATCTCGCACTAGCAAACGGCAAGGCGGAACCCTCTAATTTTAGAAGATGCAGTCCTTTGCCCCTACCACCCATTATCGCTAACGCCGACCTTAACTATCCTCGAGTGCAACACCACTTTCCGCTGTCAGCGCCGAATGACAACCTCATGGCTCTTGTTCACTATGGGGCCAGCCCGAGACCCTCTACTTGCACTTTTTATTTTTTAAGGTTGACAAGCCGTCCTTGGGCCAATCTTGGAACCAATATCATTGGTTGACCTACCCTGGGAGCCTGACGTCGCCCGTCACCGCCACCACAGTCAAGCTCAAAGTCAAGGTCAGGCCCCGGAGCCGTTGGCTATCATCTGGCTTTTGAGGAGAACATGACCCAGCAGCTTATCGGTATTCCGAGTCACGAGCACCCGCTAGGGTTCCGACGTTGGTGTCAGGGTTCAATGACACTTTCTTGCCGCAGATTGGCTTACTAGACAGCTCCAACGAATTACGTCTCGACCGCGAACACAATCGTGGCTCAGTGACCCAAGCTCGCTGTTATCACTACAAGCGGGGTTTTTTGGGTGAGCTCACTTTTGGCTTGCGGCGCGCGTGGGGAGAAGAACCGGCCTCGGCGCGACTTGAGATACTTCCTAGTCTGCTTCATGTCGGACTTTCTTAGAAACAAAGAAAAGGCGATTCGACAATGAAGTTGCGAGCATGCCGAACAATTCGACAAATTTTTCTGTTCTCGGCACCTATCTCTGTTTTGTTTATTCTCTATTTTGAGTTTTCGAATGACATGCACGGACTTTGGCTGCAACGCTGTTCATCGAAAGACGGCAGCAAAGTGCCACGGAGATGTTTCCTGGGGGCCAAGATCATCAAACATTTTACTCGCTCTTGTCCCACTCATCTCACGCCGCGACTGCAAGAGCCTAGACTGATAAGTCAACTCGAGTCGAGATCCGTTTCAGCGGCCACAGCGAAATGAGATTCACAAGAGACCCTCAATGACATATGAACAGGGGGGGCCTGTAATAGGCGTCCCCGGACAGAGTGCAACCCTCTGCCATCCTCCGTTGCCTGCCAAAGAAGCACTGGTCCGAATCCGCGCCGGCGGTGACCAGATCAACACCATTGAAGCGGCGAAGTCGGCCATAGGCGCGGTAAACGGCAATTGCATTACAAACCATCTGCCCACCTGCATGTCGCCGATGTTCTCGCACGCCGACTTATGGCGTGGCTTCGGAATACCGTCACCTGGGCATGAGGGGCCGAGCCCGAAAGGCGGCGTGTGTCGGCCTTAGCCCTGAGTGGGGTTATCCTTCAAAGTTGACCAGCTCACATGTCCTTGTCGATTTGTTCCGTCTTGACCGCATTGTGTGCTGGCCGCAATTCCCATACACCATTGTTGCTCCCCAACCTGGAGGTAGCTGCAGCTGCAGTTCACCAAGACAGATAGTACGTGCATTACTGGCCATTCCTGTTTGCTAGATCTGAGCAACAGTAGAAGCAACACCCCCCACTTTTTTGAGGCCCTCGACTACTGTCGCACGGCAACTAGTTACAGCACGTGTTCACCAGGACGCGGGGACAACGCATATAAGAAAATACGAGCGCTGGAATGTAAGAGCAGCCAGCGTCAGGGTTTGATAGTCCAATTTGGGAGACCAAGCAAAGATTCTTTATTTATGTCCGTGTGGTTGAAAGCAGGCAGTGTTGCGGGGTTGTCACTATAGGGTTTGCTGTCTACCATGACCTTTGAATCATGGGGACAATGGTCGACTACGAGACGTCGGGTGAGATGCGACGCGTCGACGCGGATCTTGGAGGCCTTACTCTAAATTGTACGGATGGAGAGCCATCTCACGTCGTCCGACTCACCTTCGTTTGCGACCGCGGCCGTCCGTGGCAGTGCGGGGCGGTCAGTGCACCTCGCAACACCATTCCGGAGCCGGATGGAGCTTGGGACATGGAGATGGATGTTGGGGAAAGGAGAATGGAGGGAAACGCATACGTGGATTCAACGACGGAATTAAGTGGTCATAAGGCGGCGCTATCAACAAGATTTCAAGGTTCCCAGACGCCCAGGCACAAGCGCATGTGGTGGGTTTGATCTGGCGGAGCTTTCGAAGTGTGCCAATGAACTAAACTGATTATCAGCTAACAGAACCGAACATTTGGCATTAATGAGGATTACGACGTGGTGTAACGGAGCCTTGGGAAGTCCATGTCGTCAGCAGCCCTTCCTCACCTGCATCTGCACTGATGAATCAACAGAAGATTTCGCGTGCCTCGACTTCTACATCTTCCCCTCTTCCTGCTCTTCCTCCCCCTCGTCTCGTCTTTCTCCTCCCCTCCCCTCCCCTCCCCTCCCCGCCCGCTGCCACACGCACACCCAATGTGGCACATATCACAACTGGGGAGCCCTAGCAACCTCGTGGTCTCTCCTCAATGCCACCAATTGTCCACGAGTCGAACAGTAACAACTTGCATGAGCTCGCAAGTGCAGAGCCGGCGGCTTTCTGAGCATTCAAATGTCGCGCTAAAAGACGGTGGACAGAAGCTACTTGACGCCTAGTGTCGTCACTGGAAAGTCGTGAATCCATATTGGACCCAATAGAAGCGGGACAGTGGAGGATGAGGGGATGGGGTGGCAAGGAACATAAGTACCTCTGCAGCAATGGGATGCAGACAGGTACTTGCTCGTCTCCGCGGACAGCAAATCGGCTCATTGCAAGCGGTGCGGCGGCCTAGGCCCAGACCCCCTAACCTGGCCTGTCTCTGGCGGAGTCTCTGAGCCTCTGGGTGTCTCTCCCACCCAGTTGGAGTCCAAATTAGCACCCGGCAGGGCCCCATTTGAGTGTGTCAGAATGTCGTGGTCCTTCCCAAACAGCAAGGACTGCATCAATCATGACTGCTTTGCATCTTGGGGGACATCAAATGATCCAATCCGCTTGCATAGCACTGCGCTGCCCCAAGCTGAGTTGCAGTTGCACTGCATCGCATTTGCTCTCTATTCTACCACCGGGTTTTATTAACTTCCCATTGGATGCCGGGGACATTAGCTCAAGGTTGTCCCTAGGCATGGGCCAGGTGAGCACGAGGAATGAACGTGACAGGAGCCACTTTGGCCAACGACTACAGCAGCCTCAGGACGACACCTCATGCTACTGCTACTGCTGCGCACACAAAGATGATTGATGATTATATTTCCGCCTCTTGTGCCATATTCTTCTGCTGCCACTTCGTGGACCATGGACAAGAAGTAGGCAACACCTCTCTTTCATATTAAGTGAAAATTTGAACATCTACTACTTAAGAGCCTGATCTGCAAACTGCTACGTTGATCCGGTGTTCCGTTTACGCACATCCTTTTGTCTCCGTCACAACCTTGTCTACTCTGGCGTCCAACATCGACACAGGGGTCAAGCGCCAAAGCATCACCCAAGCACTTCCGCCGCCTTTGCCTACTTATCCGACCAATTCGGCTTGCTGGCCATTGCCAACCCAACAAACTCGACACAACCGACAACAGGTCAACAAGCTAGCCAAAGCCCATCTACTTTGTCCTCTTTCCCTCAAAAGTTTATCAAGGGAAAGAAGAACAAAATCAACAGCTCCTATATTGGCACTCAAACCCCAACGAGCAAGGCGCTTTATAACTGCTGCCCAAATAAAGGAGCAAAACCCAAGACAGGGTCGCTCGTCAATCGTCAGAACCTAAGACGACCAGGGCAGAAGATTGCGCAGACGAGACAAACCCAATTCCCAAGCACACGAGCCTGGTCAGTCCAGGGCAGTGGACCAGTACGGGTTTCAGGCGGCGTCGACAGGGAAAACAGCGACAAGAAGTAGCGAGACAGCACGGCTCTCCTTGAGACCATTCTGCCCCCCTCAAAGTGATCCAACTCCATCTTAGGATCCTTGGCAGCCAGCCGCCAACCACGACCTTGGGACACCGACCACTGTCTGCACTGGGCTGGATTGGATTGAATTGGGACTGCGCTTCCTCTTTGCAGAATCTGATCGACTAACTTTCTCACCACCTCCTCCCGCCACACACACTCAACTCTCTCCCACACCAACAATTTGCGCCTCGACCAACATTACTTCCCCTATTTCGCATTGCCTTTCTATAGCAACATAGTCACCCTCCGCCCCCATCTGATTGCACGCTCCCTAGGTCGCCTGTTTGCTTCGTCCATAAGGCCTCCCCCCGCATTCCATTAACCGACGGCCTCCCACCTTGCCCGCAGAGGTATAGGCTTAGTTATTTATCGAGGTACGAATTTGTCCCTAAGATCCGCTGGCTTATCCCCATGCCTGTCGCCTAAGCGCCCAGCGCTGCATTCATCCCTCCTCATCCAACGGCAACTCGGCTCTCTTCGCCTTATCTCCAGTCCAAGCGACCCGAACGAGGCTGACTTGAATTCCTTGCAACGCAGTCCTTGACTGGAGTCTTTCAACAGCTTCATTCCATCCGCGCGTCCGACTTGTACTCGTTTTCTCTCACTTGTCCGAACACCCGCACACCGCGAGCCACAACGACGTCACTCGCCCGTTTTCTCGCTTACAGGCGACACTGACTCCTCCCCAGCGATCGATCAAAGGCCATCGCCTTTAACGCGCCCAAAACGGACAATTCAAGTGGACGTCGCTCTCCCTCCCGCATCCGCTTCCTGTCCATCCTCGATCGTTTATTCCATCCCCCCTAAGACTGACATTGCAACGGATCATAACTTTTTTTTCCCTCCCTAATCCCGAGCACCTGCCAAACTCCGGGTGCAGCGGCGAGACGAGCAGGCTAGTCACACATCAGACGGAGACAAGTCAACCTTACGCGCAGTACCCAACAGACAACACCCACGACTGCCGCCCCCTATCCTTCCGCAATTAGAGCTGCATCATGGGAAACCAGCCATCCAAGGAGGGTGGCCACGCATCTGGCAAAGGCCCTGGCAGTGAGCGCACTGCCGAAGATCTCAAGTCATACCCTTCCTTTGGCAGATCTGATACCAAGGATTCCTCGAGGTCCTTCAAGGCCCTACGATCCAAGATTCCCGGGTCGAGCAAGACTGGCAGCCCGAGGAACTCTGTCGTTGCCTCTACCGCCGAAGAGAAGACCGACGCTGCTTCGGTAAAGTCGGGCAAGAGCGCTAAGTCCGGCCCCCGAGGCCGCAACGACTCCGCCACGTCCCCTACGTCGCCATCAGGCGAGCTCGAATCCCCCCTCGATGACTCGCAGCCGCCACCCTCCCCGACACAGTCTAGCACTATCAAGGGTGGCCACCACGATGTGAGCGCCGCACAAGCTTCCGGCGAGGTCGATCATGTGTCCGACCAACCGCCATCTGCTGGAGGCAGCCTCAACACCCATATGCAGCAGCCAGGCAAGTCTATCTTGGCGAAGGGCGGTGACGGTGCCGCCACGCCGGTCGCCAAAACCTCGTCGACCAACTCCAGCGACAAGCACGAGGGTGGGGTTGCCATGAGCGAAATCAAGGACATCGACCTCGACGACTTTATCAAACGGCTCCTCGATGCGGGCTACGCGGGCAAGGTCACGAAGAGTGTCTGTCTGAAGAATGCTGAGATTGTCGCCATTTGCCAACGAGCTCGCGAAGTCTTGCTCTCTCAGCCTGCTCTCTTGGAGCTTGATGCTCCCGTGAAGATTGTTGGCGACGTCCATGGACAATACACCGACCTGATTCGCATGTTCGAAATGTGCGGCTTCCCTCCCTCGTCCAACTATCTCTTCTTGGGTGACTATGTCGATCGCGGCAAGCAATCCCTCGAGACGATTCTTCTGCTACTCTGCTATAAGCTGAAGTTTCCCGAGAACTTCTTCTTGCTGAGAGGCAACCACGAGTGCGCCAACGTCACAAGAGTTTACGGATTTTACGATGAGTGCAAACGGCGATGCAACGTCAAGATCTGGAAGACCTTCATTGACTGCTTTAACACGCTGCCGATTGCTGCTATTGTTGCTGGCAAGATTTTCTGCGTGCATGGTGGCTTGTCCCCGGCGCTGAGTCATATGGACGACATCCGGAACATCGCCAGACCCACCGACGTCCCCGACTATGGGCTTCTCAACGATCTTTTGTGGTCTGATCCTGCTGATATGGAGCAAGATTGGGAAGCAAACGAACGAGGTGTCAGCTACTGCTTTGGCAAACGGGTCATCCTCGACTTCTTGGCGACACATGACTTTGATTTGATTTGCCGAGCTCACATGGTGGTTGAGGATGGTTACGAGTTCTTCAATGATAGGGTCCTTGTTACGGTCTTTAGTGCTCCCAACGTAAGTGTTAAAACCTAGGTGCAAAGATGTTTGCTAACGTCCATGACAGTACTGTGGCGAATTTGATAATTGGGGCGCTGTCATGTCGGTTTCGAATGAGTTGCTCTGCAGCTTCGAGCTGCTTAAGCCGCTGGATTCGAGCGCGTTGAAGAGTCACATCAAGAAGGGCAGGAACAAGAGACAGAGCATGCTCAACAGTCCGGTAAGTAAAATCAGGATGATGCGTCAAAATAGGAAACTAATCCGTTGGCAGCCTGCGCATGTCGAGCCACGAAGCGTTTGATGAGGTGGTTGTGTAGGGGAGAAGATGGGCAGCAAACTGTATCCATTCACTGTTGGATCATCATGAATTATAAGTAGTCGGGCAACCGGGCAGGACAGTCGAACCAGAACTTACGCGGTAGCCGATGCGGCTCCGGCGACATCTCGAACATCCTCGGCAGGTGGAACTCCCCGAAGGAAGCAGACGCCAACCCGAGTCCGAAGAGACGAACGATGCCTGTAAAGGTGTAAAAGCCGAGCCGAGGGATGGCCAGGTTGGGATACCTGGCAGGGTCAACCTCTAAGCAGGCGCTGTTCGTCAGTCCGAGCCTTCATGTGGCTCGGATAAGATTGGGAGGCAGCTGGAGACAGGAACGGATTTCTTCGATAACGCAAACATAAAATGGGGTGGCCAAGTGTGTTCCGGGTCCGATTGAGGGCGGTCTTTAACACAGGCCTGTCTTGGGCAATCACGACACAAGCTAGCGATACTGTGAGCCAGGTTATTTAAGGATTTTGTCGATGAATGAACGCATCGACTAGCTGGGGCTGGTAGGAACATCATCATTAAGGAGTAGTTAGGAATATCAGGGCTTGATTTTCATGTCTTTTCCACACTGGGCATCCTCCGTGACGTTTTGTAGTTCAAACTCTTTGACATGCACCTCAGCAGGGAACAGGTAAGAGCTTCTAGGCTATCAATTATCAGGCGCTGTGGAGCTGAAGGGGCTGAAAGGCGAGGCAATTGCCAGCTAACTGAAAGTAACGCCTTCCTACTACCGCGCCTAATCCCCAAGTAGTTTCCCGCTGCGGCATTGACCCCTCCGAGTGACAGCCCCACCTTCCGTCCTCAGCCAGCCTGTGACATCAGCAGCTTCTTTTTTTTCTGTCGCGGCAACCAGACCAGACGAGTTGCTGTAATACGGACTATTCATTGCAAAATTTGCAATTGCCGTTTCCTTTTTACCAGATACTTGCTCTTTCCACGGTAGTTGGAAAGCGTGGTTTCTCAAGTCTCATTGGGGCTACTTTTTTGTCCTCTATCACACTGGTTATCCCACGTCCAAGGGTGAATTTTTTTTTTCACCAGTCAACTCTCTAACCCAAGACCCGCCCATACCTTCCTTTCCTGACCTCGCCTTCAAATACCACTGGTCATTCCTCCCGCCCCGACTTTCATCCATTAGCAAAGAATTATTCCACCGCTATCTTGCCGCGTCCGTTGTTTTACAACGAAACGTCAAGTTAAGGAAGATGGATAATCACGCACCTCCCCAGGCCGATGAGCCTGACCAGCGCGCATCGAAGCGTCTTAAGATGAACGGTTCTGAGTCGCAGGCTGATACCGCTCAGGATGCAGTCATTTCCGCAGCGAAGGAGGAGCGCGTTGCTGTCGATGAAGCCACGAAGCGTGTGGAGCCTGCTTCCGTGAAGGAGGGCGGCGAAACATCGGGTGCTGTTCAGCCCGCCACTTCTGGACAAGACGATGTTTCGATGGTTGATGCACCCACGGGCGCCCAGGACGGAGCCGCGACTGCGGAGCCGAAGAAGGATGACAGAGACAGATCACGCGGCACTGCCCCCATCAAGGCCGAGTGAGTCTCCAATGCCTTGCCTCAGAGCCACATTCGCTAACTAGAACGCAGGTTTCTTGTCCAGAAGGAGAACCAGCCGAAGGAGCAGGATGAAGTCGTTGATGACGACGCAGCTGAGGGCCGTGATCAGGGTAATGAGCAGAGGGACGGCAAAGCAGACGCTCGTGACAAGAAGAAGAAGCGTGAGAAGGGCCAGAACAAGGAGCGCAGCTTTGGCCACTTTGATGATGCCCTTCGCCTCTGCAACAGCCGCGCCTATAGCCCCGAATTCTCCCCGCGAGAATGCAAGTTTGGAGACAGATGCAACCTCGTCCATGACTTGCGCAAGTATCTCAAGGAGGGCCGTCGTGAGGATCTTACTACTATGGACGGCAAGTGCCCCGTCTTTGAGCAGTGGGGCATTTGCCCCTCCGGCTGGAAGTGCCGCTTCGTCAAAAGCCACATGAAGGAGGTTGAGCATGAGGATGGCCGCAAGGAACTCATCCTTATTGAAGAACCCAAGAGTTCGAAGACGAGCGGTGTAGCGCCTGTCGAAGTCGGACGTGAGGATCTCCGACCGGGTGTCTATAACAACACTGAGAACCAGCTCAAGATTGATCTCAGCCGTAAGCGCATTGACTTCACCGAGACTGATAAGTACATCACCTGGATGAACAAAGAGACGAGACTGGGCGACGAGTTCCATCAACGCCGCAAGGATCAGATTCTTAGTAACCAAGATGACCTGCGCGCGCAGTATGTTGAGCCGCCTTTGAAGCCGTCCGAGAAGCGCAAGCTCTACTTCGGCAAGGAGACGCCTGCTCTGGCTCCTCTGACCACTCAGGGCAACCTGCCTTTCCGTCGCCTTTGCGTTGACCTCGGCGCTCAGCTGACGTACTCAGAGATGGCCTTGGGTATGCCTCTTGTCCAGGGGGTCAAGAACGATTGGGCTTTGATGAAGGCGCATGAGAGCGAGATCACACCGCCCAAAGTCAACCCTGAAAGCGCTAGCATCGTCAAGGGTTACGACAACTCCCGTGATCTTAAGTTTGGTGCGCAGATATCCGGTAACCAAGCGTGGCACTGCGTCAAGTCTGCCGACCTGCTGAACCGCTTCGTTCCTCACCTGCGTCTTATTGACCTCAACTGCGGTTGCCCCATCGACATGGTTTTCAAGGCCGGCGGTGGCTCTGCCCTTCTCGAGGCCCACGGAAAGCTCGAGCGCATGGTTCGTGGTATGAACACCGTCTCTGGGGAGATCCCCATCACGGTCAAGCTCCGTACCGGTGTCAGACAGAACCGCCCCACCGCCACCACCATCCTCGGCAAACTCGCTTTCGGTTCCCGCGAGAACCGTGACCGTCTTGGTGCCCCTGGCTGTGCTGCCATCACTCTTCACGGCCGCAGTCGAGAGCAACGATACACGAAGAAGGCCGACTGGGGCTACATTGCCGAATGTGCCGCCATGATCAAGGAGTACAACGAGCAAAAGGATAGAATCACCGACACGGCTCAAGAGCCCGACGAGTCTACTCTGCCCAACTCCAAGGACGGACGTATGTTCTTCCTCGGCAACGGCGACTGCTACTCCCATGTTGAGTACTTTGAGCACATTGAGAAGGCCAAGGTCGATACCATCATGATCGGTCGCGGCGCTCTTGTCAAGCCATGGTTGTTTGAGGAGATTGAAAAGGGACAGTACCTTGATAAGTCGGCTACGGAGCGTCTTGCTTACGTCGAGAAGTTTTGTAAGTTCGGCATGGAGGCCTGGGGAACCGACGAGCTGGGCATCGGCTTCACACGCCGTTTCCTCCTCGAATGGCTCTCCTTCGCCCACCGCTACGTGCCGCTAGGTCTTCTCGAGCACCTCCCGCCCGACCTCAATGACCGCCCTCCCGCGTACCGCGGACGCAACGATTTGGAGACACTTCTCGCCAGTAAGAACTACCGTGACTGGATCAAGATCAGGTATGTCTCTGTTACCCATATGATTTTTGTTACATACCCCCCTGACTGTATGACAGCGAGATGTTCCTGGGACCGGCCCACCCCAACTTCACCTTTCAGCCTAAGCACAAGTCCCACGCCTATGAGGCCGAGGGCTAGAGTAACATAGAGACAAGACAAACAAGCAATGTGGTTGAGGAGTTAAAAGGTAGAAAAACTTGCCATATCCAGTCCTTTTACGCAGGCTTTGCATGCACAGTTGGTCAGATTCTCCAGACGGAACTGCCAGACATAGTAGCTATCATTGAAAAAACGAGAAGTTGCTGAAGCCGCGAAAAGCATGAGATGAAATGGGATAGATAGAATCCAAAAGTCATTTTGCAATCACTCACGAGTGACCACCAGTTGATTATCATTATTATTATCATTGGTATCTTCGGCTTGCCTGAATCTGGCCATACAAGGCCATTTTTGTCCAGATTTCTTTCTACATGATAAAAGTTCTGGGCAGAGGAAACGCGTGCTTTGTGTCCATGTTTCCTGCCGAACAACCTGCCCCTTTGCTCGTGTGTAAACTTATTGTTACCGAAGACGCACAATCTTAAAACGTACGGCCCTTGCAGCGTCTTTTCGGTGTGTCAGACTGGTTGGGCATATCAGATACCCGCGGCGGGGGATGATTGATTACGGACCAGGGATGTTGTTCCAGTCTTGTAGTCCTGGTACGACGAAACAATTCGAGGCCGCGAAATGAGATAGCTCTGCACATCAAAAATGTGATTTTTTTTCTTTTTGTGTGAACATAATAACCTGACTGTATGGGCGACAGGAGGAGGAACTAAGTCGCGTGGGGGCAACAATAGCTTCACACTAGAAGAAACCATATCAAAACGGGGCCAATTTACTTTGTAAGTCAGAGCTTAATTATAGCTGCAACGCATCGCCGTGCTGGATCCCTCCCCCATGCCTCTATGCCTATGACTTATCCCAGCCCGAACTTCATTTGTGGCCAACAGCATACTGTTTTTGTCACATCCACTCCGCGTACCAATTTTGTTCCATGTTCCAAGGTTCCTCTCAAGAGATTGTATGGCCTGTTGGCTCTTTACTGGGCCTTCTTGTCACCCTTGGGTTGCGTCTGGGCGTACTGGTCAGAAAGCTCGTCGTAGCTCTTGTGCAGGCCAGCGCTCTGCTTCTTGAGCGTCTCGATATCGCGGTCTCTCTTTTCAATCTCCCTCTTAAGACGACCAATCTCGCCAGAGTCACCAGCGACAGCGAGCTTCTCGCTCTGCTTAGCGCTGCCCTGAGTGCCCTCGTAGCCGCGAACCTTGTCCTCAAGGCGCATGACTTCGAGGATCATGACGTAAGTGCGGTTGAGGATCAGAGACAGGAAAAGGGTGAAGCCGCAGAGGTACATGTTGCGTTGGGAGTAGAACTTGCGGGCTTGCACCTCGAGGCGTTCGTGGCCCATGACGGCGGCTCTGTAGAACGCCCAAGTCAGTATTTGTGAAAGTCGGTATGAGGGCCCGCTCTATAGGAAGAGTTGATCAAGGGAGAATTGGTTCAAGTACGTACCCGCTGTTCTGCTTCTCGGTAGCGAGGGCCAGCTCAACCTGAACACGGTATACGCGGTTGACACTGTCAATAAAGAGGATCAGGATGAAGACGAAGGTGATCTTCATCCAGTACTGAACTTTGGCGACAATAGGGCTCTCGGAGATGAAGCTGCAGGAAACCAACGGTTAGCTTATCGGGCTGTTTCTGGTCGGAGAGGGAGAGAGGTTGACTGCAGGGCAGCAAACATACGTAAACAGCTTCCGCTTAATGGCGAAAGGAAGGGGCACGATCAGGAGCATGAACAGCCCCATCTCTGCCATGAGCAGCATGAAGACCTGTTTAGGTTAGCAATTATCCGGTATATCGACGAAGCTACTTCCAGTCCCGCCCTTACTCGGACGGAGCGGGATCATTGTGGTGCGTGGGAGGGTAGCATACGAGAGTGTAGTAGAGCGTCATCTTGAACGGTGCGGGGAAAGCTAGAGCTTTGAAAGTTGGTTGTGACCTCCCTGTTGTTGAAAGGGAAAATAGTTGTCGAAAAGAACACTCGGAAGCCCAAACTGACTTGTCCGACAGTGTTTTGTTGTAATTTTTGTCAAAGGTGACGTGGGTATTTTTGGGTTTGGAATACTGTGATTTGTTACAGGAAGATGGTAGGCGAGCTGTGGGAGGAGCTGGCCTTTTGTACAGTGTGCGTGAAGGGTGACGATGGTGGGACTATTCCATAAGGTAGAGGTGGCAGGTTACCCGCAAGCCACCGGCAGGTAAGTTACCTACGTAAAATTACGGAGTAGGCAAGCTGAATGGGACGAGAGGCCTGGCGGGTCTGGTGCTGCCACAGTATGTGAGGAACCGGGGGAACTGCAAAAAAGACGTAAGTCAACAACGTCATCGGTGGCTCGTGCACCCACTTGGACGGGAGCTGAAGGTGCAGCCTGGGTGCTCTTGGATACACCGCGTTGAATGCGGCAGTTATGACAGCTGCCACCAGACGGTTCTTGGGTTTATGGGCGTCCGCTGTCCACAGAAGTCACGCAAAGAGCCAAATATGTGTTAACTTTCCCGTCATCCAATCTGACGTCAATGTCAAGGGACTAGGAGGATTGATAGCAAGCTGGACATACAAATCAAGTTTGAGGCTAAGCCACATTCTATTGAGCCGCATTAGAATCAGTCACCGCAATCGCCTGTCTCACCCAAGCCTTCTATGTTTACTTGCGGTCATCGTTGTGCAAACATGTGTATGCATTCTTATCTTCGCGTATACAGACACTGCCTTATGTGGCTCCACTTTGGGTATTCTTAGCTGATTGAGACCAAAGTAGTAAGCGGCGACACCAACCGCTCCCAATGCCGCGAAACCCACCTCCTAAACCTGAACGCCCAGCTTTTTGAGTCCGTAAGGACACGCGACAGACCAAATAAACTAAAATGCCAAAGTTGTACAGTCTTACAAAGAAAATTCAAGGCCCCGTCCATAATCATACGCCCTCTTTACACCGCATAGTACTCTTTCAAGTTTGTGAGCTGCCGCCGTTTTAGTTGTAGAACACACTCTTCTGGAAGCTCTCGGGAGCCACATCGCCAATCTTGGTCTTGACTTCCGGGGCATCCCCGGCCGGCACGCTGGGTGCAGCCTTAATGGCAGCCAGAGGCTGACCGGGACGCTTGATGACCTCGAGATAGGTCGAGGGCAGGTAACCCATGCGACCATCGCGAGCACGGCACCTCCACCACTCACTAGGATTACCCATAGGGTCACTCTTTGAGAGGACGGCGACGAGGTCACCTTTGCGTACTTCCATATCCACGTCCTTGACGGCATTGCCAGCCTGTGGCGTGAAGTCGTACAGCACGCGACAGTAGTCGAGCTTAGAAGGATCAAGAGCCTGCTGCTCGCCAGCCAAGGCCATGCGGCGGCGTTCCTCCTCCTCGGCAGATGCAGCAACAGAGTTGATCATTTTGCGCATCAGGTACGGGAGACCGAACGCAGCCAGCAGGAAGAAGAAGAGGGGTTTACGGGAAGCCTTGGGGGGGCCAAGAGGAGCACCATCGGGGCCGACAGGCTGGCGACCTTCAAAGCGGGCAAAAGCTGCTGGTGTAAGCGCCGTCGCGTCGGCTGGGGGTGGTCGGCCAGTGATCTTGGCGATGAGGGTACGAATCCAACGCATCAGGGTGAAAATGCCGAGGATTGAACCGAGAGTATCTCTAAGGTTGCCGAACTGCTCCGCTACCGAGACCATAGCTATTGCATTTTGTCAGTGACATATGTCAATTACGCTAATGAGATGTAACGTACCGAAAAAGCTCGAATGCGTAGCCATATATGTGCTCTCCAACATCTGAGCAAAGCCACCAAAGGCTCCAACGATACCTTCCAGCATCTGGAACGTCGTCTGAGTGCTATTGTTGAATCGGTTCGTCAAGCTATTCGGGTCGTTGGGGTTTCCAGGCATGCCCATGCCCATCCCGCCGCCGTACATGCCACCATACATGCCGCCGCCACCATACCCACCATAACCCCCGTACATGCCGCCGCCGTAGCCGCCGTAGGAACCGAGTCTCGAGTAAGGGCTTCCGTAGGGTGAGGAGTAGGCACTGCCGTAGCTATTGTAAGGGCTAGCGGTCGCCCCGATGCCGGCTCGACTGTAGGCCGAGGCGTTTTGGTTCACAGCCGAGGCGAGGGAAGCAGGTCGTTCGGGCACGTCTGGGACACCTGAGCTGGCCGAGAGGGATGTAGTCGGGGTCGGGGTTGCAATCGAAGCGGCGGTCGGGGCTATTGCCAGGATAGATGTTAGTAATCTCAATGTGGCGGTTGGGTTGGTGACATTTGTGCATGTGAACTCACCTGACGAAGTTGTAGTAGCGCCAGCGCGCTCCCAAGGCTTTGGTGGTGATGCCATAATTGCTTTTCTCTTGGGAAGAAGTTTTCCTGGGAAGCCGTGATGTCGCTCGGCGTTATCTCGCAATCCACGGGCCGATGTGGTGGCGACTTCGCCGTATGCTTTTTTGTTTTTCTTTCAGGATTCCGGGGTTGCGATAGAGGTTGGCCTCGAACAGCCAGTTCCTCGAACGGAATGGCAATCAGCCTCAATCAGTTGTGATGTCGGATGACGGTACAACGACGTTGGTGATGTGTGGGAGGAAGAGAGGGGAAAGAAAAGTCGGGGTAGAGGAGAGAAAGAGTCGCTGGGATGACCGACGCGGATTGGGGTGCTAGTGGTGCACTTGAGTAATGGGGTCGGTCGGCGGACGGTGTCGGGGAAGCAGTGCAGTCACAATGCAGGCGGCGGGCAAGTGACCCCGGAACGCATGCGCTTGGCGTTTCCTGCGAAAAAGCTGGAGTCGAAGTGCGTGCTAAAAGATGGGGTCGGGGGTCCCATTTGCCTCGGTATTTCGGCGGGCAGCCTGACGTCTGTGTTTTTCGCCGCTGCTGCGCCCCCCTTGTCAGTTTGGCCTCGGTATCTTTGAGTAGCCATCGTCTTTTAAGGTTATACGTTTTCTTTCAATTCATCGGTAGCGCTTCCGAGCGCCAGCTTACCTTTCATTTGTCTATCTTCCGATATCACCCTCCCCGAGTCCCATGATTGGCGGGCAACTTCTCATGGAAGAATATGGTCATGGACGTGATGGCGATGGCGCAATCAACAATGCTAAACACTTTTACAGATGAAGAGAGAGGATCAAGATCCCACATAACTAATATTACCGAGATAGAGATAGACTATATGCTAATACGAGTAATCAAATCATAGGTTTTATTTTATTGTTTCCTTCATTTCTGGCATATGCCTTGCAAGCCCGCCGACGCTCACTGCAGCCCAGCAAAAGCCTTTGCAGCCTTCACGTGATCCTCCCACGTCGTCAGCTTATCCTCGACGATCGCGTGCGACTCATCCAGCTTCTCGCCGCCATAGTAGCCAAACTCATCCAGGAGTCTGAAATTTTGCAGCATCTCCTCCGCAGCGAAGTCCGGCAATCCCTGGCTCTTAAGGATATCACGGAACTGATCATGTGTGAGCTGGTTGTACTTCGCATTCTTGCCAGCCTCCGGGTACACCTTCTTGAAAGTCTCAAGGGCCTCGCCGGCCGTGATGTACTCTGTTGCACCCAGTATGCGCTTTCCAAGCACTTTTTCGCGGTTCAGAACGATGCCCTTGATGAACTTGCCCGTGTCGGCCGTGTCAAAGATCGGGATTTGCGCCGATTCGGGGATGGGTAGGTTGAGGGCCCACGCGTTGTCTGGGGGCGTAGGTCGGAGCAGTCCGCCTGGCACATTGGATGCATAGAAACCGGGAAGAAAAAAGGTTGAGGGGAGGGAGAGGGTACGCGCATACTCCTCAACGGCAGCCTTGCTGTCAAAGTGGTAAACATCGGGGAGTACTCCATTGGTGACTGACAATAACATGTTAGCAGGGGTTTTGTTCCGCTAAGACTTGATAGATAGGGTGGTATACTTACGCTTGTTGATATCGAGAAGCGAGCTGAAGATGAAGTGCTCGACGCCAGCCTCCTGCACTTAATTTAGCTTCCGTATGCCTCATGGACAGGAGTGTATACGTACCTGAGCAGCATCGACAATGTTCTTGCCCTGCTGGGTTTCGAGGTCCTTGTTCAGCGATTCCCAGTAGTTGGTCACCGCAAAGACAGCTGCGGAGCCTTTGACGGCAGTAACCAGCGAGGCCTTGTCATTGAGATCAGCCTGGACAGATAAATGTTAGTATCCTTGCTTCGCCGACTCTCAAATGCAACGTGTTGGATGCAATTGTAAGGTAACTTACACTGACGACTTCCACACCCTTGGCTGCCAACGCCTTGGCAGAATCCTTGGTCGTATCACGAGTGACGCCGCGGACAGTCCACTCATCCTTGAGCTTGGGGTCGTTCACGAATGTATCAACGATGCTGCCACCTTGGGCACCAGTGGCACCGAACACAGTAATGATCTTCTTGGCCATTATTGCTGATTTCTGTATCTCTTCTGGGATATGATAGTTCGTGGATTTAGCCACAGGGTATGTAGGCTTAACAAGCTGTGCTACGTTGTTAACGTGGGGAACCTCCGGTGCATACAAGAGTGCTTCGGCTGACCAAAGTGTTGTTGTGTTGAGCTTCTGGCAGTTAAAGGCTTTGCAGAGGTTAAGTCGAAAGTGAATCGGATGTGAGAGATACTCTTCAAATTCATCAACGAGAGGCAGCATCGTCCGCTCTTAATATACACATACAGATCTAATACCCTCCCCCCCTCGAAACATCATGGTCGCATATCGGAATAGCACGCACCTCGACATAACCTACCAAAAGTGGTAAGACCAGGTGCCCTCTACCTTGCAAGTTGTGTCGCTCCGCTATCTCCAGTGGGCCCCGTGCCAATCGTAAACCCCATGTCATAAACTTACCGCGCGCATGGTGATGGCGAATATAGGGGCGTATTGATCTAAGCAATCCCCTAATGCATCGGATTTGTTCTCAATGTGCTTCTCTGCAGCTTGTTTTTGGCATGAGATACTTTGCCAGGTATAGTTTTGCTTACGTATTCGCTGTGCATGTCCGTTCCCCGTTACTTAGCGCTTACATTCCCCGCTGTCTAGAGGCTTACCAATCGATAGCAGTTTCAAAACCACGAGCTTCGTCCAGTCTCCAACCATGTGCACGCGAACGCGCGAGGCCCGAGTACTACACCTTCGATTTCCATTTCAAGGTAAAAACATAATGCCAAAGAAGGCACCAGAGTCATGAATAGCACTCCAATATCGAATGGCATTTGTCAGACACGGAGTATTGGACAGCTCGGATTTCCGTTTCCCCTCACAAGAGCGAGCAGCGAATCCATTCAATGACGGACTTGAACGATTCAGATAACTTACTATCTGTTCGGTCCACCACGCTTTCTTGCCTTTGTCTCAACTCCAATCTTCAAGAGAACCAACATGCAGTCCGCGTACCCCCATCCAATCACACATCTGCCATTTACGCAAATTGCTGAACTCCGCCTTGCTTTTCATGCTGCTGTATTTTCAACAACCTTAGCTTGCAGCCGGAAATATCCTCTCCAATCAATGGCCTTTCTATAGCAAATTCACACAGCTGCTGCCTCGCAGGATTGAGATGTGCTGCGGGTCAAACGCAGCATGTCAGCAATGATTATTTTCCGGCCAGTAAGAGTCTTCCGCTTCCAACAGTTGTTTCATAGAAGCCACAAGGGGTTGGGCTCCTTTGACGGCTGCTCTGGTATTACATTCATACAAATATTCCTCCCAAGAGTCTACGCCAAGGCAAGCTATAGCAGGACCTTTTGCCAATATCACGACGGTAGCAGGTAGCACGGCAGGTGGAGTTCAAGTACGTTTTTATCAATTGTGAATCTTCCCTAGCCTCTAGCAGAGAAGCGAGAACAAAGTGTTCTCTAACCATTTCCCAAAGTCATCTCTCAAGTCAAAAATAGGCGCACTTTCCGGAGCCGGGTATCATCTTGGACGCCGTCTAAGAGTCGTATCGTTTTGTAGTCCCCGCCTGCCTCTTCATGCGAGGTATGTTTGTGTATGTGACCCTCGTGTAAAGTATCGAAAAGAAGTGAAAAAGACGTTGTCAAGTCATCAGATTCCGTGATCCAATACAAGCAAAGCTTGCTCGGCTCAACAATTCAGAAGAGAAAAAAAAAACGCCAAATAAGGGTGTTGTAAAACACAATCATTCCCATCCCATATGTGCACTTCCGGGCCTCCCAAAATCTCAATCAAATGTTGGCGTAACCAACTTAGCTGGAAAGCGCGAACAGGCTGACCTTACCGCCCTTGGCGGACGTAGAGTCTGAGGAGAGCCAGCCCTCAACCTGCTCACGGGTGAGACCGGTAGAGAAATCGACACTGCTGTCAAGAATCTTGACAGAGACCTGACCAGATTCGCCGTCCAAGACAGTAGCTACTTTGATAAAATCGCTCGTGGGGCGGTCAAAGTAGTCAGAGGAGCCACCAGGGACATTGGAGTGGAAGGTGGACTTGCATTTGGTGTCACCGGGAGCGAGGACCTCGAGGACATCGATCTCACCGCAGTTGGGCCAGCAAGAGCAAGCGCCGTACTGAACAGTGCGAGGAATGCGAGCATTGAGGAACCAGAGCGCTGGCATGTCGGCATTAAAGCCCTTAGTGCCATCCATGGGCATGTTCAGCTCGAAGAGCCAGACGGAGTCCTCGCCTTTGAAGCCGTGGTAAGCAACAGAGCCGGGGCGGTAGTATCCACAGCTGCCGTCAGTGCATTGCTTGTCGCTGTAAATGGCGAACTCCTTGTTGGAAGGGAGATAGACAGGGTCCAAGACCTGTGGCGAGGAAGCGCCACCACTCGCATCGGAGTTGAGGTAGGACAAGGAGTTGCCGAAGACGCTGGCTCAGTCAGGACCTGCACAACTATCATTGAGGCCATCATGTAACTTACTTGTCAAACTTTCCAGAGCCCTGGCCACCGTAGTTGCCAAGGAAGACAATACCGTCAGCGATAGCCTTGTCGGCATTGTAGTAGGCAACACGGGTGTAGTCGCTACCGGAGCTTCCAGTTGATGGAGCCTTGGCCTTGCTGGAGCTGGCGGGTTTGGGAACAGCGGCGGCCACAAAGGGGGCCTCGGGAGTGGGAGTAGGGCTAGGAGTGACAATGGGGGCAGCAACGGGGGTCTCGGCTGGAGGAGCGGCCTCGGGGGTAGGGCCATGCCAAGTGTTGATCCAAGACTGGACAATACCATCAATTGTGGCTGTGACCCAAACATCGCCACCTCGCTTCTCCTCCTTATGCTGGTGGGCTTCGGCATGCTTCTTGTGCAAGTGGTGGTGACCATGGCGGCGGGCATGAGTATGAGAAATAGAAGAAGAGCGCTTGGCCTTGGGTGAAAGGTTGTACACGGCAACCTGCTTGAGGTTCATGGGGCCACGGAAGAGGGGGGTAAGCTGTGCTCAAGTAAGTAACCATACATTGGCAAGCCTTTGATGTGTTGGTAGATATAACTCACCTCTTCGTTGAAGGGGGCCAGAGGACCAGAGAAGGCGACATCCTCGAAGCTGCAAGATCCGTCTTCACCCATGTTGGAGACAGCCTTGTAACTCCCAGGGTGGCCAACGTTGGAGTAGAGGATCTGGTTCACGAGGCCGCACCACCAGTTTCCACCCTCCTCTTTGGCAGTGCCAGAGCACTGCTGAAGAGCCTGGCCAACAGTGGCCGATGCCAGCAATATGACAGTAGATGACTTCATGGTGTTCTAGTGCCGTGCGCAAAACGATTCTTCGGGATGATTGTTTGCTAGCGAGATTTGCTGTGAAAATCTGCGTGAGGTCTTTGAGTATTTGACCAGCGTCAAAGAGAGTCGCAAGTCTAAAAAAAGCCCCTTCTGGAATTTCAAGTCGTTTTGTGATGGTCCAGACTTTTCTTTTGACTCAACCAGGAGACGTATGACTGGACGATATTGGAATGTGAAGTACTCAGTGAACCCTGTTCAACGGTGTGGCGTGGTTGTGATTCAAAGTTTGTGAACCAAGTGTGAGGCGCGTGGAAAAAGGAATGACTGGAGACTGGCAAGTCACCGGAAAGGAATGGCGATGCTATTTGGTGTCCGGCAGGTCGGAGCAGTGCATCAAGACTTGATTGTATGAAGAGGGAAAAAGAGAGATGGGTGGAAGAGGATTGGGGCAGGTGCGGGAAGACTAACTTATTAAGTTGGTGGAGGGCATGAGGAAAGAAGCGTATCTTGGAGTTTGATGGAGAACCGGCAAGGTAGGAAGGTACAGACCAAGGCAGGAAGGAAACAACTTGCGCAGGTGGAGGACAGGAGCCAACAGGGGCAAGAGCACCTTCCAAGTGAATTAACCCAGCTCTACTCTCACACCTTCCTCCTCTTAGGTGAACCGACTGGAGGGGTTACTTTTTGGGAGGAAGGGCAGGGACAGAGAGGGAAAAGAACCGTTGAATAATTGGACGAACTAGGAAACAGAGCAGAGCTGGCCAATCTGCTTGTTAGATTCAGTTGAAACAACGGCTTGGCCGCCCATGGGGCTATACCCTGCAGACCTCGGCAGGGGTACAGGTGTAATCTTACATAGTGCCTATTCCAGCTGAGGTACTTCTTCACCATTACTCTTTAGCACACCTATCTATGTACCTTTGCTGTAGGTACGGAGAGAGATGCAATCTACGGAGTAGTTGTATGCATATGAGCCCACCTCCTTTGCCAAGGGCCAAGTCCAGTCCGCCTCGGTCCCATTACGAGGTCCGAAGAGGACGGCCAACCACCAACTGGCACAAGAGCTGGACACTCTCGGCGTTCTGGGCTCTAATCTGATTTTAAACAGGCATCTAGGTCAACGGAGTGATTATTGCCGTGCCTCTGCAATGGCGTCTAGTGTTATGGCAGCAATAAGACGAATCCTCTCGACCCAAATAATAGAGCCAGCGCAGCCGCCATAGATCGACAGATCAACATCAGAAATGGTCCACGACTGTTGGTTCGTTGGCACTTGCGCGCCTCGGAACATGTTCACTGAGTAAGCAATGAAGTGCGTACTATATTTATCGACTTGTCATCGGCAAATCTCTTCTCAACACAGAAAGTCCAATGTGTTTTGCACAAATACTGAAGCTGAAGACTGCTGAGGGACGATAGTTTAACTGGCGCCTTGGCTTGCCATCCTCTTCAGGTCGTCCAAGAAATGGGGGCTAGCACCACCATCAGACGCCCCTGACAGTGCTCTCAGGCCCTTTCAACTCATCGCCCAGGGGCATCGAACCGCCTATTTCGGGGGTTTGGGGGTGGCAGTGTGACAGCCTTCCCGACGATGACAGCCCCAAGGAACGTAATGCTTCAACACTTAACAGAATCAAGCTGGTCGTGGTAAGATATAGTGTAAGTGACGGCGAATCTAGGTGCGCCCTCATCTCGACTTGGTGGGCCGCTTCTTTTACCATGGTTTGTCCCAATCCCAATGACATGCCGAATCCTCATCCCATGTCAAAGTTCTGGCCGCAGATATACCAATCACCTCGCTCGAGTGCTACTCAGCCCACATCGCGGCCCATCTCATCCGATGTTTAATCGCGCAACGCCATGACCTACAGGCCTTATCCCAACTCACAGTGCCGTCCAGCCCATGCTGACGCCCGCGGAAGTGACGGGTTGGACTTTGCCCCTTCACATATTTGGTTTTACGCTACCCCCGTTCACGTGTGGTCGAACAGGACGACGATCACTCCGCTTCTGCTCATTAACCCACAATGTTACCCAGCCCTGTTGATCCGTTCTAGATCCGCTTTGCGCTTTGCGCTGGATGATGTCGTCGCCGGCAGAGTCTTGAAAGGCCAAGGAAAAGGAAAAAAAAAAAAAATGACAAGGGCAACATAAAGAAACTCCGGAGGTATCAGAATAAAAAATTATTCAGAGGAACGAAAAACCGCTCACTTGCCCCCCGTTTGGATCCTGCGCGGCAACGTATCATGAAGAGTGGGATAGGTCCTGTCAATGTCCACGTCGGCGTCGTCAATATGCCGGCCCAGTAATGGAAGTCAGCACGATATGATGTGGCAAAACGGCAGAGTGCATAACTGAACTCAATCACGACTTTGCTATTCCCCTCTCATTTTCTTAGAAAAGCACAATCTTACATGACAACTATGACCGAATAAGTTCTTGTGAAATAAGCTCGTCGGCAGGCTGCCCGTTTTACATACGGCGAAGGCGACCCAAACAACAGGTCCATGACATAGGGTTCACCAGCAAATGAACAAACTACCCGCACCAACCTTTCGTGGTTGTTCCTGCATTAGCGGAACCGCTTACCCGTGAGCTTCTGGTTGGTCATCTTCCAACTTCATCTGCAGTCATACCCTCTATTCCCACCGTGGCGGCTCCTTTTTCGACAAGATCTATCTGTCCGGCCGGCGGCAAGTTTCGGCGTACCACGTTGATGGTCAGCTTCGATGCTAGCATGTTGACCTTCGGGACGTCACCGAGGAAAAGTTACCTGGAGCCACATCACTTCCACTATATATCAGACCCACGAAGAGGAGGTCGACGAGTCGTACACTAGAGGTGTTCACTAGGGGGCCAGTGGTTTCGACTGATATCTCTCCACACCTTGTGGTGTGTAACAACATCAATCACAACAATCCGCCAACTTGACCTTTTGACCCAGAATGTTTTTTCGCCTCCCAACTTATGCCCCGCCACGTGGAAAACGCCAAATTCTACCTTTCCTTATCCTCCCATTGGAGGATCATCCTACCTAGCTTCTTCACTTTTTGTGGCCGTTGGGGCTGCGAGACACGTGCTGGTCGGGAATGTTCAACGTTGCCCTAGAATGCAACTCTCTTTCCTTCTCGCCTCCTCTAGATGGAAAGAAAAAAAGCCTCGATTGACATGTAGTGCAGCCTTGGCGCTCCACATTCATTGTACATCGTCCTGCAGGAAGAGCTGATACCAAGGGATTTGGGAGAAGAAGAAAAAAAGAAAAAAAGAGGGAGAGGAGGTTCTCGACTAGATTTACTTGTATACGGATACCATTCTTTCCGTAGGAAGTCTCGGGCAAGTGCCGCCTAAACCGTGACTCACGAGCTTTCGAACTTTTTGAGGGCTTTTTCTCCCTCCCCTTCTATCGCCACGAGAGTGGCTACGAGTTACTTCCGAACGGGGGTTCAATCTTACAGGGATAATGAGTCGGAGAAGGGCCACTGAGACATACCGCCATTCTGCCCTGCAGTGTCCGCCGTGTAAGAGCGGTCTTTTTCGACAGCTTTGTACGGAGTACAGAGTACACGTGAGACGAACCCAGAACAGTCACAAATGCAACAAGTGATGCATGATATTCGATTTACATATCTATTCGGAAGCTTTAGCCTTCTTACCCCTACGGGCGCGAGTGCCCTGGGCACTCTGTCCCGAGTGCACAGTTTCGTCGTCCACAAAATCATCCTCCTCGTTGGGCGTAGTCCTCGCCCTAGCCTTCCGCTTCCCTGTGGTGTTCGATGGTGCAGCAGAGATCTCCCCTGCCACCACAGCCTCTCCGCTGGCATTGGCCCTCAATTTGCTAACAGCGCTGGCCATTCTTTTGCTCGTCGTAGTCTTCTGCCTCGGAGCAAACGCATCTCTGGCACCTACGCCAACAGACCCCTCAAAATACCTTGTGATATTGGCCTGCGTACCCTCAATGTCGCGTTTATTCATATCCCGAATGACAGGAACAAGTACCTCGTCGGTACGCTCCTTGCTCCACCCAATAGTCGCCATTAGGAACTGCCTCAGGCCTTCGAGGTCTGGTACGCCCCATTGGAACGGCTCAGGGCTGCTATCTACCTCGGGATGGAGGTATGCATCTGTGACGGCCGGGCTAGGGAATCCTGTTGGCAGGAAGAGCTTAGTGGCCTGAGACTTGCGGAACTTTCGTCGGAAAGGAGAAACAGCATCGGCCTCCTTTGGACGGTTATTCATCTGCACATCCTGCCACCAATCCTTGAACTTGCTGAGGCCATCCTTGCCGGGGAATTCGGAGAGGATCTCCACGGCCGTAACAGGTCCAACGCCAGGTAATCCCTCGGTGTAATCGGATCCGAGCAGCTGAGCGATGGCAATAAGCTGTTCCCGCGACAAGGAAAGCTCCTTTTCTAGGTCGGAACCAAGGTAGCACTCAACGAACTTGTTGCTGTTGAACATGTTCTTGTATACACGGGTACCTCCGAAGAGAAACGTGTCCGAGTCATCGGTGACGATGCCATCGACAAGGCCGAGGCGCACGAGCTCTGCGCACTGCGCTTCGGCTTCCATTGGGGCCGTGATATAGGGGATGCCAAAAAGACGAAGGAGGGCCTGACATTCAGTTACCATGACCTGCGTAACCTCGTCTGCGTCTCGTCGGTCCTTCTTCTGTTGCGTGCGGAGTGCTTTGAGCTCCCTCTCATACGCCTCCCTATTCTCATGTTCAGACTTATTATTCAGCTCACTTGCAAAACGAGCGTGTTCATCTGCTTCTTGCGCCAGGCTAGCGAAGAGTTCTTCATCCTCCGGGTCGCTGAACTCATCTTCGCTATCGCCAAACACCTCGGCTTCAACGTCCTGCACAGAGTCGCCTGCCGTATTAGGATCGTCTAACGTTGGTCCATCCATCAGGTCCTCAAAAGTGATTTCACTTTGTTCCGTGAACTTTGGTTGTTCCGTGTTCACCGGGATGTCCTCCATTTCTGGCTCTGGGGAGTCTGGCAATTCTGTTACGGTAACTTGCATATCCTCGTCGGCATCCTCGACCTGGACATCTTCAAAATCTGGCTCTGGCGACTGCGGTGAGTTTCGAAGGGCCGCATCGTCCTTATCGGCAGGAACATTTGCCCCTTCCTTTTCTTTGGATGAGCCAGCTTGGACTTCGTCTGCAAGATCTGTCGCTAAGGTATTATTTGCCAAAAGCTTGTCCTGCTGAGCAATGATCTGCTTCGCAGGGGGAGGCGCATCGAGAACCTCCACGTCGCTGTCTTCGCTATCGGATGATTGAATCTCAATAAGCTGGTTCTGTCGTTGTCGTTGGAATTTGCGCTCCTCTTCTAGCGCAGCCTCCCTATCCTCAGTGTTGATTTCACTCTCGACCTGTCGCTGTTTCATGATAGATTCACGAATGTCCGTATCATCCACCATCCAAGGCGGCAGTGGCTTTGGGCCTTCTTCTTGGGGTTCTCTCTGGAATCCACCCTCGTTTTCATCTTCGGCGGGTTCCTCTGCATCATCTGCAATAAACCCACCGCCAAAATCGAGATCTTCCTTGTCTTGAACCGGCTTTTTCAAATTTAATGGAACTTGTTTCGATGTAGCCGACTTGTCTTGATTTTTCGCCGGCTGTGCCTTCTTTGAGAAGAGAGAAGATCCCCAATCGAGCTTCGGAAACGGTAACGGACCGTCAAACGGATTCTTAATGTTAGGCACTGCCGGCTTCGGCTGAGCTCTTTTGGCTTTACGAGACGCTTTAAGGGCCGCCTGCAGGTCCATTTCGTCGTCACTACTGCTAGCGTTACTTGCCCGTCGTCTGGGAACAGCTGCGGTTGACCTGTTGTTGACAATATGAGCCACCATTCGACCGCTCGTTGCTGTAATAGGCTTGGGCGCCTCGACTGCCTTCTGTTTCCATACCGGCACAGGTATTTCCACATCATCGAATTGCTCTTCTTCCTCTTGTTCTTCTGTTGTCTTGCCATACTGGTTTTGTAGCGATATTGCAATGGCATGATTAATGTCGTCTTCTTCTTCCGGGTGGAGCCTCCCTTCTTGTTGCTCCCCAGCCACTCCCTCGTGTTGTTCGGGCAAATCGCCGTCGACGAAGAGGGTCTCCTCGTCCTCATTCACGTCATTTATCTCGTTTTCTCTTCGACCACTGTAGACTTGCTGTCTTCTGAGAGCAGCATCTCTTGATGCCTGCGTAGCTGCAGCTGGCAAACGGTTTAGGCCCTCCACTGGGACGTCTTCAAAGTCGTCTTCTTCGTCGGATACCTCAGCCTTTGTCTTATCCTGGAATTGGAAATCCAAGGCATCAACATCAATGGGCTTATGAGCTTCTCCCAGATCCTTCTCTTTGCTCACTACACCTAATGCCCAGCCGCCCTCTGCTCCCTCGTTCTTGACCAGGATGTACTCTCTGTCTCTTTCACCAGCAATTCGTCCACCTCCTGTCAACGTGAGATCAAGGCCCGTCATGCCGGCTTCCTTCATGAGGCGCTGAGTTAGATTATTCCTTTCTTGGACTCTTTCGATTTGAAATCTTGAAAACGCCATGCGGTCGGGGAACATGTCATCTAGCTGTTCCTTGCTCAGTCCCATCCTCAGACGACTTCGTAATCTTGCCGCATTTAAAATATTGTACCTATCCGGTGGAGGTAGACTCTTGAAAAACTCGCCATCGAAGTCAATCTTGCTGAAATCGTAGAGATTGATGTCCTCGCCGTTATGGAACTGTCGAGCATATTCTTCTAATTCTTCAATGCTCATAATTCTGGGATCGTCGGCCTTGGCCATTGACGCAATATCGCCGTCGAGCTCAGGCAAGTGGTATGCATCTTGCTTGAAAAACTTCCTTCCCCGTTGGCGCTCCTGCTGTGACATGCCCACCTCATCGACATACACTATCTTATCCACATCGGGTATCTCTTCTTGGGGGGCCTCTCGTTCCCGGTGGATGCCCCTCTGTGCATCACGCCGTCTCTTCTCCTCTTCCTCCTCGGCAATCCTTTGCATCTGTACAGCCAGTAGTTTGCCAGCAGTGCGGACGGCATCCTCCCTTCTGCCTTCACGCCGGCGTTTCCGGCCCTGAATCGTCTGGCGCTTCAGCACAGGGGCGCCGCCATCGAAAACGAAGACTGGTTTTATACCAAACCAAAGGAGTTTACATATCCGGCGGAAGAAACCCACGACATGAGAGTTACGCAGTGCATTGCCTTCCTTGTCACGCACAGCTTTCAAGAACTGGTATATCCAGATAGAGGCATCGACAGCGAGGCGCTTGCGATTTAGGGTCGCGAGGTTTGTGGGCCGCGCACATGGCTGTGCAACTGTCCAGAGACCATTGACACCCATGACTCCAACGGGGGAGATCGTACACGGCGGCGAACGGTAATAGTTTGGTCGATTTGAGATTCACAGAGGGTTCGGTTCAGCAGAGGTGCCAGGTACAGCGAGAAGCGTTCTTCTCATCTGTCTGATAGAATTCGCATGGTCGTAGGTAGGTACGAAGTCCTGGTCTATCTGATGAGTGTGAATCGTATGCGTGGTGGCGTAAAATACAGGCAAATAGATGACTCTGTGAGAGATGGTGGAAGGCTGCAGCTGCCTGCAAGCCATTTAACATGAAGAGCTCGGGTAATGACGCGCTTTCCTCCACTGTCTTCCTTATCAACTCTTATCGGCTAGCCCCGCTGTGCCGCCGCTCTCAGACGTGGAGGCAATTGAACCACGGAGCAATCGGCACCGGTGCAAACCCTCCAAATTGCTTCTGACGACGACACCCGACGAATGCTAGGAAAAGCGATGGTCATAGTCGCCATCGAGCAGTCGTAATGGAGAAAGAAGAGGCAAGAGATTTCTTGACCTCGCTTTTGAACAAGAACCTGCGCATCGTGGCCACTGATGGCCGCATGTTTCTTGGGCTTTTTAAATGCACAGATCCCGTAATCAGGCCCTTGTCCTCGTCTGAACGAACGCTTTGCTGACCATTGGACTTGTCTGGTAGGATCGAAATGTCGTATTAGCCCATACTTACGAGTACCGCCAGCCATCGACACAGCAGCGAGTTGAGGCGGCACAGAATGCTTCTGCGGGCACAGGATCCGTCACGATGGACATGACATCCCGATACTTGGGTTTGGTCGTGGTTCCCGGCCAGTACATTACGAAGATCGAGGTGGAAGAATTCGCCAGCCAACTCAGAGGATACAACCCCTACGCCGATGCATCTGTGGTTTAGCATAGATACACTGCGCAAGAATAGGCACCTCGACACACTCGAGCCCCTGTCGTTAAAAAATGATATATAGAGATGCCGATAACGATGGATTACGCAACGACTAAATACCTAAACTACAAGAATCATTATTTTGCCGTAGCTACCCCTCTGTCCAAGTTCTCCGTTGTAAGCCTAGCCTCAATTACATTACTGAGGCACCAAACCCCTAAACACCATAACTAAGCGCTGTCCTTAAACACAGTACAACTATTACCGCGATTGTAAGCTCGCTACCTTTGGAACGAATGCATGTACGAAGAATACAGGTCGAAAATGGCCATCGCACTGTACTGTCCTTTAGGCAACGACGGCTTCATGCTGACGTCCTCGGGTTTCACCGTTCAAGCCGTCATCTGTTCCCGCGACGGAGTGGCGGATGTCATCCTCATCATCGTCATCTTCCTCATCATCATAGTCTGTCTCTTTGTTGTGGGCTGGCATCCATGAGGAATCGTCATTCAAAGGGGCATCCTGGCCAGACAGATCGTGCCCGCCCTCAGCACGTGCCTTGATATTGTTCCTGCGACGGGTAGACAAAGTGCGGGCGCGGGTTGAGAGTTTCGAGGAAACCGCAGCGTTAGAGGTGACCCAGTTGGTAAGGGCATCCTCGCAATCTTGAATGATAGCCTTACTAGCTTCGTATCCGTCATAGGCAGCGCGGGTCTCGCCAGGAGTAACAGGAGTGTCGTCAATAAGCTCAAGCAGGTGCTTTCCATAGCCGGCAATGATTGCTACCTTTTCGCAATGCTCTCTCAGGGCATCAAATTGATAGGTGTAGGCAGCCTTGATCTTTTCGCGGGTGATGTTTGACAGCTGAGCCTCAGCGACTAGCGACTCGGCCTCGGCCCTTACAAGTTCCTGTTCAAGGACAACGATCTTGGGTGAGTTGGGTTCCTTGTACTTCAGCTGGGCAATCTGGTCGGTGATTTTCTGTTTGCCTGTAGCCCATGTTAGTGGGAATTGAGTTGCAACGGCTGGGCGGCTCTGGCTTACGGTCCCGGCTTGGTTGAACCGAAGCCTCAATGTTGCGAATACTCTTGATCGTCACGCGGTATTGGTCGTACCGGTCAACATACTGGTCCTCAAGCTCGCCGATTTCGTAGAGAAGGACGCCCAGCTTGTCAGTGACATCCGATACGTCTTCGTCGCAAGCCTCTCCCCAAATTGACAGTTGTTGCTGGAGATCCACAGTCAGAAGAGTTGCGACAAAAGTGATTACAGCGCGAGAAAACTTACAGCAACTTCCATACGCTCCCTAGCGACCTGCTCGAGGCTGCGCATCACATTCTTCTCCATCTTTACCAACTGAGAGAGCTTCTTCGCAAGATCTGGCCCGAAGGCACCGGCGGACTTGTGGCGGAGGGCATGTCCTGAATGGACTAGTCAGCCTCTAGAATGGCAAGGTTGAGGCAGGTGTATATGGCGCAAGACATCGTTGGGACTTACCGAAGCCACCGCGGAAGAGGCGGCCAGACTTGGTGGTCGATGGCGGTGGGGGTGGGTTCTGCGACTGGAATCAGCATTGTGATGCGTGCTTACTGCAGATTAGAGAGGCGTCGGGTTCAAATTACCTGAAGTTGAGAGGCGGTGGGCGCCCTCGTTTGGCGCATAGAATAGGTGCGGTGCATGATGACGGCGGCAGCGACAATGACAGCACCAGTTGGCACAATTGGACGTGACGTGAAGTCTGGGTTCGGGGCAGAGAATGGTTGAGAGAAAGGTATCGCGGGGTGGGACAAGGGCAGAGGAAGATCAAATGACGGTCGGGGCGGTAGACTGGGGTGATGCGAACCCAGGCGTTTATATGTAGGCACCGGAAAGGGTCCAGGACAAGCGTGGATGTTGCGGAGGGAACGGGACTTGAAGTGGGCAGCCTCCTAGGAAGTGAAGCGAAAGGGGACGACAGCACAGCGCAGCGAGGGATGCTCAGTGGCCCTCCCCTCAGTGCCTCTTTCGCGCTGGCGACGTCATTTGTGTCTCTAGCTCGTGTTTTTGGCGTTGTTCGCAGCGTCACCAAGCTAGCCAGGTACAAGCCTAGAGGTCCACATTTGAGGTACCTGTGGCACCATGTTAGCAGAACCCATCACAATGTTGTCGTGGAAAGCTACAACCCCGGAAACTCTGGTCATTGTCACTCTCCTTGGGATTCCGGCTACCGTGGTTAAGATGTAGGTAAGGCAGGCATTGCACAGCCAGGGCGATCGCCATCTAGGATCGCGCCGTCTTGTCGACCCTATCGCCCAATGTGAGCCTTTGAAACAGACGGCTGGCACTTTTTTGATTGACTTGGGATGAAGAAACAAGATCAAGCGGGTGCAGACTGCACGAAAACCCCGTCACCCCACCACGCCTGCCTGTTCCCTTCCGCAGGCCGTCTGCAGGTCCCGATGGATCATCTCTGCTTTCCTTCTCCAACTTACATTGTAGCAAGAGACTGGTATCCTATAATGCCTATATAGCAGTGAATTTTTTTAGTTGCCGTACTGCCTTAATCGCGTCGACTGTGCCATAGTATGTTGAGAAGCAGCTAAATCGTACCAGCACAGGCTCCTGTTAATCAGGTCGACCTTCGTCAACCAGTGCCGAAGACCACAAGCCAAGCACCATAAGTTTACGGTTAGCGCTGTATGTCGTCGAGCTCGGGCCGGTGTTGTCCAGTTTCTTTGGAACCAAGGTCTCCGTACTAGACCCGAAGAATGGGCGATGATTTCATAGACTCATGATGTATTTGCTCGTCACTTAGCGCAAACTGCGACTCAGCGGAGCACCTCCAGAGCACAAGTCCAGGCGGGCTAGGTGACGGTCAGATCACTCCGACGACGGCTCTTTGGAGCAAGCCTTCCCGCTGACGATCGAACTAGCATGTCGTGGATATTAATTTATCTATTCTTCTTTTCCACCCCTTGATTATTAGGGTTCTTGCCAGGGGGGGGATCCATTCATGCGTCTTTACTCGAGGCCTTGTTTGTACTTGAAAACACCTAGAATAAAAAAAGTCAATTGCCACTACACGTGTTAATTTTGCATTTTAGCTATATAAGAATTAATTTAAAAAGAGAAAGGTTTTTTTTCTTTAGTTATTCGTTACTTTTATACCAAAGAACGCAACCTGAATCAATTCTCGCTTTGCTACGCTTTCTGTATATATACGATTAGCATCTAAACAACACAAACCCGCTCACATCGAGTTAGGTTGTTTGTCTTTCAAACCTCGGCTAGTGCGATATGAGGACCAGATTGACCAGAGCAGGCAAAATCTGAAGATCTAGGCCTTGACAAGAGCTGGATTTATTTTTGTGTAACAGAGGGGCAGAAAAGACACAGCGTTATTACCTGCCCAGGATCGTGCTTGCGGCTTCAATAATGTTTGCTCAGTCACTATTGATGAAACCCCGTCGTAGCATTATCCACTTCTCGACGTATTCAAGCTTTGAATTTAAAAGAGAATTAAAGGATTTGCGCAACACAAATCAAGATGCTTCAAATTACTGTAATTCTTTGAAAGTAGAGGGCATGTCTTTGTCCCATCCTATACGGACAGGATCTATTAGTAACTGAACCAACGCGATATTTGGTGGGTTATTGTGGATGCTTTTAGTTGCCTGAGTGCAGTTCTTGCAGCACAACCCCTGTTCTCCGGTCCATTTTAGGCCTAGCGCCTTGCAATCTCTCCCTCCAAGTCCTTCCTTCCATGAACGCGCTTAGCTTCGCAATTCACCAACGCGTCTCACAATATCTCATCTCTTCTCTCACCATCACCTTCATCCCGGAGAGTCCGCTTGAGTGGGAAATTGTGCCTTGCCTCATCTCATCAACCTCTTTGCGTTTGGATATCAACGCGACGTCACTGGGCGCTCACTCCCAGCCGCCTGGCATGAGACTTCCGTAGTCAATGTCTACAGGTTTTGCTGACGCTGACTCTGGGGAAGAGGACATGAGGAGCGACCGTGTCTGTGTTTGCGCACGCAGCAAGTGAGGAGGACCGAGGACAGATCAACAGCCAGAGGAAATCCAGCCAGAGAACACCGCCTTTGCGCCTCCTGCTCATTGCCTCTCGCAACCTTTCGATATGTCCTTCCTCTCTGGGTCCGACCGGGACGCAAATGCTCGCAAAGGTCCCTACATAGATGGGATTGCCCATTTTTACCCCGACCACGACTCTTCAGACCAATCTCAAAACGAGACACGCCCACAGCCTCAGAGAAGCTTGGGTGCTAAGAACGAATACATCGACTTAACAATCGACTCCAGCCCTGCTAATTTTTCTCGGAAGCATCATTATCATCTTGAGGTCGATCGCGCAACCCCAGCAAGGCCTAAGGTTGAGGCCAGCCACCCCCCGATTTTCCCACTAGAGCCTTCGCACAACAGTAGTTGCATTTCAGACCCAAGCGGTGGCTCAACCGCTGTTTCCAGCAATGCAGCCTCAGTATTAGATCCCTCGCCGCCACCGGTCTCAATCCAGACATCAGTTGATCTTGACGACAGCTACGATGCCGAGATGTCACGACTTTCGCGACCCGATGGCACACTGAAGACACCTCAGCAGGTTACACCGCCATCATCTACCCGGCCTTCCAGCCATCAGTCACCCAAGCATGCCTCCATTTCCAAGAAGCAGACTCCAAATAAAGGCACATCGGACTTTAACCATCTCGCCGGTCTGCTTAAGGAGTATTCCAAGGACATTCGCAAGACCCACGAGGAATTATGCATCTACGCCCTCAAATCCACTAAACCTGTTGAAACACGTGTCGTGACCGGCGTTGATTTCTTCGCCGACGTGAGTCTCTCACCGACTGCTGAAGAAAAGGGAACGACAATGAAAATCCGAGTGAAGGTGAGTAGGGAATATCCATCTTGAATTGTTTGGCATGCAACGTCCCAGGCCCTTCACATGCCAACTATTCTATGATTCTTGTGGTGCTGATGCGATAATAGCAACACTTCCGCGGCAGGAAGTCGGATCAAGGTCGCGACGCGCATTACCTGCCGGCTTGCATCAAGTCGAGGAAGGACGCTGTGCCCAGGTACCGGTTTCACCATACAGAAATCGTCAAGAATGTCCTGTCTCCCAATTCCATGCTCAAGTTTGTGCCCGTAATTAGGGATCTGGAACCTGACGAGGAGCGAGACTATCTTCTTTGGCTTAAGGAACTTGAAAGGATGGATGCCAGCTGCGGTTTCAAAACACTGGGTAGCCGCGAGCAGCGAGTTGCTAGAACCATTCGGAAGGAACGGACTGCCACTTTGTCCTTATTCCTAGATTCGTGGCTCAGGAAACTCGCCATAAACAATTGCAATCGGACAACGTTGATCCGTCACATGGCCAGCTCGGAATCTGATGATGCCATTACGCCACAACAGAAAACGAGCCTTGTCAACCTGCACAGCGACGATAACCTTGCAGCTACCCCGAGGGCTCTCAAAGCTGCAAGGGTTTTCACCGAAGCATTTGACAAAGTTTTCTACTACGATGCACCCAAGGGGTGCGGAATCCTCCTGCGTGATGTCTTGAAACTCGACAAATCCGTCGACGAAATCGTTGAGTCAAAGAAGACAGCGAAGGGCGGGCAGGATGATAATGAGAAGGCATCATCCCTCGAACACTGGATTGAGACCCATACGGTCATGGGCTGCCTCATCTGCTACAGCAATTCGTGTGAGCATGGAGATTACAGCCTCGAGAATCACAAGCGAAACTTTTCCATGGACTGTATCGGAATGTATGGGCGTATGTTCTCAGCAAACCGCGTGGTATCTTCCAAAGACCCAGTTGAGCACTTTGATCCTCCGCCTCCCTGTAAGCGGCAGTGCTTCCGGCTCAGCGGCATGAAATCTGGGGCGCAATCGAGACCGTGGACAGAAGATGAGACTCTTCTTTTGCGGAGTCTCTTCACGATTTTGGATCATAACAAAGTCAGAGTCAAAGCTCAATGCGCGACTGCTGAAATCCTTGGGAGGGAGTGCTGGGACGTTCATCGTCATCTGCAATCTTTGGATATCACACTCCCACCCCTCGAGACCTTTGAGCCACCAAGGGTCAAGAATCTCCCCTGGTACGATCGCAAGAAGAAGATGCTCATTGGTGACTGGCAGGACCATACCAGTTCTCACGACACCAAGGTCCGCCCATCCAACGACCCATGCCATCATGAAGGTGCCTGCACTGCGGAGAACGAATGCCCTTGTGTACTCAACAATATTCTCTGCGAAAGATTCTGCCGTTGTACAGAGGATTGTTGCGCATACAAATTCACGGGCTGCGCTTGCCATGCTAGCGGCAAGACATGTCTACAGAAACAGAAAGAAGGCCGTCCTTGCATTTGCGTTCAACTAAATCGCGAGTGTGATCCTGATCTCTGCGGAACTTGCGGCGCCGTAGAACGCGCTGATCCTGCAAATCGGCACGACGACGCACTATTCCAGACTGGTTGTCAAAACATTGCTATTCAACGAGGTGTCAGTAAAGCCGTTATCCTTGGAAAGAGTCAGTTAGAAGGTTGCGGCTATGGATTGTTCACAGCAGAAGACATAGCTCAGGATGAGTTCGTTATTGAATATGCCGGCGAACTCATTGTCGCAGATGAGGGAGTCAGGAGGGAAGCGAGGCGCGGAGAAGCGTTTGCTACGGAAAAAAGCACTTCATACGTGTTTAGCCTCTTGGATTATGAAGGCATCTGGGTCGACGCCGCTATTTATGGCAACCTCAGTCGTTACATTAATCATGCTGTGGAGGCAGCGAACGTACAGCCAAGCATTCTTTATGTCAATGGCGAGTACCGCATCCGTTTTTCAGCCACTCGCAATATCAAAGCTGGCGAGGAGCTTTTCTTCAACTACGGTGAAAACTTCCCGAACTTGACGAAGAAGATGATAAAGGAGAAGGCCGACAATGAGGAGGAGGAAGCAGCTGGGGAGGGAGCCGCAGCACCTGTGAAGCGGGGTCGAGGCGGACGTCGTCGAGCACGAACCGCTTCAGAAAAGCCAGCATCGCAAAAGTTCACAAAGACCAAGATTGCTAAAGGCGTTCGTACGGGAGCTCGTAAGGAGGCACCAAAGTTGACCGCAGGTGACTATGAGGCTCTGGTCGACTTGGAAGTTATACCAGGGCTGGGCCGAAAACGAAAGCGGGCCTTAAAAAGCGACGATGAGGAGGAGGAATACCACCCATCTCTCGAGTCAGAAGATAACCCTGATGCGGGAGGAACAGGGAAGCGGGGCGGCACTGCTCAACGACGGATCCGTCGCATGAAATCTGGCGGACGCAATTTGCAATCGGACTCAGAAGAGGAAGTTTCATTACAAACGACCTCTCCACGTACTAAGCGTGGACGTGGCCGCGCTACTCCTTCCCAGAATAATATCAGAGCCAGATCAGCTACGAAGAGCCGGCCAACTCCCGTACAGCCAGAAGCGAGCACGCCACCCCTTAAGAAACGACGTGGACGTCCGCCTAAAAACCCCCGGCCACCCAGTCCTGCTGCGGAACGGGAAATTGAAGTGAATCATGTGAAGAGCGAGATTCGTGCAAGTTTCGCAGCCCCACAGAGCCATGAAGCAGAAGGTGGCACCATATCTGTTGACGTCAACCCTCCACGATCCGCCCGTGGACGCAAACTCACCACCCGCGGCCTTACCCCCCGCCCTCAGGATCAGATGGATACTGACGATGGGGAGCTCAACAATGACAGAACTCCGTCCCGGCTGACGAGTAGGCGACGGAATGACGAAAATACGATTACTGCTAGAGGGACTCCGCGAACTAGGCACTCGTCTGCATCCCAGGCTCGTGCGGCTGTTTTAGATTCAGATGAAGAGATCATTACTCGTACCCCAGCTTCACAGCGAAGAGGGAGACAAAGACGTCCAATGGAGCCTGTTGAGGACAATGATAGCGAAGATAGCTTTCACAACCAGGACCTTGGATCGGACTCGGATGACGAGGATGTGGTCGATCGCTCATTTCTCAGACGCGCGTCTAGGACAAGAAAGCTGCCGGCTCGGTTTCGTTCGTCAGACGAGGAGGAGTCCTGACGTAGCGGGACATTCGGCTTTGTCAAAAGGTCATCACAACAGACATTACCATCCCAGTTATGGCTTATGAGTCGTGGTTCTCATGAAGGGAAATACACGAACTTAACGACGGTAGTGGTATGCGGGGGAGGGTAATTTGGGTTCCACATTTTCTGCATCATGTTAGCATCAATTGGCGGGTTCATCAGTACTTGATCAAAGGATTCGAGCGAGCCAAGGGTGTTACTGGCCCGTCGGCTGGAATACATATAGCTTTAACCTGTAGGAAACTCCAAGGAGTCTAAAGCGCACATAGTTGAGGCCAAGGACAGTGAATCAAGTGGCACGGCGCCACAGAGCCATTTACTTGCATTAGTTTCCGAATATATGTAGTTGCATTGAAATCGCAACAGGCTAAAGATTTATTTCGGTGACAGAGTTACGGTTGGGAGGTTGTCGGCATTGAATAAAATCCGATAGCCTTGTAACGAAACTTTTCGGGCTGTTGAGCGCCTGTGGGGTTCAGAGAGCATTGTCTAAGTAGTTGCCAGGTTTGCCAGCAAGCTTTGGCTAATATTGTGGTGCACCTCTTTTTCCAGATTTCATCGGACTAGTAGACGTGACTTGCATTTCGTTGGTCACAATTAACATTAGCCGCCATCTGCTGGTCCTTGAACAAGAAGTTTGGGCAGCAATGGACGCAGAGGTCACTTGCATGTCAATTCTCAATATCAGCGCAAATGCATCAGCCATGGCCGCAACTTGCCTAGTCTCTTTTCTCCCAGTGTCATTTTGGAACAATACATGTCTTTCAAGACGGTTTTTGAAACAAATGCTTACAGCCTAAGTCTGGAAGATTAGACCTGCTACCTCTACGCAGTTTACTTACGTGCACATCAAGAGTTATATTCGAATGGCGAAGTTGAGACTACATCATGGCGACTAGCTCCAGGGCTATGCATTGTACAGATTAACTTGGTAACCTGGGCCTAACCTTTACATGAAGGGGGACTGCCGGAGTGTAAGAGTCCGGTACTGGCTTGGCTGTGCTATGCATAGTTCGTTTATGGAATGAATAAATTGGCGTGTGATTCAGAGAAATTGTACAGGTCGAAGAAGCCGAGAAGTCAAGAGAACAAACAGATTGGCAATTGCTGTGAGATACACTCAACCCAAAGACAAGAAACAAGGCATTTCCTTGTCCGGCACTTATGTCAATAGACCGACAAACTTGAAATCTTTCGAGCATTTTTATTCCTAAATCAGGATGGTGTTTCTTGACGGAATGCACTTTACTTGAGTTTATATGCAAGTTGTGCTGATGCCACTTGTGCGGATAACCGTTTTGTTTTAAGACCCAGTAACTACCATACGACTTCGTTACATTTTTCTTGCATCTATTCTTCATATACCATCATCTTTCTTCTATTTTGAAGGTGTGTCAGAGGAGAGATCATGAAAGATGTTTGGCTCTGATAAAGTTATTTGATACACTGCACATCATACAGTCCATGTCTAACTACGCTCAAGCATGCTATTTTTTTCCTGATTACGAAAATCGAGCAATAGGAATAAGCTGCCTGAAGCCGGATAATAGTGCGGTAATGGTTTGGTTACACCGGTGGTTAATTTAAGAGATCTGATTAGTATACTAAAAGAATGTCTCAGTCTATCTCACTCTTTCAGTTCCTGGTTGGTCCTGTAGGATATCCCGAATGCATGTCTAGCTTGTATCGTTTAATCATCTGTTCGTCTACTGTGTAATGATCAACCATGGCAGTGGAAAAAAGACGCTGCTATTGTGCTAAACGTCTCGTGGCGAAATGTTGTCGAAGACGCAACCTCGCTGCTGGTAGGAGTTAAGGAACTAAGCATCGAAAGGTCATTATGAAATAAGCAATAGACTATAACATAATGGAACGCCAGAGTTGAAATATAGTTAAGACAAGGTGGTTTTCCTGTACTGTAATTGAGAGTAATGGTTCTGGTTGTCCTATCCTCTGGAGGCCCTGTTGCAGAACAACTCGCTGAGACGTTTGCACCAAGGCAACGATATGGATGAAAATAACCACAGCCGCAGGCGCAACGAATAGTGGCTTGCCTTTTATCCCCATTCTTTCGACTTGTCAAAATATGGGCTTGTGTGGCCGCCCGGCAGCCTCGCTCCCACGCGTAAGGGCTCGCTCGGGAGAGAAAATCCGTCTCGTTCACTTCAAACCAACACCTTTCACTGTACTTCTACACATGATGAACCACCTGGATCTACTATGTACTTGCTATTTTCACCCGTACAGGGCCTTTTCTCCGTGAAACCTACAAGAACCCAGTAAAATGGGCCAAATACCAAGTCTGTGCATAGCGCTCCAACCAACACCAACGCCATGATTGTAGCCGGGATCGAAGAAATTGACTTTGAACTCGCGCAATATTGATCCTGAACACCAGAAACGCCTGTAACTTCCATATGTACATGAAACACTCGTATCATACATGAATATATGCTACCGCTTTCTCATCTAGGTTCATCTCTTAAAGAACCGTTTCTCAACAGTTCGTAAAACGGTATAAGAAGCAGATGCAAAGGAGAACCCAAGCTCAAAGCCGATATCACCACCACGGGCGCCGCCAGCAAGCTTTCCAATTGGGCCCGTGAACCATGTCTGCGACATACCAAGCACGGCACCCATGACGCCTATCAAGAAGGCCGTCACGGCAGCGAAACCCGGTGGTAGACGAGATGGGGTTTCGTGGTCTTCGAGGTTATAACCGGAGAGTCCACGGCGGAACACGAAATGTTCGGTAACACTGATGCCCGTGTAGATGGCCAGCCAGTAGGCGATGATGAGCATAAAGTTCTCCAGCCAGGCCTCAAACCGGTCGTAACCAGGGATGCTGATGGCAACATAGACAGCAGTGCCCGCAAAGACCCAGACCCAGCGTGGTACCCGCTCTGTCCGCTTGGAGAGTACCTGCAACGTCAGTGAGACGGAGTAGATGTTGGGACAGTTGTTGGCGATGATGGAGAGTGCCAAGATAACGAGACAGAATTGGCCAAAGCCGCCAAGACGCGGGACAAGAACAGACGAGAGTAAGCCTCCAATTCCTGAGCGTGAATAAGCGTCGCTGAATGTCGGATCCAGGACGCTGGCGGTCATGATGGCAGCACCAAGGAGCTCAGTGAAACAGAGTGTGAAAAATAGGCCGCTGAAGGTTACGATAAAGACTCGAGTGCGTGGGGTAGAGGCTGGGTAGTAGCAGGTATAATCGGCGCTGTAAGAGGTCCAACCCGTAGCGAAACCGTAGACGCTCGCGGCAAAGGAGAGAATAGACCCGGCTTCGGCGGGGCCCGACTTCAAAGGCAGCATGTTGTTGAATTTGCCCGAGTGGGCAAAGACTCCCAGGACGATGAGAAAGATGATAGTGCAGGGAATCCAAGAATAGCGCTCGTAGGCGTGGACGATGCGGTAGCCGAAGGTGCAGATGATGAGAGTCGATATAGCGATGACAAGGATACCGGCCCATCCTGGCATATCTTCATTGACGGCATGAAACAGCTGGGCGCCGACAATGACGTTCACGGCCGACCAGCCAAGGCATGCTAGGACGTTGAAAATAGCGACTAAAATAATGTTAGCCGAAACATGACTGAAAAAGCCTTGGGTACCTACTGAGTTTGACGCCATAAAATCCATACCAAAACCGAGAGAGAACCATCTGTCGAAGACCAAACTTGGGGCCAAAGGTGGAAAAGAAGCAGACTGGCATGACCCCAAGAAAGTTGAAGAAGATGATGGTCAGAGCTGTATCGACGTAGCCAAGATCAAATACAGGGGTAGCAAGGGCGCCAATTGCGAATGAAGACACGACCATGTTCGCAGAACACCACTACGAAGAGTCAGAATGCTCTGGGTGGCATAGAAGTCCCAGCGAGACTTACGAGCGTCCCAACCATGCTGAGAGAGTCATTCGTCCGTTCGTCCTCCGGGACTCTCTCGATACCTCTCTGTTCTACACCAAACTTGCCTGCCAACCTCTGGAGCTTCGCATAGGTGGTGGTGCCGGTTGCGAAATCCTCCTGGGAATTAATGTCAGTTCCCACATAGCCGCGAGCCGTATCCTTCTTCTCCCCATTCGACTCGACGTCGCTTTTGTTCTCAAATATAGCCATCTTTGGCTGTGTGTGGCGTTCCCGTCTCGTTGGTACTTGGGTTTGTGTGGAGAGTCACCGGCAGTTCATAGCTTTGCTCGCGATATTTGAAGGAACAATGGACGGTTTGGCAGCGGAGTACTCAGAATGAGGCGGACAGATGCTTCAGAGCACTGGTGACCAGTGGTGGGAGGAGAGTTCCGCAAGGACGAGACGAAGGCAACATGGTGGCGAGGCAAGCAGTAATATTCAGACCGCGGAAAGTGGAGGAGCCCTTATCAGGGCGAACGCGCGCGAATTCCTCGGGACATCCGAATTCTGGGCTCAAGATGCAACTTTTTCGCGGAGCACACACCAAGCTTCTGACGCGAAACTGGTGGGGGAACAAATGGAGCGATCGAAGATAAGGGATCGTGGCCATGAAGACCTTTGATATCCCCACCGTCGCGTCCCTGACGGCGGGGACATTGTGATTCTCGGAAGTAAGCCGGCATTTGGTAGGTCAGGGAATGGGGCACACTGGAGTCTCAAGTTGAGCTAGAAGAAGGACCAGAGGCAAATTCGGGTGTGCCGGGTTTCTCCTGTCCAATGATGAATTTTGAAAGAGATGGAGGGGAACAAAGGCCGCCCCAGTGAAAATGGAGGTCGTCAGGCGACAGTTGCGAAATCAAGCAGATCTCGGGCAAGTCAACACACGGCCCGGTGACTCGACGATAGGGTTGCAGAGGGATTGAATTCCATCCTACAAGAGCATCTGCTGATAGCCATAGGACCTACCCATAAGCCCAATGGATCGAACAAAGTCAAGAGGAATTCTGCGATAGATAAGACGGGACAGCCCACGCAATCATGCGACCCCCCGGGAGTCCGTGAACCTGCGACGTAAGAGGCAAATGGGGAACTCTACATTAAGCCGAAGAGTCGAGCGTTTCCTGAAGGAAAGGCTTATCTTTACAATGAATATCTGTGATTAGATAGGGGAAACTTGCAAGTCGCAATTGGGTGGATAACGAGCAGGGTCGCTCAATTGGGACAAGATTGGCTGCCGTGTTGCCGAATGCATAGATGGAGAAACTTGACGATGATTTTTTCTCCATGTTGCCTTGAAGGGAGAGAAATGGAGGGCTGGGATGCCAAGACAATGAGAAGTCATCTACCCTTGATTGGAAACGGGAGCCTCATTCACTAGCGGTGCATTCAATCAACGTGAACAGGCAAGGTCATGCCTCCTATCCGAACTATTGGAATTGGAAGCCACCGCGAAATGAAAGTAAAACGAAAAAAAAAAAAAGTGTCGATGACTAACTAGAGGCTCTGCATGACGGGACGGGACCCAAGGTCCCACTCTTCCAAGGCGAGGGTTCGTGCCCAAGAAGCTTAGCCATCTTGAGCGGAGTGCCTTACCTCAGCATTGTGTGTCCCACATGCAGCCACAGCTAAGTTCGTGGCTGTGCAAATGGCGATCTGTATGTAGCTTTCTGAGGATACCTCCAGTGCCCGATTCCATACGTTGACATGGCGTGGTGTAGCAGGCATTGAAGCTTACTTCACGTCATGCTCATACCAGCAAAGTCTTTGTTCTTTGCACATTCCTCTCGAGCATCTCTGCCCTACACTACCGGTGCATCGGCGGGATAGTGCCCCGTAGTGTGGAGGCTCAGCTCGATCATCGAAAGCCAAGCTTGCCTTGCATTCCTCCGCTGGTCTGGGGTTAAACTTTACCGTCGTCGTCGTCGTCGCTGGCACTGACACTCCACCCGCAAGTCGACAGCCTTCACGAAGAATGGAATTACATATAGTATGCCTTCTATCGACGTTGTCCGACAACTCTCAAATGATGAACTCTTTGGAGCACGTGTTTCCTATAAACGAGGCGAATGATCGACAGAACCTGATCACCTGGCATCTCGGCCCATTGTTTCTTATTTCCTTCCCTCAAACTCCCTAGATTTCGCGACACGCATGGTTCTAGTGCGTCTGCGGCAAGATATGCCCTCGTTGATCATGTACCCTTGAGACAAACGTCCTCCTCGCTACCCCCACTCGCCTCCACTGTAAAAAATACGCCGGCCTGAAGTCAATCATGTCTCGCAAGCACGACGGAATGCTCAGCGCCTCTTCACAAGGTGTGCGCCTGTATGCCGTGAATGGAGCACAACATGATCGCTGGCAATACTGAAGCGGAAGAATGAGCAGCATCGTCAGCTCTTTCCTAGCAGAAGGCTGTCACATTTCAGAGACGGATTTGACTGGTCCTCTGTGAAGTCTTCTTCCGCAAGTTCATATGTTTTTCCTGAAACTGAATCCACGCAGGGAAGTGAGACTTAATTTATCACCCGATAGCACGAAGCTCCCTTCAAACTCTCGTGGTAGTCAAAAGCAATTTGAGAGACACCCCTGTGTCCGAGCTCTTTCAACTGACCCGCACCATCTCTCCTTGCACTGACAGTGGCTGCGATTGGCTCAGCCCGTTCAGAGCAACGTTGCTGACCTCCTCTTAACACGTTGGACCACGCCGTTTGCGGTCGGCCCGTTGCATGGACTCGACTCCTCGCACACAATGAATGTGGTGTTCAACAGAGGCACCTGAGGGATCGGAAGACATGGGGTTCCGCGATGCGTTGTTCAGGTGACGCTGGAGATCAGACCCGATGTCCACAAAACACGAGAACATAATTCTGACTCAACCACACTCTCAAACCCACGAGCCTACGATCCCTCGCCCAAGACGTAATCTTAAAAAAAGGAAAAAAGATCAAACCTCGACAGCCAAAGTGACATGTTTTGGTTTGCCTTTCGTCTGATGTTTAGTACATGCAGAAAGGCTAATGAGTTTATTGTCTCGCAGCAAATGAAACAAACACATCATTCAGCGATTGTGGATTTTCCCTCTTTTATTTTTAAAAGTTGCTTTTCTTTTCTACCACTATCTGCAGTAGGGCTGAAGTCAGCCGCGGCAATCATTGGATGATGTCTCTACAATCACTCAACATGTGTTTGCCATCAATTTGCCTCGTCTCCCTCTCAGCCACAGTTCTATTCCTGTCTTACCATTACCAACACCTCGGCCGGGTGTGCCGCGCCGCATTTCCTCGTCACTGTCTTCGCGAACTCAGCTCCCCGCCGCACCGCAACAGCGCTAAGCCGCGCACACCCTAGTCTCACCTCGTACCGAGAGAACAATGTCTCCAGCATTCTTGGTCCCTGGGGACTGTTAGCCATTCCCAAGAACCCGTTCTGATCCAATTGCCATTAGCGTCTGTTTCCCCTTCCTCTAGGTCTCAGTACAAGCGAATAAGGTCTCCGTCTGGCTGAACCGTCATCCACATCGTTCTTCACCCTACGTAGCCATAGTCCCACGACGAGAGATCATCAGCGGCTTGGCAATCGTACCCCCTTCCATATCCCCCCCCCCCCCGGTCAAGATACCCCTCCGTAGAACGAAGTACCCGGTGCCTCTTCCCGCAAGGGTGCAGCCGTCGGCAACAATAATCATATTCGACGACAGCGCTTCACGTCAGACCTGGAGCAAACTTTTAGAGCTGTCGTGTCTCAAAAGCACGTCAAAGATTGACGGCTTTAAGAGTCGAGGGAAAGTTTTGCAGCATGCGTGGTGGATGCCCCCTTATCCCTTGCCCTAGTCTATTGTTTCCTTCCGGAACCCTTCGTCTCTAACGTCCCTAAGCTAACCTAGATGATCGATGGCTCTGACAAGAGCGGGAGATGGGCGTTGACTAAGGTGTCCCATAACCCACGCCGCAATTAAGCAGCGAGGTGTGGCGCGTACTAACGCCGTCACCCATGGCTCCCGACAGGCTTCCTATCAGAGAAAAGCCCGTGTACAATTTGTTGTTTGCTCGTATTAAATACCCAGCCGCCCTCCCGCCCATGCTGTCAACCGGCTCATTTCCCCATCACAGCATTCCGTCAGCAGTCTGGTTGTTTCAAGGCCTCAATATACAAAGGACGCTTGGCCTTCGTCTTCCATCGTCTCTTCACACTCGCTTTCGGCCTATCTGTCTCTCATCTCTCGCTTCATACCACTTCGCTCCAGCATCCCGGTCTCAGATAACACGTTAGGCTGCTCTCAACCCGCCTCCTCGTTTTCACCCACCATCCGACATACCAACCCGCGCAGTTTTTATCTGCCAAACATGCAGCTGTACGCCATCCTCACCGCGGCCGCCACCGTTTTCTCACTCAGTGCCATGGTTCAGGCCAGACCACTACCATGCCCAGATGTTCGTCTCCTCTTAAGCCTTCTCACAGCTGATAAAACGCGTCCCTAACATTTTCATCAGCTGAAGCGTGACCTCATTCTCAGCGGTCAGGCCAGTCCCGAGATATGCTGTTCCTACGGCACATGTAAAGGCGACGTCAACATCATCAGCGGGTGAAAAATCTGCCCATGATTCCCATCAAGGGGGGCGTCACTATCATCACCTTCCGTCCAACGACAATACGGTCACCCATCACTTTTATCATTCCTATCGATGGCCCCGTCACCCAACTAAACACGCCCGTTCGTGTACAAATGCAGATTTCGGCGTCTAACAGGGGACATACAAACGGTGTTTGGGCGCAACAGGGCGTTACAAATCTTCGGATTTTATTGTTTTATCATTTTTTTTCTCCTCCCTCTCATGTTCAGTTTTCCTTTGTAAAATGCAGGGCATCGCACCCGTTTCTTCCAACATGAAGTTTCGGGCAACGGCTCGGGCAGCCAACGCAGCAATAACGCACAATTCGGCATCCCCAGATATCTGGGGAAACCCCCGGAACGAATGAGATTCTTCGGTCGGAGTTCCGCATATGGCATCGGCAACAGCAGTTGCATGGTGTGCGTGTGGGGGACTGTCAGTCGTGCATAAGCCGGCGACACCGCCGGAGAGGGGGCAAACCCAAGCGAAAGAAACGTATGATGAGGACTCACCAAATGGAAGCCTTCAGAAGATTAATGGGTCATTGTATACATGATTGGGAGGGAGGGTTAAGCATGAGACTACCTGACTTGGTCAGGCATGGTCATGGGGAAACACACGATATGCACAGCAAAAGAGCCTCGGTGGTGTAAGCGAAAAGAAAAAAAAGGCTTCTCGAAGCTTTGCCACTACCATTATTGATAGAACGAGCTCGGAAATAATGCAAACAAATTCCTGACATGCATACACTCATCGCAAAATGAAATCACGGCGCTGACTGGGCGCTTTCTGTTTCTGTCGGAGACATTCCTCCCCACGTGGTCCTCTATTGGTCGCTGTCTCGTATCGAGGCCACATGGGCTCTTCGTAAAAGATAAGCGTCCCGCATCTTCCCAACATAACGGGTCCCGTCTTCACCAATCACTCACCATTACGCTCGCGAACTTACAACTGTGCCTAACTATTCGTATGGGCATCGTGAGGCGGCGAACGCGGGGCGGGCGATGGGCGTTCATCATGTGCTTGCGGACGTGTCTTCTTTCACTAACTCGTACCCGCGATGAAGGCCTCGCTGTCTGTGACAAATCCATACGAGCCCTGCCCATGGCTGAGTGAGCGACTGCTTTCATGATAGCTTCAAAAATGGTCACGAGAACCATGCAGAGTGTGACTCAAAGATACACAGATTGACTCACAGCGATGTTGTAAAGGCAGACACCAGGCGCCCCTGGCGTCGTTGTCGCACAGCAGTCTTCCAGCATCACGCAATCCCACCCGCCATTATACGCATCGGTGAGAGTACTCAGGACGCATTGGTCCGTGTTCACCCCGGCGAAGAGCAGCGTCCGCTTCTTCCCCTCTCCGATTCCGGGCTCTCGTTCCAGGTGCTCCCGCAGGGACTGCCCCGGGCTCCACATGCCGGACATCCTATTCTTGTCGCAGTGCACGTCCCCGGTACGGGCAAGTTGCTTCAACGGCTCGTATATGTCGGCATTCCAGCTGCCCTTGACGAGACAGCGGCCCATACCGTTACCTAGCTCTGCGCCCAGGCCGAGGCGGACGATCTTGTCGTTTGCTACGGCGCCATGTATGAGTGATCTTGAAAATCCGCGCTGGACGCTGGCGGGCATCTCAACGAGATCTTCGTTGGTCAGACCCCAATTTAGCCAGATTACCTGCGTTTCGCATCAATCAACATGGGAAATGAGACAGCAAGCCAACGTTACACCGTTGCACCACCGGCAGATTAGACCGTCAGCCCGCCCGGGGAGTAGAACGATAGGCGGTAACCATTGCCGGGCGATCGACCGGCCTCGTGCCCGACTGGCGGGGAAATGGCCGTACCTGGACGCCTAATTCGCGGCATTTCTCGACGACGTTCTTGGTCTTCTCCACCGCGGCCAGCCCGGCGGGATGGTCTCGACAACTCGGATGCAGAAAGTAATTCTGCATGTCGACTATCACGAGTGCTGTGCTGTGGGGGGCTACGGATATGAAGGTCTCCGTGGGGCCCTGGGTCGTGCCGAGGGTTAAAGCCGGGGACCGGCCCCGGGTGAGATCATAGGTTCGTGTCGATTTCTCATAGCGCCATTCGTCCCCTGGCGGGCCAAAGACTAAGTCTGCGGACATGACGAAAAAGCGAGAAGTACGAGAATGTGCGATGGTCCGAGTTTTTTCCTCGGATATTCTATCCCCGATTGCGGGTATGGCTTAGCTCTTTCCCCGAATGCGGGTATAGAGTTAAGTGCGGTCAGGCTTTGGTTCGGTCGGTTGTATGTCATTTAAGGTGGAAGGAGAAGAAACGAAAATCATTCATGCAGCATTAAAAGACCGGTAGATAAGAAGCCCCGCAGCTTAGGATAGTGCAAGCGCATGTACCTGTCGGGACTAGGTGTCAATGACTGCATTCCGAGCTGCCCTCCCGCTGCCCATTTGTTGCTACTGTCCTCTATCGGGAAGGAGAAGATGTCGGTGCGGCCTTCGCCCGGTTCCGGGACAGGTATGGAACAAACGCGGTATCATAACTCGGAAGATCCTCTGCAGCAAATTTTCAAAATATAATTAGCCACCAGCGGCGCGTATTGGCGGATGAGACAACCACAGGCGCATCCATGCAGGCGCATGTAGAACAGGTAAGTAGCGACCGAGGCAAGCCGTCGCATGCGCGATCCAGACTTCCATGCTGAGGGCGAACGGGAAGCACTTCGGGGCCGACGTTCAGTTTGTTTGGTTGAGACTAAGGTAAGGTAAGGGAACCAGGTCTCCATCAGGCCAAGAAACCAGGTATCGGGCAACATCGCGATTCGTGGAGCGAGAGATATGCGCATCCCCTCCCCTCAGCAACGGGCCACGCTGCGACGAGACGGAGGAGGGTAGGAAGAGAAAGAAAAATCAGAAACCCCCAAGGCGGTATCCCCGGTTTGCATACCACGTGAACGCATTAGAAAAATCCCCGCGGAGCAAGTGGCCAGCTAGATGCCCCTCCCGGCGCGCCTGGACCTGCAAATTGCGCGGGTTGGCGCCTCTAGAGGACTCGAGAAACAGTTTGGCTGGGCGACTCTGGGCGGCTCTGGACGAACGTGTCGCGGGGGATGGACGGTGTCGGGTACGGATCGGCGTCGTGATTGGAGCGGGAAGTCGCAAAGAGAAAAAATCGGTCGCTGTAAGACCGAACAATTCCCACATTGCGGCAGCGCCCCACCCCCTGCCAACAAGCTTCGACCCTGCGTGACGTTGCGGCGTGGGGAACTGGGGTTAACTATTCGCCTCGACCCCTCGAGAAGGAGGGGCTGCATTAAAACATCGAGGGGCCGAAGAAGCTCCTGGTTGCTGGTCGACTGAAAAAAAAAGTTCCACGACTTGTGAAGAAGGTATATATCCAGCCGAGCCCAGACTTTGGAGGCCTGCTTCGAGTTTGACGTCTGTCCTGTCCCGTCTTGCTCCGTTCATCTCGTCCCCCTCTTTCACTTTCACTCTCATCCTGCTGCCAGTCGCCTCGTCGTCTTGTGCCCAGCGTTTCATTCACCGCCATAGTTTCTGTGGCAAAGATACCTTCTGGTCAATTCGAAGCCCTACTAGAGCACACACACACACACCACACACTCACCGTCACAATGTCTCCCTCAGCTGTTGACCCCCCCGCGTCCGTCGGCAACGTTAAGCCGTCCAAGGCCAACATTGGCGTCTACACCAACCCCGCACACGACCTGTGGATTGCGGAGGCCGAGCCCAAGCTGGAGGCCGTCCAGGCCGGAGAGGGACTGGCACACGGCGAGGTCACCGTGGCTGTCAGGAGCACCGGTATCTGCGGGTAAGTGTCCTCATGGGAGTCAGAGCCAGCGCTGCTTGGGAGAGAGTGAGCGAGGACGAGACAAAGCTGACCAAGCCTACAGATCCGATGTTCACTTCTGGAAGCACGGATGCATCGGACCCATGATTGTTGGGGGCGACCACATCCTCGGCCACGAGTCCGCCGGTGAGATTCTGGCCGTTCACCCCAGCGTTACCCACCTCAAGGTCGGCGACCGTGTCGCCATCGAGCCGAACATCATCTGCAACGCTTGCGAGCCCTGCTTGACTGGTCGCTACAACGGCTGCGAGTCGGTCCAGTTCCTGTCTACCCCCCCCGTTCCGGGTCTGCTGCGTCGATACGTCAACCACCCTGCCGTGTGGTGCCACAAGATCGGTAACATGTCCTACGAGGATGGTGCGATGCTGGAGCCCCTGAGTGTTGCTCTGGCTGGTATGCAGCGTGCCGGCGTGCGCCTCGGCGACCCGGTCCTCGTCTGCGGTGCTGGGCCCATCGGTCTGATCACTCTGCTCTGCGCCAAGGCTGCCGGTGCTTGCCCGCTGGTTGTCACTGATATCGATGATGGACGTCTGGCCTTCGCTAAGGAGCTTGTGCCCAGTGTCATCACCCACAAGGTTGGCCGTGGCACTGCCGAAGAGGAGGCCCAGCGCATCGTTGAGTCTTTCGGAGGCGTCGAGCCTGCTGTGGCTATGGAGTGCACTGGTGTCGAGAGCAGCATTGCCTCCGCTATCTGGGCGTGCAAGTTTGGCGGCAAGGTCTTCATCATCGGTGTCGGCCGCAACGAGATCAACATCCCCTTCATGCGCGCCAGTGTCCGCGAGGTTGACGTTCAGCTGCAGTACCGTTACTGCAACACCTGGCCCCGTGCCATCCGTCTGGTGGAGAGCGGCGTGATTGACCTCAGCAAGCTGTGCACACACAAGTTCAAGTTGGAGGATGCTCTTGATGCCTTCGAGACAGCCAGAGACCCCAAGACTGGCGCCATCAAGGTCCAGATTCAGAGCTTGGACTAAGTCAAGAGTTATGAAATGGTTGGTGTTTTGGGCATAATACGGCGGTGTTGGCGATTAGGTGTCATGGATGGTCATTTGATATGTTTATAGAGACAATTTCCCAATGAGTTCGTATCTAAGCTGGTGTGAAGTATTATTATTGTTGTATATAGTATTGCAGCAGTAGAAAACACATGGTATTATGGGCAGTAATTCAGTGACGATGAGCTTGCATGGGCACTTTTGTGGGGCAGGTAACACAGTATGTACGTGTGGTAGCAGGTGCTGGTGTGTATCCTGTGCCTTCCCTACATGGATATTAGAAGAGCTCCATCCAAGCTGGAAAGGTTCAAACGGCGGGACGTCGGCCACGAGGGGATATGCGAGCCTGCCTTTCAACAGCGCAGCATCCATCTCAAACCCCGTTCTTCCCCAGTACCTGCCTGCCTGCCTGTCAAGGCTATCTCTCCCTTCCCGCGCAACTTCCGTTGATGAGGACCCCAGCACCCCTGACTAGTTCCACTATGTGATTGGCTAGTGCTCAAAGCGGCATAGTCCGAGACCCGGTCGGGCGCGCCTGCTTTTCGATGAGGTAAGGTAAGGTACAAGGAGCGACGTACACTACCTGGCCTGTGCAGTTAGTTTTTTTTTTTTTTTGTCGTCGCTGCAATAACTTGGTCAGCAGCCAGCAGCCAGCAGCCAAGACGCACAGACCACTCGTCCGGCTCGCAACAACAGCACAAGCGAAATCTTCCGAGAGGTCGGAGGCAGAGACTGACGGCCTGAGAGAGCTCTTTTTTTCCTCACGCAAAAATCACCATCACCAACTACTCCCCTCCCCCATCAATTGGCCGCCAACGAAGCTCCCCCCTTGCCCCCGGAGCCGTTCAATTCGATCCAACCTGTCCCGAGATCCAGATCCACCGGTTTTTATCGATTTTCGATACTCTCGCCAGTCAACATGTCTGCTGCCCTTGCTCGTCCGTTGATGCGGACCACCGCAACCCGCACCATCCCTTCCCACGTCGCCGCCCGCTTCGAGTCGACCGCCGCCAAGAAGGCCACTGAATCCGCGAAGGATGCCGCTGGTAAGGCCAGCGAGTACTCGGCCAAGGCTGCCCAGGGCTTGAGCCGCGCCGCCAGCGCTGCCGGCCCTGCCCTGTCTGGTGCCGTCAACGCCCTCGGCAAGGTCGGCGGCCGCACCGGCAAGGTTATCGGTTTCATCGAGAGTACGTGACAAGAAAGCGCCCAGAAGATGGAGACTTTGGGAAGACACCGTGACGTGTTTTCCGCCTGCCCAGAAGTTGGACAAACATTGACGCAATTGTGACATTAGGACAAGTCCCCTGGGTCGTCTACTACTCCCGCGTCGGTCTTGAGCTCTCCAAGATTGTCTTCCACGGCCAGAAGATGGCTCCTCCGTAAGCTACTCATTTTCAAAAGACTCGGCACGCTCAGCGTCTAACCTTGGACCGTAGCCCCGTCTCCACCTTCCAGACCTACTTCCAGACTGCCCTGAACTCCCTCAAGAACCCCAGCGGTCTCCTCAGCTCCGCTTCTTCGACCGCCAGCTCTGCTGCCTCCGCCGCCGCCGCTGCTAAGCCCTCCGTTGTTGCTTCGCGTGTGAACGCCGCTACTCTGGCTGCTGGCGCCGTTGTCGCTGCCGAGTGCCTCGGTTTCTTCACCGTTGGCGAGATGATTGGCCGCTTCAAGATCGTCGGCTACCACGGCGAGACCCACGCCGCTCACCACTAGACGAAGCAACCGTCCGACTCGCCCATTCTGGAACGGCTTTTGTGAAGGAAAGGGGTGGAGAAGATGTGTTTCTTTAATTAATTCGACTGCATCTAAAGAAGAGCGGATCTGGCGGTATCGGGACACTAGACACCGGGGTTAGGGGGTGTTATGGAAGCAAACACGCATGAATGCTCGATGACCCGTGTAAGAGGTTCATGTACCCATTCCTCCAGCCTCTCCGCGAAGGGAGTGGCTGTGTTTGGGAGCGCGGGAAGAGAAGTGGCTCGCTGGGATCTGGATCCGATCCCTCGGGCATTCTCAACAGGCACCTTTTTATTTTCCTTATGTAGACTTTGTACATCACACGTCAAACGCAGTCACCCAAGCTGCGAAACCTGCCTCCTGCGGGTAAATATCAGGAACCCTTTCAATGACCAGTCTGCCTTGGAGAATTCTCTCTAGCGTTGTTTGATTTGTTGTTATCTAATATGATACGATGTCCGTCAGTAAGGTATGCAGTTGGTGTAACGGACAATCAACTAAGTCTATTCAACTTTGATACTCGATTTTCTAAGTATTCACCCCCCCTTTCCCAACGCCTATCTGGCTCTGTCTACTCACCGACTCTTGCAACCTTCAAGCACGGCGGATGCAAGGGAGGACCTGACTTTACCTTTTAGGTCAACGCTAAAATTTATCCGGTAGTACTCGGTAAGACAAAATGCCGCTGGACCGCTGAATGAGCTGTCCGCAACGCTTATACCACCCTTTCATGTAGAGATGGAGATTGGAGCACATCGTTCTCGGTGGAAGAAGGGTCAAAGAGGACAGCTAGCCCGGTTGCTTGTAGCTCATTCCACGGGCGCATGGATCTTTAGGCGATGGACATGCCAAACTGGTTGTTTCCCTGATATGTAAATAGCCTTGACCTATTCATGCTAGAGAGCTTTTGTAGAACTAGTATTTGGGTGTTATGCCTACACCGTCAACTTCTATATATAAGTAAACAGCTACCACCCTGCCAGAGGAGCAGAGACCCCTTCCACGACGACAACAATCACGTCCATCCGAACCACTGCCGAGCAGCGGGGGAGGGGGGGGGGGTCAAAAAATTGATAACTAGTCACCCAGAGCCAGAAAACAAGTTGGCGGGACATCAGGGTATGTCCTGAAAAGCAGCGGGACGGCTCTACTAAAACCACGCAGCCTAAGCAGGGCATCGTTTTCATATGCATAGTCAGTGTAGGCGGCTATCAGCATCAGTTACGATACCGATGTCCTTGTTAAAGCCGCCAACTTGGAATTCAATGGCTATGTCTCTGATGCCAACAAGATTGCTACTTGGAAGGGGGATAAAGAATGCACAAAAGAGGTGTGGTGGTATGACAGGAAACTGAGCACTAGACGCTGAGGACAGACTATGATGTTGGGCTTGACTAAAAGCCTAGCCGCTATGCTAATGCGTGTTTGTTTTCTGTACAAACAAGGCTATGATAACATCGCTCGAGGAAATAGTAGAGTATAATTTATTCTCGAAGGTTCGAGTCTTGTAGACAAACTACAATTTTCCTGTCAAGATTAAGACAACACTCTAATTCATATTATCACGATGCCGGTAGTACGTTTAGTAGGGGTTTAGAATGGTCATAATGTGATCACCGGGAGGAGTACTGAGAGAGTGATTTCATAGGTGTTTGTTTTGGACAATATGTCTTACACCGTCCGGTTTTCATGTACTGCCCGTGACATCGTCGTATATGAGCTGTTGGAAATCATACCCACGATGTGATGTTCACTAGAAGCAGCGTAAACGATTGGACGACTGATCCAATTTTATAGGCCGTCCGGCTACCTGTCCCGCATATTCCGCCGTCATCATCATTTCATGTGGAAGTTCTCACACTATAATTCAACATGACAGTAGATTGCTTATGGACTCTATAATTTATCACAGTTCTCTGCAGGTTCAGAATTGTTTTGCCCATTCTCGGTCTTGTTGCAAAAGTATCCTGCGTCATCTCAATTGTACTCGTTTACTCCTTGATATCTGAATGATACGGCGGGAACAATAGAAGCAACGACTCCTATATGCGAACTGCATTCATAAAATAGAGCTTAGAAACTGGCAGAGCACCGATGCAAAAAAATGTGTAAGAGACAGATGTTCACAAACCATCAAAATGAGGGATGCGACGTGCGGATCCGGTACCCTACTCGCGCCATGGTAGCGCTCGTCGGTATACACATGGTTCCATCGCTCATGGCACCACTCACGTATTGCGGCCATGGTTCCTAAAAGAGCTAAGACGGCCAGCAGTTGACCTGTAGTCACAATCGCAAACTCGCAGTCTACAGACCCAGCCCGCGACCACCCGCGTGTCTGATCACTCATCGATCTTCAGAAGCGTCTCGCTTCTCCTCCTCCCAAAACACCGACGTTGGATGGGCCAGCCTTTAAGCCGGACGGCAGCAGGGTCGTGGCAAATCAGAGGCCCACGTTCTAGTCCCTTGGCCGGGTACTGTTATGGTCCAACACAGACATGGCGCGGCTTCCAGCATGGCCAACGACCGTAGTCTCAGCCACCAGGCCTGTTTTGGCCAAAAAAATAAAGACAACACATCCGCGCCGCAGACCCGCTGCCGTCTGTGAGGACGAAGCCGTTCCCGGTCGTCTGACCATTCCCGTCGCCTCATTTGACTTCATCCCATCCCATGCGGCCCAGTCACGCGGCACCACGGATGCCACGCCCCTACCCCCGACGGGAAACAACTTTACAGTGTGTCCCGGTATGGTGTCATGACAACTCTGGCTCAGCTCCTTTTACTTTTTGCATGTCCCATGGGGGAATGTCCCGTAAGAGTTAAACGGCCAATAAGGAGTGAATTCAGGTGGTTCTCATAATATATAAAGTGTAAGAAAAGTAGTGTGCTTTGCAGATAATGGGATATATGCCATGTCCGGGACCATTACGTATGGAATTGAGCTTGCCAGTCCATTACGCGACGAGTGTCTGGTCGCCCGACCACCCAGGCCTGTGTTCTGTATATTGAAAGGATATCTTTCTCTTTTACCAAAGTACCAAGTGAACCAACAGACGCATCATCACCAACAGGGGTTAACGGGGCTGGGGGCGGGGGTGGCGGTCGTTTTCGTAGTAGATTGGTTGGAGGGGCGCGTACGATTGGGAACATTGAAATCCGGTAGGGACGGGGGGGTAGGGCACGTGAATCCGGCTTTGGATGATGATGTGTTGGCATGTTGACAGCGCACCTGTTGGCCATCTCTGGGCACTTCTTCCCCTTTTCTCCAACCTGACCCTGGCATCGACGACATGGGTGGTTACCATCCTGGCGGGATTCCCGTAACGTCCGTTCATCACGAGAAGAGGGAAAACAATCAAAATCTGCATGCAAGCCACGATTATGCGGGCAGTCCAGCTTGGCCAGAGGAGAAGGGTGGTCAGCAAAGCAGCCTGCGACCTGTGCCAGCGGCGGAGATGAGAGGAGACGAGGGCTTTCTCGACTTGTATAATCCGCCGGCCAGAGTTTTATCATGTTTTGTAATGTTGTCCGTTTGTTCACCATCGCGCGTAAGAGAAACCCGAGTTCCCGGTTGCATGGGTTGATCGCTTTTTATCACGGGGAGATCGCGGCTGGGCATAGCATGACGTTGTGGGTTGGAAAGATATTAAGCTCGTAGTCACTTTGAGGCACTGTGCCTCTAGGAACGGGAAGCTTCGTATTCGTAAAAAGGATTAAATACAAACCATACCACATGGGCTTAGTCCGACGTATCTGGCCCGATCCCTCGTGGAATAGCACCGCGAAGCTCAGGATTGTCGGCACGTCTTTGGCCGAGACCCCAATGCCTGGGATTACCCCAAGACCTGTTACCAATCACTGGGTTTGACCTTATTTTAACCGTACCCGGACAAGGTTTGTAAAAGCAAGAGGTGGGCCCGGAATATAGCCGCAAGCCTTGATCAGTAATGGAGTTCGAGAAACAGGCGAAGCGGTTCGAAGCTGGCTTCACTGTGTTCCGTTTTCTCGAACACACCTCGACTGGTCATATCTCACTTCTGATCATAAGTAAGACAAATAGATCAGTTGCTTTGTACTTACGCATCACAAATCACCGAGGCTGCTGGTCGATTACGGGAATTCCGCCTTGTGCTAAAGACGAAGCACGAGCTCTGAATGGCCAGTTTACGGCAATGCCAGAATATACTCTTGAAAAAAAAAAAAACGCCTGACCCGTTCCCCTTTACCCTTCTGGAAACGCAGGATTATTCCCTAAATTAATGAAGGAAAAGAGATGAGGTCGGGCTGTGGTGCTGCATATGCATATGCGTATGCGTGGCTTTACTCCTCCCCTCCTCCATCTTCCTGCTCTGTTTGGGCAACCAATCCGTTTTCTTCTTCCTTTTAACCCCGGTCCACTCATCTAGAGTTCCATGTCCGCGGGACTGGGCGTCCGCTTGATCAAAGTACTGGTACATGGGAGCAAAGGGGGGAGGGGACGACGGGACGGGAAGGCGGACAAGAGGGAGAGGGGCGTGACATGAAAGAGGGGAGGGAGGGGCGGGCGATGATCTAAGCCCAAGGAAGGAATGGTGGGAGAGGAAGGCCAACCAGCTTTGACAGCTCATCATGACATGGCTGCAGCTCTCGGGGGTTAGCGGAGGCAGGCCTGTTCGTCGTCCGCGAACGCAAGAAATCGAGAGAGACTGTCAATGTCAGCCAACCTCGTGGTTGGCAGGCAGACAGACGGTTGATGGGTAGCGCGTACAAGCCACAAAGCCCCAAAGTTCCAATGGCGACACCAGATGGAAGGGAAAAAGCAAATCTGAGTAATGGAGGGTTTGGATCGTGGTGTTTCCAGATATCACCCGGATATGCAGCAAGTGAGATGCTCGCAGTGTGACGCGCATGGCGAAGCCCACTCGCTAACACTCTTCCCCTCTGCAATGTGCGAATAAACCAACGGTGTAAGACCAGTTGCTACATTAGGAAGCAGTTGTTGCCCGCAGCTTGTTCCCTGCCCCGGTTGTTGGTGTTCCTCGCTACCCTGGTTGTTGGGCTGACTTCATGCTTTGCTGTGCTGTCAAATAATGATGGTCACGACAATACCCACTTGTGCCTACATGTAAATATGCGTGATATTGTTGGCCGACGTCAGAGGAGGGGAAAGGGGGGGGGGGGGGGGGGGGGGGGGGGATGTATGTAGGGTGGGGGGAGGGCTACCAGAACACCACGTCGCATGGGCCACCGTATAATCGGAAGGGAAACCAACACGAGTTAGATGAGGTCTGAAATTGAAAATGATAACAACAGCAATAATCGAGCGATGCGGCCAAGCACGCAGACTGATGTTCTACTGCAAAGGGTAAGAGTAGTGTGGAGATCTGGCATACGAGTTGGCAAAACGGAAAAAAAGAGTATGAAAAGATAAAAGAAAAAACCCCTCCCCCCAAAAAAGCCATCCTTGATGATGGCTCTCAAATAGCGGCATAACCGATATTTGGCTCGAGCATGACTGTGTTCACGAATGGCAGCAGGTCTCCCTGACGGTCGCGTCTTGATGTTACCCAACCACGACGGCAGTGCAGATATGCCTGATGAGAGCCTAACACCTCTGGAGGTCGGAAATACGCCCCGAGGGAGGGGGTCATGTTGACATCACACTCAACATCCGGAGTTAATCAAAGGCTTCTGGATGAAAACAAGAAAATAAAAATGGCCGTGATCTGGGTCCCGGTGGTCATGGATGAAAGGTCTCAAGCGGGCCGCCAACGGAGGCCGCGTTTCGGGGTCGTTGTTCCGGCCTTATGTACACAATTCAAACAGGGGGGTTAGTGCGGAAAAGGCCAGAGAAGTGAACAGCGGCCGCAGCGTCCAAGCCTCCATTCACCCTTCAAAAACGCGGCCACCATCAACCGGCCAGGTTTGATCATGCTTCAACCAGCAAAAAACATGCCATTTTTTCTGTCTCTCCCACTGGATTGCTGCCCAAAAATCACCCACAAGAAAGCTACTCCTCTATCCACTCCGCCTCGCCGCGCCATATGCATGCATGATGATAAACAACGCCTTTTAGACAAGGTCCTTCTAATGTAATGAAACAACGAAAGATGAAAGAAATAGAAAATTGCTTGGGATTGCTCCAATTGCAGACTATTAGATGCGCACTTTCAGATTTCCCTCCCTCAAACAGGTACAGGTCGTGGCCATCTACTAAAAGCTGCCTCCCGAAAGAAAAGGGCACAAGATAAGACCCGACCAAATAATTAGTATTCCTGAGTGAGACACCCTGTATATAAAGCAATGTATTGGAACAACACAGTGTTTGTGAGGATGCTTGTTGCTTGGTGGGGAGGGAACCGGTATTATGTACCGGAGGTAATGTGACGACCCAGGGTATAATAGAGCTGAACCTTAGATTGAGGTTTTGCTTGGATCGAGAGCTGCGGAACAACTAGACGGCAAATAAAGTGAAAGCTGCCTTGTCCACAGGGCCAACCCGCGATCTGCGAAAATACGCCCTGGCAAGAGCTAAGATCAAGCCATCATGGGAATAGAGATGGACGATGATCGCCTAAGATATGGTAGGCTCTCGACCGGACGCACCGAAATATGGCCGGGCCAATAACAAATAAAATATATAGACGGGCGGGCCGCGACCGCATCCAGAATCGAGAGGTGCGTAGTCAACATTTGTACCCTAGTAGGCATGGCAAACCGATGAGAGCTCAGATATGGTTGATACAGAAACCGGCCATGAATAATTTCGGCAGGCAGAAGTGACACCACGCCGTAGGTACTGCAACATTCGAGTAGGTGTACCCCCGAGGTCGTTTCTTGACCCCGTTCTAGAAACGAGATTAAGAGAAGCAGGCTGCGTTTTCGTGAGCCCCATCGATAGTAGGGGGTGCCTTGGTGACAGAAGCCCCAGGGCATGAGCCCATCGGCTCGCTCCCGGTTGTATTGGCCCAGAAAAGTCCAGATGTGAGGGCAAGGTGTTAGATAGGTAGAGGTGGTATACGCAGGGGGAAAAAGGAGAAAAAAAAAAATTCAATCGCTATAGTGGTCCCATTGACAGGTGTTGGCTTCGCGAGGTATCCGACGTGGCAGACTTGACCCGGCCATTTTCGGGCCACAATGGACTTGCAACGGAGGGTGACGGCAGGAGAATCGCTAACGAAGTTCAACCGTCACGTTAGCCGCTGAAGCCCCTCATCTACGGTGAGATGATTGGGGCCATCGGCAATCTGGGCTCTCCCCTTTCACAATCATTGGCCGGGTTTCCTCGCCGTCCAAACAAACCTACACACGACAATTAGTCCCAGGACACATGAATCAATAAGTAGTGGCAGTCAGTATGCAACGGAAGTGTGCATGCGGAAACTCACATTCTGCAGTAGGCATGGACGCTCAGCCGGCAAATGTCCCTTTTGAGTGCCTCTACGAGCTCGTCCACATGAGCCTTAGACCAGCCCTCTACTCGAGTGAATGGTGCAAGAGTCATGGCCTCCAAACCATGCGTCAGACCAAGATTGAACCATCGGCCGATGAGAGCTTCGGCTTCGTTAGGGCTCCATGGGCTGACTGGCAATTTGACCATGTTCTCAGTGATGTTGGTGAAACCTGCAGCCCGGAGCTCGGCCCCTGCATCGAATACGTCTATGGGCAGTCCATACGTCCTCATCGCATGGGACAACGTACTGCTCCAGTGAATAAGAGGTGAATCCTGTGCTAAGGTACCATCATCGCTGCGAGGAACCCATTCGATTTCCACTTGCTCAATGTAGCCGCCTGGTTTCAGGTGCCTGAAAGACTTTCTGTAGAGTTCTGGCCAGTCTCTTATGCAGCCGAGCATCATTTGAATGTGGATCATGTCCAACGTCTGCTCTAAAGCTGGCCAGGGCGACTCAACATCAGTGCGCGTGAACTTGACGGTTGCAGGGATCCTGTGAGGGAAGAAAGTAAGCAATTAAATACATCAAGTGCACATTAAGATGTGTAACACATACGCACTGGGTTGGATCATAGCAAGATCCCACCCTTCAACCAGATCGCTAGCATCTTCTGAACGGGCATAGAGCTGACTGTGGGTGGTTGTTAGCTACTGTAAGCCTTGATGAAGCAGTAGGGCAAGGGAAAGTGGGCATCATACTCGGCAACATCAATCGCCCAAATTCCAGTCCCCGTTCCGATATCGAGGACGTGGGCTCCTTTGGGAGGAGGCACTTCGAAGAGCTTTTCATTTCTCGCAAGAACAATGAGTTTATGAAAAATGTCAAGTCTGTCTTGCTCGGCCTAGTCACCTTGTCAACTGGGGAAGCTCTCAAGAGTAAGTCTATCTGCGCAACGTACATCATCGATAGGAAGTAAATATCTGCCTCTTCGGTATCCGCAGTAGCCGCGGCCGTTTTCAGAGTAGTCAGATACGACTTCCTGAGTCCCACTGTTACAAGCGCAAATAAAAATCCCGAGTCAGTGTCGCATGTCAACGAGAAGGGCAGTCAGAGGAGCCGGCACCCAAGACGGGCTTCGTACCTTTGTTGAGACATGGCTACCATGTGTATGGAGACCAGGTTTCGAGTGGGCAGCAGTGGTGCGAAGGCGTCGTGTTGTGTTCAGTAGAACAGGCTGCAACTCATTTGCGACTAGAAGGCGCTAGTACATGAACGATGTGGCAACACTATACGCGGCCTGGCAGATTAGCAATGGTTGACCGAGAGGTTAAAGATAACTTCAGAAGGAAACCTAATGTATAATGCAAGGCTGGTAACTCTGAAACATAAAGAAAGCTGACTTCGGTTTTCGCTTTGAAGAATTGGAAATGAGACAGCGGACAATTTAAAGTGTGCGTGCAGTAGTGAGTCTTGGAGAGAAATGAAACGAGGATACGATTGTAACGCAGACAAGGAAAGGTAGCTGCAAGTCGATGGAAGCACACACGCACGCACACGCACACACAGAGTAAAGAGACACGCACACAGCCAAGCTGAATGTCATCTAGGGAGTAAGGCCGCCAACAAGACTGTCTTTTTATGGGGAACGTGACCCAAACAAGGTCTGATTTGAGTGAGGGTACCGAGAAAGACAGAAGGAGGGAGTAATCCACGGCAGATGTAACAGTTAAGCGGAGGAAAGGGGCCCAGGAGGATGTAAGCAGCAAGTCTGATTCCTACTTTAGAGGAATATGGGCAACTCGACTAGTTCTTGTATGTCCAGAGGACCAGTGCACTGGCACCAGTCTCTCTTACTCACTCACATAAAGAGATACACGCCAACAACAGTACACGATACTGACGGCCAAAAAGGGAAGAAAATTGACCGCTGCCAACACCGACGCCACCACCACCACCACTACCACAGTAACAACAAAACACACAACTCACCATGGTGCAGTTGCACTTGCGCTTGCACCGACGACCGTTGGCACACGCAGACACGGGTGGGCGAGCGGGCGCGTGCGTAAACACTAGTCCATCGCTCTGCTTTTGCTTGTCCAGGGCCCTGTTCGTTGTAGGTCAAAGTTGATGGCATAGCACGACAACTCAAGGCCCAGCCAACAAGTCGGTTAAGAGCGATGCGGCCAGAGAAAAGAAGCTGCAGCACGCTTCACACCCTTTGAGATGAGAAGAAGGGTGAGCATGACATGGGTTCAGGTGTGGTCACTCCAAAGCCAGGGCAGAGACGAGGGCCGCTTGCTGGGCCTTGACAGCAGCGTATCAGTACATGTACCTGCATGCCAATGGCCGCAGTAACGGCCAACAACAAAGCAGGAGGAAGAGAAGCTGCGGAAGGATGGTGCAAAATGCAAGTCTGCGTTGGTGTGTTTGTCACCATCAGGTGCAGGATCATCTGAACAGGATGGGGCTCAAGGTTGGTACTGGAAGATCATGGTGCAAAACGACAAAATGAAAGCACACAATTGACGTACCGGGTTAGGCCACCTGGTAACCTTCACTTTGTCCGGCCGGGGTAGATTCGTTTGGTGCCGTACAAAGAGGTGAGGAAGTGATACAGACGAGGCCCGGTGTTGCGGTAATCGGCCTTTTTTTTTTTTTTTGGTTGTCGTGTTGAAGCCTTGGAGACTTAGCCAAAGACGATGGTTTGGAAGACGACGAGCAGCGTCGCAAGAGATAAAAACCGTTGGCCAGGCAGGTTTAAGCTGCTGTGGGTTGGGCTGGGCTGGGATTGTAGTTTCTAAGGCGACTTTGTTGAAATATCTTGGCGTACAATGTGTAAAAGAATTCCGAAGTAAAGCTGGGTTTAGGTGCTCAAAATGGACGAAGAAACCGGGATCTCCAATAGAGTTGACCTTGCGACAAAAAGATACCAAAATAGGTGTGAACCAGATGGGAAAAGAAGGGCAGGTCAAAATTGCGGTCAAGGTTGGGGTCGCGTTCGCGTTTGAGGTCTCGAGGGTCTCGAGGTTGAGGTAGACGCAAGGTGATGTGATTGAGAGTTGCAAGGCAAAACGAAAAGAGAGAGAGGTAAAAGGGACCCCGCAGGCGGTTTGGGTCGGTCGGGTTCGTTTCGGCGGCGGGCGGGAGCGGGAGGAACAGCGATCTGGGCGGGATGGGATGTAGGGAGTAATAAAGGAAGAAAGTATCCAGACCAAGGTTTGCGGTTTGAAGGTAGGCCAGCCGTCAGCCGTGTGAGCTAGAAGAGATAGCTCACACCACAGCCTAGTAGTACTAGGTAGAGCCCTAGTAAAGTAAAGCCAGGAGTTCCTAGTCTCGGGCTCAGCACTACCGTACCGTACCTAGCAGCTGAGGTAACTGTAGGGTCTGTGAACTACCTACTAAGGTAAAGACGGGTATGGACTGGTCGCTGTGCTGCAACGTTGGAAAGGGGGTTAAGTGAATGAACCCTGACCGCAATCAACAAAAGCTGATGCAAGTGAACAGCAAGCAAGCACGTCCCCGTCTGTCCACAGCATACGCGAGCAAGCTTCCCCTATGTTGGTGCGAAGAGATGGAGAATATGAAGGTGTAATACAGGCGCCGTCGAGTCCGCCGGTATCAATAAGCGGAAGAAGCAAGTATCCGCATCCGCGAAGGAAAGACGGCAAAGTGCGGTCAGCGTAGGTAAGGGGAGAGAGGCAGGCAGTTGAGAAGAATTCGAATATTCTTCCGATCAGTGGAACAGAAAGGCGATGCCGTTATGATTGGTCTTTGTCTTTGTCTTCTTATCTTGTCTTTTCGGCCTTTCTTTCCTTTCGGTCTTTGTCGTTGTAGTGGGTGGGTAGTATTTCGTCGTAGTCGTAGTATTCAGTGCTCTTGTTGCAAAGAAGAATAAAGTAGCCTTACGGATGGGTTTGCTTAATCTCCCGTCCTTTCAAGATGTGCTTGCGTCGCTAGGTCTCTCTGGTCTCTCCGCCTCCTGTGGTTCGGGGGATTTCCCACTGTTAAGTAGAATTAGTGGGCTTGTTCATTCTCGTCTCCAACTTCGATCCAATGTATTTTCCCTGTTCCCTGCCGGCGCTGCGGTTGCCAATTCCATCAGGTCCATCACGGCCCTGGGGGGTGGCTTTTGGGGGGGGGGGGGGGGGGGGGGGGGGGCAAGTGTCAGTGCCAGTGACAGTACCTGTCTGTGCCTATGCCTGTGCCTGGTGTCTGTGGCCCCTGTGGGTGTCAATGTGATGGATGGAGCTTTGGAGATGGCGGGCCTACTCAAATGTGCAAAATCTCGCACTCACTCGACCGTGCAGGGCAGCGTCGCCAAAATGTCCAAGTACCATTCTTGCCCCCTCGTCTAGCCCTGTCCGTCTTGCCGCTGTTGGTCTGGTCCCATCTTGTCTCCAGGTCCACAGGTTGTTGTACATCTTTTTTTTTTCCTTCCCTTTTTTTTTTTCTCTCTTTGCTTTTGCTGCCTCCTGCTATATCATCATGATAACAACCCGGTCCAGACAATGGGCATAGGCAAGGTATGGGACATTATGAAGGCATTATTTTTTCTTTTTCTTTTTTACTTACCTCGCTAATAATATCAAAACCCGGGCTCATGCGGCAGGCATGACAGATTCGTTTGACGAGAGGGTGCTGAGAGGTACGGACAGGCAGGTGAATAGACAGGTTGGTATAGGTAAGGTATGGACGGATACCTTCTGTAATATTGGGCGGGTGGAGGTTGAGGAGGGAAAAAGTCGACTAGAGAGGGGACATGGGGTTGAATCCACCAACAGGATCAGAAAAAGGGGCGTAGTGTAATTCAATTCGTTCGTTGGACCTGAGACTGGGGGGTCCTGGGTGCTTGGGAACGGGGGACGGCGGTACAGGTACGACGGGTACGGGACAGAAACAGGACATGACAGACCCCGCGGTGAACAACTGCTGCTAGGGAAAGCCCAAGAGTGTCAAGGTATGACGACGGCAACATGCGAGAGAAATACTGGGAACCCGTTTCTCGGGGCGTCGATTTTTATTTAGCAATGGAAGATTGGGTGCATTCTCCCATGTTCCATCCAATCACGCCCCCCTCGTCCCTTGCCCCTCCACGCTCTGCCCCCTCGTCTGCTCTTGCCATCACATCCCACCTTGCCCTCTCTTTTACTTGACCGCTTCATGCATCGTTGAGTTCCTCCATTCCCAACTGTGTTCTTTCCCTGTTCAAGCGCTAAAAACTACGCAGGCACGTACGTCGAGTAAGTGTCTTAGTAGGTAACAGGAAGGACTAAGTGGCCCCTCTCTTGCCTTAGTAGTACACCCTCAGTGAACTTACCTCACTTGATTATTTGCATCGTCCTTGCCTGGATCGCTTTAGTGCCCGGCACCCGGCGCCACTGGAAGGAATGTCTCACATCATCCATTGGACGCCTGAACCCAACTTCCTTTCTTCAGTCTCTCTCTCTCTCTCTCCCTCCGTATCCTAAAACGAAGAAGTAGCAGGTAGGTGTCTGAAGTAATAAGAGCAAAACAAAAATAATACCAACCCTGGCCTGCGAGTTGGGTTGTTGATGGCTATTTTTGAGAATGACGCTTATTATAAAAGGCAAGAGGCATACATACATGCATGCATACATACACAATGTAGTATAATACATAGACTAGGACTGGCTGACACATACTTCATACCCACGCACAGGTCTATCCATCCACTCCTCAACTTGGTTCACTCATTTCCTTTGATGCGTCCAGACTCCAGCCTCCCCATCCAAGAGCCCGGGTGCCATGAACTGCATAGCCATGCAGGCCACCACACTACACCGCGCTACTGTACGTCTACCAGTAGGGTAGGGTTAGTGGAGCGGATCAGGGGAGGGTACCCGCCCGCAGATTTCAGATTCCCACCCTTCATGTTTCCGTCACCTCCTGGGCTGGTTGGCCAGACGTAGGGCGAGACACCAGGCATGGATGGCATGGTTGGGGCCTCACCTCCCCTCGCTCACACTGTCGTGTACAGAGCTTCTTGCATACGTGCCTGGCTTGCTATTCCATGTCTTGCACCTAGCCCCAAGAGAGGCCTTTCAAGACTGTCTCCGTTTCAGGGCTTCTCCCTTCTGAACCGGGAAAACCAGTCCACTGAGTGCGTATTATCAGATACACATGTGCCTGCCCAAGAGCAATATGATTTGATATTCCCCAACATGGCATATCTGGTTTTTTTGCTCTAGAAACAAACAAAAACCCTCTCTCCCCATGGCCTACTGCGTAGCATCGGTACCATGCGACTATCTATGTTAAGCCATCCTCCCCCCTCCCCTCCCCTTCTCGTCAAAGGATCCCAGAGATAGGGCACCAACAGCAGGCAAGCAGGCAAGCAGGCAAGCACTGCATTTTGACCCACATGATGTTCTCTGTCCAGCCTTTACAACGGACTCGAAATCTATGGGATAAGACGCATGTCGACGGTTTTTAGTGTCCGTCTAGCCTGTCTTTCGCCTCCCTGGCAAAGTCCCAGAAATCTGTGGCTAGAAGCTGCCAGGAGCCCTGGCAAACCTGCAGGCCTGCAAGCACCTTGTTCGACCGTCTCTTCCTCCCCGGCCACCTCTTTCTTCTTCTCCTTCTTCTTCTTTTTTTTTTTCTTTTTCTTTTTCCTCATTGCCAGAAGTCCTTTCAGTAGATCCCTTGTAAAGACGTCTGAAGTCTTCTCCCAGGGGTCCCTTGTATCTCTTCCCGCGCCTCCATACCAATCGTGCGTTCCTCCGTCCCACCCTGGCCCGGTGAAACACCAAGGAACTCGAAAAGCTGCCCAGTGTCGCGGCATGGCACGGGGACAGGTGGAGGTGAAGTGCAGATTGAGGGGCTTGTTACCCGTAACGAGCCTTGTCCATGGCTGCTGAACACCCCAGAAAGCTGAAGCTCATTCGCATGCTCACACACTCACTCATATCAGGCTGTGTTTCTTACGCAAAGAGTCGTACCTTAGCCCATCTTGAACGGACTGTTGGTGGGGACTCGGTCCTGCTTCTACACGTAGACGCTGGAAAAGTGGGAAACACGACCTCTTTCATGTCACCACTTCACTTCAACCCAGAGAAACGCTTACCCAAGTCCTCTTATCCACTACATCTACTGTCAAAGAGGAACCTAAAGTCACTTCCAATGCCGGACTTAAGACTAGATAGAAACGGAAGCTCCTTTCCTTCAGATGGTTGAGCGCAGTATCCTTTGCACGCTCTCTCTTTCTTGCACATCTCTCATCGCATGCCTTTTCGGAGGAAAATGTCGCCCTGTTTTGATGCATTTGTGTTTATGATGTACCAACCCACCTAGTATTTAGCCTCAACTTGGTTGTGTTTTATTTTTATTCTCAATAATATGTCGACATCAAATGTGCACAAGTAATTATTCTGGCTCGCATCCCAGCTAATTGCTGCCGGTTTCGTCGGTTTGGGCAACTCTAGACGTTGGCACTTTCCGGCCTGAAGTCGCAATAGCGCGGCAAGTGTTCTTTCCCTTAGTGACCTCGTAAGGCGCGCATCACACCTTCCACCTTCCTCGATCGGTAACGGCTTCCAAGCCCAGCCAACTTCTCGTCATGTCTCATTCAAACAGGCGCGCGCTAGAATGTCACCGATCTCATTTTGTCATTGCCGCCCTCCTTGATCGTCCTTGCCTCCAGAGTACTTGGTGCAGTAGCATTCTCCACAACCAATTGGCAATGGAAGCTGTCTACCAAGAATTCAGCAAGTCATATCTCACTCCTTCTGACACAACTCTGCCAGATGCGTCACATCCCCAATCACCCCACACCGAGCATCAGACTCTACCGGAATGCTTTACTTGGTCATTTACCAACACTGACATTCCGACTACCTACCAGTGTTGCTATAGGTTCGAGACATCTTCCTTCACCGGATGCACCTCTTAGACACGCTGTCACACCGCACACTCTCGGTCTCTCCAGCCTTGACTTCTTTTTTTCATTTTTCTGTTCCTGAACACAGGACAAGCTACGGCATGAGCCTGCCACACCCCGCACCTGGAATCCTTCCAATCCATGTTGGGGTGTGTTTAAAAAAAAACCAAAAAAAAAAAAAAAAAAAAAAAAAAAAAAACCACGGCACTAACGCTCACCGCACCCTGCTGTCACCGTCATCGCCATCCATGCGGTATCACAAATTCCCGTCCTTACATAACAAATGGGCCTCAACTCCTTTTCTCCAAACACTGCGCGTCACTGGGATGGGCCCTTTCGACATGTAGTCCCAGCATCGGGTTCCAAGGGTGAGGAATGTTTCTCTCTTCTCCTCCCAGTTCCCTGTCAATCATCCCACAGATACCACATCATACCCATCCACACACCAACACTGGCTTATTCTCGTGGTTGTGCCTGGCTTGAATTTGTACCGCGACTGGCTGGTTGGGCTAAGTGATAACGTTACCTTGCTTTGATGCAACTAACTGGAGTTCCAGAACACTGACCTAAAATCCCAATCTCTTTTCATCCATCACTCCTGCACAAGTGACTTGACCATGCAGCACTGGCGCATAGTACTAGCCATGTTGTGACGATTGGCGGCTCGGTGACTTAGCCCAATCGAGTGCAACGTTGACAGCGAAACAAAATGAACCGCATCCAGTCGAATTCCTATTCCGCGGTACCAATTCCCCGACCCAGCAAACTACACTGATCTTATGTCGGCCTCGTCTAGCGTCGAAAGCCTACTGGCCGATGTTCACAACCCCTGTGCTTCGTTTCTCGGGGAAGGTGTTGAAACCTTTCCGTGAGAAAAAAGCATGTGGTTGGAAGATCAAAGAGCAGAAAACGACTCATATTTTCGGAAGTCTCTATCCATAGAAAAACAGCCAAATACAGATACACATACACCTCTACACCTTGCGGGGTCAAAGAGACTGACTGAAAAAGAAAAGTAACAGTCCAGGGCTGCACTCATGCTCTGCCTCCGCCACGATATTTTAGACGTTACTGTCGTCGGCGATGGGACCCCCGAGTCCGTCACCCAGGACTGGAATCTATGTCCCAATCCGTCTATTGAAAACCCCTTCACTTTCCAAGCAGTATCCAGCACCAGCCACCCCAAGACGTTCCGGCTAAGTCACCTGGCTTTGCCAACTGCCAAGATACATACACACGCCCATGTTGATTAGTGCCATCTTATTCTGTACTACAAAGAACACGACGGCTGCCTGCAAACGCTAGCGAAGCCTACTGCACCTCACACTATATACAATCATACGCCGTCAGATAAGGTACATTGCCTTGCACAGTATGTACCGTTCCTTCCATGCAGGGGAACGCCAAAGCTTCCAGCTTCTCGGAACTCCCACTCTTCCCTACTGCCCCACGACTCGAGCATCAAGGTTCCTGGAACGCCGAGCATGCTGCATGGGCTGCAAAATCATCCGGAACCGAACCCTG